ACATCGCGCGACACGTACGATACGCGAGGATAACCGACCGGTCAACGACATACATAGGCTGCGTTCCGATATTCACTGCCAGTATTGAAAATATATACTTTATGTCACATATATTATAAATTTTCAGTACTGGCAGTGAATATCGGAACGCAGCTATATACGCTGCGGCGGCTACTCAGACAAATCAAAGACGCTCGCGACAACTATTGTCGGGAAATCATTAAAATTTTTTCCTCATTTAATAATTACTTTAAAATATATATGTTTATGTGTGTTTAATGATAATATGACACAAAGATGCGCTCCAGTTGATTTCTTACGTAGCGATGGATCTCAGCGGCCCGTGATCATCGCCTCGGCCGCTAAACGTGGAACAGCGCCTAGTGGGAAAAAACTCGATTTTTTTAACAAAAATCTACAGATAGTGCAATTTTGATTGCTTCTTGTACGTTAGAGAAAGAAGCGACGTGCTAACTTTGCGAACCTAGTACGTTGTACTTTTATTTTTGATTTTTTGGGTGTATTGTTGCAGAACTATTTTTTTTTTGTTATAGAGAAACTGTAGAACTATCAAAAGTGCTATTAGAATTCTACTTGTTTTTTTCATATTGATAGTTTGACGTGTTAACATCACAGACATGCCTTCCCGCTCCGCCACGCGCTCCTTGAACGCTTTACTTAAATTGGTTATAAGGCCTTCTGAATTTTTTATCTTTCATTTTCTCGCGAACCAAATTTTTTTGCTCATTATACTTTTACCTAATACTAATGTGAATACCTACTGCTACGAGATGCAGCTAAAAATTATATTTACACGTCAGACCTTTTTCTTGTAAGATGCTACGTTCAAGCTGAATGTAAGTTTTTTCATAATTAGTTCTGCAGCCATATCATGCTATATGCAGGATTTACAGTCCTACAAAAGTTCGGAAGAGTTTTCTTATATAAAAGCACAAAAACTGAATGACACAACAAAATTAGGGACATAATTAAATGAGTATACGAATTGAGGCGCTGGCCGAAATGTCGAAGTTGTAGGCATGTCAAAACAGATTTTGTATATTTGTAAGCATACTGAAACATTTTGTACAGGGTTGTAGGCACGTTGTTGGCACTATACAGGGTGTTAAATTTCAAACATAACAGGTAAAAAATCTCGAAAACTATGAAAGATATTGGGAAAGATCGTGGCGTCGATATGCGACGCCGCGATGCCCCGGTCCCACCCCCGTCGGCGCCGGGCCGCGTACTGGTGGACGGCGACCCTCTCGGAATTTCGGAAGGCAGCCGTTCAGGCCAGACGGGCGTATACCTGGGCCCGGCGACGAGGCGGGAAGGCCGCGAGGGAGGAGGGCTATTCTCAGGCGAGAGAAGCCCTCAAGCCTGCCATAGTCGAGGCGAAGAAGGGAGCTTAGGAGCAAATGGTGGACTCCCTGGACGAGGATCCGTGTGGGCGCCCCTATAAACGGGCGATCGGTAAGACGCCCCTACCAACGGAGGCCTTGGGCCCCCAGGCCCTCGAGGGGCTCCTGGACACTCTTTTTCCGAGGGAAGGAGTCCCCCCCCAGATCCCTGCTCCCGAGATGAGGGAGGGAGACTGGGATGAGAGCCTGGAGGTCTCTCCGGAGGAGTTCGCTATGGTCAGGAAGAGACTCGGGGCCAAAGGCAAAGCGCCTGGCCCAGATGGCATTCCTGGCCGCTCCTGGGCTCTCGCCCTCGGCGAAAGGAGCCTGTCCGCAGCCACACGGGACACTATCAACGGGTACCTCAGAGAGGGGGTATTCCCCCCAAAGTGGAGGAAGGCCAAGTTGGTCCTCCTCCCGAAGGATAGCAAGGTACCCTGTCGCGCGTCGACCTTTAGGCCGATATGCCTGCTGGACGAGGCGGGCAAGATGCTCGAACGCATCATTGCCGACCGCCTCGTCCAGCATCTGTCCCTGGAGGGGCCGAACCTCCACGACCACCAATACGGATTCAAGCCCGGACAGTCTACACTGGATGCAATTCAAAAACTCCGGGACCTGGCCCGGATGGTCGTGGAGAGGGAGGGTAGGGTGTTGTTGGCGGTGTCCCTGGACATCACCAATGCCTTCAACACCCTGCCCTGGCTGGAGATCGGGCGGGCCCTCGAGTATCACGGGGTGCCCGCTTATCTCCGGCGCATCCTGTCGGCCTATTTCAGGGACAGGGACCTCGCCTACTCTGGGAGAGGCGGGGTCCAGGATCGGCGCGCTATGAAGTGTGGTGTCCCGCAGGGGTCGGTCCTCGGCCCCCTGCTATGGGACATCACGTTTGACCGGGTGCTGCGCTCTCCCTTTCCACTTGGCTGCCACGTCAACTGCTATGCGGATGACACGTTAGTGGTAGACGGCGGGGACTGGGGGAAGCCCGCCTCCGAGCGGAGGTGGCACTGCATTCCGTGGTGGGCACAATCGCGGACCTGGGGCTCAAGGTGGCGCCCCTGAAGACGGAGGCTGTCTTCTTCCATAACGGCCGCCGCGGGGCGCCGCCGGCGACACAGGTCTCGGTGGATGGAGTCCACGTTCACGTTGGGCCCACGATCAAGTATCTGGGCCTGACGTTGGACGGCCGGTGGGACTTCGGGGTCCACTTCAAGGCCTTGGCCTCCTAGGTCCGAAAGGTAGGTCCGGCGCTAGCCGGCCTGATGAAAACTCAAGGGGCCCAAGGGGGCCCCGGATGGTACGCTTACCGCCTATACGTCGGTGTGGTGCTCTCGATCGCCCTCTACGGGGCACCCATATGGGCACCCGACTGATGGCCTCCGGCCGCGGCAAGGCACTTCTGCGCCAAGCCATGCAGTCGGTGGTCGTGAGGGCGATACGGAGGTACCGCACCATTTCGTATAGTGCGACGACGGCCCTGGCCGGCTCCCCCCAGTAGAGCTCCTTGCCGATGAGAGGCATATCCTCTATTGGAGGGTGAAGGAGCTCCGCGACGGGGGGGAGGAATTATCGGCCGGGAACTTGAGGTCCCTGAAGACCCAGGCCGAGACCCGAGTCCTGGAAAGGTGGTCGGCTATACTGGCCAACCCCCGGAGATTCGGGCTTGGAATGGCCGAGGCCGTCCACCCCTGTCTGCCAGAAATGGCAGGCAGGTGGGGACACAGCTCACCTTCCATATGGTGCAGGTGCTGACCGAGCATGGCTGCTTCGGTCAGTACCTGCACCGGATTAGAAGGGAGCCCACCGCGGGATGTCACCGCTGCCCGGCACAGGAGGACACGGTGCAGCACACCCTGGTGTAGTGCCAGGCGTGGAGTGAGCAGCGCCGTGTCCTGCCCCAGGCGATGGGGTGCCAGGAGGAAAATCTCTCACTCCCGCATTTGCTGAGAGCAATGTGCAGGAGCCAGGAGATGTGAGGAGCGGCGGCCTCCTTTTGCCGGGACGTTATGTCCCGCAAAGAGGCCGCCAAGTTGGAGCGCTGACGACCCCGTCGCAGGAAGCGACGGAGGAGGCGGTATTCCCCAGGGGTTAGGAGCGGACCCGAGGTAGCGCCGGCCAAAGAGGAGAGGCCACCGGCTCGCCGGAGGCCGCCTCTTCGGCCGCCTCGGGCCCGCTTTCGACGTACCGATGGAGGTGGGTGGGAGAGGGGGTAAGCCCTCTCGCCCACTCCGGGCGTCAATGATGGCAAGGAGAAGGGGAGCGAGGCCCGGCCCCAACCGGTCCTCGCTCCCCTGCTTCTCCCCTAACCACCTAGTAGTGACGGGGAAGGCGGGGACGAGGAGGGAGGGCGGGTGTCCCCTCCCTCCTAATTAACACCGGAAAGTCAACCTGGCCGGACAACCGGCCGGGGCACCGCGCCCTTGACTCCCAATCTGGGAGGGGCGCAGTACTTGGGCGTGGGGCTCCATGAGAGCCCTGGTGCCAGGGTGTCGGAGAGGGAATGCAGGCCTAGTTCCCCTGACTCTCCCCACCACGGTCCAAGCGGTAGGCACCCCGCAAGGGTTTTAGTCGGTAGAAGTCCGACATAACCCCCGCCCTCCCCAAAAGGGCGGAGGTATCCATAAGGATTTCCCCTGCGTGACCAAAAAAAATGGTATCCGTATTTACATCATAAATTTCATCCTCTCCATCTCCTTTTTCCTCTTCCATGTCCATGTCTATATGTCCCAAAAATTTAAAATTGGCTATAACAGCTGCTTCTGTATCTAATATCATTGCTTCTGCTATAGAAGATGGCTGTTGCTGAAACAATAAATCACATATAAATGTATAACAGAATCGTGACTATCGTAATGCAGCTTAATTCTCTTAATTAAGTTCATATTGTTTTAAAAACATAAATATGTTTATTTATCTCTACCTTTTTCGGATGTCCCCCGGAGTATAAGACTTACATCAGAAGATTTTTGTTCTGTGTTCCCTCATTTCCATTTAATGCTGGAGTATTCATTTCATCTGGGTCTGTATTATTATAATATGTCCTACCGCGTATATTTCATTTCTCACCTCTCGTTGCGAGTCACTGCGCAGGCGTGCTCCGCAGGCGGAGCAGTGACTCTCATTCCTCTCGAGTTGAGATGCGTTCCGAAAATTGCAAAAAAACGGGCACTTATTATTATTACGTCCGCAACCTTAAGCCAGTGGCACACGGTTTTCGTGCTGGATTGCTTGCTGGATGAAAATACTGCGTTCTGATTGGTACTTTTCCGAAGATGGATGGAAATGCACCAATCAGAACGCAGTATTTTCATCCAGCAAGCAATCCATCACGAAAACAAGCACCGTGTGCCGTTGGCTTTACTGTAAGCGACAAGAGGCGAGCGCGCGCGACGAGGAGCGAGCGAGCGAGCGCAAGCGACAAGAGGCGGCCGCCCAGCGCTCTCTAAGCGCTCATTGGCTCACATGTTTCAATTAATAACTCGATAATTATTGTCAATTTGACATTATGGTACATGACTTTTCTTCTCGGCTACACCCAATCTATCTCCAACTTTCGTCTGTATGATAAGCTTTCAAACACCCTGTATATGCCCGTGAAGCTACCACAGCGTTTGCTCAGTGCGCGTGCGCGACTTTTCCCACGACTTGTCATCACTGTCAGGGATCTGACATCACTGCTGCCAGGATGCTTCCGAGCAAGGAACACGTAAACAATGTCTTGTTCGTTTACAGTAACGTGAAATGAATGAAATATTTAGTAAAATGTCCAAGGAATTTGTAACTGTCGATGGCAATGTGAAGAAGATTCAAAAGGAGAATCTAACACCATATAAAATAGCAACTGCCATCTTAATTAGAGAGTATTGCAATGAAACAACAAAAGGTAACCTCTGTTACTTTATCACATTATCTCCCACACATTATATATTTTATATTATATTTTACTAGTACTTATGTATTGTATAATACTTTGTTTAAGAAACATTGGCTATATTTTATTTGTATTATCTAACCTGATCAAATAATCTTTTGTAGCAATTGTAGAAAGACGTGACTTTTGTTTAGCTTCACTGAAACTCATTCAGGTAATAATTACTTATCTTTATTATTAATTGCACCGATTAAATATCTTGCTGCAAATATAAATACATAGTGCTAAAGTAAATATGAATTTTTAATTATATATATTAATAATAATTATTTTCAGTCAGCAGACATGGAGCTAAATATCCTGTTGAACTTATTATATTCTCCAGAATATGTTTTACATCGATTTGCAAATCAGTTGGAAGTAGAATTGGATATTTTATGTAGTAAAGGAGTTGATGGATTGTTGGATCTATTTAATAGTCTTTATCGATTAATAGAAAACAAGGAACATGCACTTGCTTTATCAATATTGAGTAGGAACTCTGTTCTTGGCCTATATATTCGTAGAATACGTATTTTTTTTGAGAAATTGCCTTTTAATCAAGTCGTTGCACTTTATAATGATCTAAAAAAATATGTTGAGAGAAAAATTCGTAATTCCAGAGACTCTGATATCTCTATAATTTCCAAGCAAGAAGATTATGAAACGAATAAGTAAGTTTGCACAAATAAATGTGTAATTTTGTATAGATTCACCATTATACAGAATGTTTCGGCCATTTTATATTATCATTGATCTTATCTAGAGCAAAAACAGTCTGGGGTGGAAGACAGGCAGAGTTACTTGTGGCACAACAAGCTCATGCCTTGCAAACTGACGAGCATAAAGCAGTGCCACCGGCAGAATTGCAAGCTCTTGTTCAAGATCTTTTGAAGTGCAGTCCTTATTATGCAGATGCAGTAAGTGACAATATTGTTATGCATATAAATGTGTACAATGAAGCTAAACGAAACTATTTTCTTTTCCAGCATTATTTGAGTTACTTAAACTGTATTCGCGTGAACGACTTTTGCGGAGCAGTGGATAGTCTTTATCACTGTTTTGATAGGATGGCACCTCTGGAAAACCGATCCGCGCCTGAAGATAGATCTCGCACTTTCAGATACGCAGCACTCAACTTGGCTGTTTTACATGCCCAATTTAATCACAAGTAAGAGATTTTATTCATCAGATTTATAATTTATTTATTTAGTAACTGGTTCTTTTTTTATTTCTTTTAAAGAGAAGTGGCGCAATATGCTTTAAAAGAAGCAATTACACTAGCTCAAGAAGCCGGAGATAATGTGTGTCTGCAGCTTGCACATTCTTGGATGTATTACTTGACCAGCGAAGAAAAGTAAGAGCAAGTACGAGAATTTTGAACAATCTCATAAACATATTTTATTTGTAAGACAGATATATCCTTTTGACTTTTGTTTAATACATGAGTTCGTTTATTACTTAGAGGGCCTCTTATAGAACGCTCAGTAGGCAAAGCGAGTATGCTCGGCATTACGCATACGACAGGTATGAGTCTCATTTCACACGCGCACAACTCTGCCCTGGAAGCAAAAAATCCTCCTCAAGTCTTCGAGGTACGATACTGATGCATGAATCGGAATCGTGAACCAATGAAATATATTTATATCATATATACGACGTTCTCTTTGCAGACGCTAATTAAATCGGACGTGTTAAATTGTCAGCACTCGATGTCTGACTTGATGTCCATCACTTTCGCAGAGAAGTCTGCGTTATGGGCATATTATGGCAAGACAGAAATGGCCTCGCTTTGCGCTCAGCTGTTGCTCCTTCACAACACTGGCGACAAGAAACAACACATGTTCAATGGGCCGTCCACGTGTCAGGCGATTGTCACTATTGCGAATATGTTGATCGAATTTGGTGAATATACGCTCAGCGACGTCGTACTGGCCCATGCCAAGGAGAGATTTCCTAACGAGCCCTGCAACAAAGTGTGCAATTTTATACAAGAAATTTAAAAAAATGACGTTTTTGACATTTCTTAGTAAAATTTCTTAATAAAATTTAAAATTTCTTAATAAAAATATCGAGGTGGAATAGTTTTCGAGTATTGCATGATTAAAAAAAGGAGCTTCCACGATTTTCTTTTATGTTTTAGATCTGGATGCTGAGCGAACAGCTGCATTTGTTCACGCAATTAATGAGACAAGAAAAATGGAGCGAGGCAGAAGCAGCAGCCCGAAATATTTCCAGCTTAGATCAGTTAGAATGCACGTTCAGGTAGCAACCAATTCATACTTGTGCTGTAGGTGTTGTACACGCGTCAGAAGATAAAGCATCGCGAACAATTTTTTTCAGATTAGCGGAAGTTTGCTTGGCGAAAGGTGATTATCCGAAGGGACTGGAGTACATCAGCATTATTGAGGAGCATTCGGATGTGACTTCGCCGCATAAAATACGCGCCATACTTCTCTCCAGCCAGATAACGTGCGCTTCTTCCTTGTTAGGAAATGGAACAGCTGCCACCAATTGCATAGTGCGCCTGAGTTCGGCTTTGGAGTTGGCCACGCAGAATTATCTGTCCTACTATAAAGCGCTCGTTAAGATGCATCTTGCTAACGTACAAGTTAGTCCACTTACCTTCTTTTCTCTCCAGTTCGTCTGATATCTCATCGTTTGATATCAACAATTATAAACATCCTTGCAACTGTCTTGCAGTTGCTGATGGGCTTACCCACGTTATCCCTGAATATAGTAGAAGACGCCATACCCACGATACTGGGTCACGGTGGCTGTTACGACCAAGGTCAAGCGTTTGTATTGTACGGCAAGTGCTTGTTAGCCTCGGCACCAGAGAATCCTTTCGAAGCGCGGAAGGAAGCAATCCTGAGCGGTATAAAAGCGCTATCGAAGGCGCTGGCGCGATTCACCAAAGTGAAAGCCATCGCCAGGGTTAAAAATATCTTGTGCTTGCAAGCCGTATTTTACAACGAGATCAACCTTCTGCCCGAACGGAATCAGTGTGCTTTCGAGTTTCGTCAGTTGGACGAACAATACCTAACGACACCAGGCAATCCGTCTTTATATTAAAAATTGTAAGATGGTTTTGCATAAAAATAAAAAAGATGTCAGACAGCAGCTGTCCAGTAATTCTCGTCCAACGACATGGTTATGTTGTGAAAAGAAGTATTCATTTCAGTTACATATTCATTTTATTTGTATTAATTTGAAGAACAATTTTCCTCCTCAAAAGGGAAGCGACTTATTCTGAATGGTTTAAGAAATTTCCGCGGGATGACTCGCGATGCAATCTGGTCGATTTTTTCAATCAATTTAAGAAATTTTCGCGCTGCATCACAAAGTGATTCGGAGATTCTGTGCTAGATGGCGCAGATACTACAGTCGGCGGCACATTTTCGTAATCTTCGTAAGTGCATCGAGTAGTAGTGAAGACACGAGTACGAGGATGTAATGTATTTTAGGCGTCACGTTGTCGGCATCGCATTTGAATACACGATTATTAAGTAGTCGATTAATCGGCATCGGTATTTCCAAGCCATGCTGTAATGCCACGAAACGGTACAGACGATCTCGGTGTTTTGACGGAACGGAGATTAGGGAGATTAGAGTATAGTCGCCATCGCAGCATCGTATCGTATCACGGACGGACATTATACCGGATTATTATGACATAATTACTACTTGCAAGCAATTTACAGTCAAAAGGAATATCAGTGTATCCCTCAACATTGGGCCATATGAGCACTCTGACTCGCTCGAGCGACCTTAACATCGCTTCCCGCACCTAGTTTTACAATTTTTACAAGTATACAAGTCAGTCGCAACACCTTTAGGATTATGGCCAGCCCGGTGCTCAGCACCATCAATGGATACAATTTTAAAGTCGTTTTACTTGGCGAGGGCTGCGTCGGCAAGACCTCGGTGGCACTCCGATACGTCGAGGACAAGTTCAACGACAGACATATCAGTACGGTGCAGGTAACTTGTATTTGCAACATCCTATTCATGTTGTATCTACTCGGATCTCGGTTGTTCTCCCATTTCAAAATCTAATCTGCGCTGTAGAAATAAAAATACGTATAGAGAGAGACTAGACATTTGGACTATATATCTGGTTGTGCTCCATTTCAGGCATCGTTCCTGAATAAAAAGTTAAATATTAATGGGAAGAGGGTGAACTTGGCAATATGGGATACAGCAGGGCAGGAGAAGTTTCACGCATTAGGACCAATTTATTATAGGATGTCTAATGGTGCCATTCTTGTTTATGATATTACAGATGAAGATACGTTTCAAAAGGTATGTTACAAGTGTGTTGATTATTGTCTAATATTTTAGATGCAATTTGTTTACTATTATAGTTGAAAGAAAGATCAGTATCGATAAGATTTTGTCATTAGGTGAAAAATTGGGTGAAGGAGCTCAAGAAGATGTTAGGTAGCGAAATATGCTTAGCAATAGCAGGTAATAAGGTGGATCTAGAAAAAGATAGGAATGTCGCTATAGAGGAAGCAGAAGAGTAAGTGCGACTTTTCTGTCTGATTTATAGAAACTATGGGTAAATACAATGAAACCCATTTGCAGATATGCCAAACAGGTGGGTGCCATGCACTTTCACACATCAGCCAAGTTAAATCAGAACATTGAGGAAATGTTCTTAGACCTGACAAGACGTATGATGCAACATGCAGATGAGGCTGAACAAAAGTCTACTCTTACAAGGACCAATAGTACACGTCGTAACGTTGTAGTAGTCGAGGATGAGATTGAACAGAGTCAACCAACTAGAAGTTCCTGCTGCACTGGTGGTGGAAGTAGTGGTGCTGGTGGCAGTGGTAGTACTGGGAAAGGCAGTGGCGATGGCAGCAGCAGTGGTGGTTTTTCGTAGACCTTCCATTTTGAGTTATATTCAAGTTTAAACAAGGTCTAATTATGATAATCCATCAGATCCATATATATATATGTATATATAAATATATATATATATATATATACACGCATTTTAGAGTGTGACAACTTTTATTATCATCTAAAAAGGTACTTTAGATTTCTCAGTGTCATACTTACAAATGCCTTACTTTTACGTGTGTATGTGTGGGTGTATTATCCACATATGAATGCACGTGTGTATACGTATATTGAATTATACAGATATGTAATCTTGCTATTTGAAAAGAAATTGTCACAAGTTAATTAGCTAAACATTAGCTAATCACTAAACAAAAACTAGACAACACGTCAACGCGAAATCTTTGAGGAAAAACTAAAGAAACTTTCGGCTTTTATCCAAAACGATAATCTAGAGTGATGTACATATTGATGCTTGGTGTACAACATTGGATAATCGAGCTGGAGACTTTCTAGTTAGAGTTTGGCAACACCTAATTTTAAAGGAAAAATGACAGGATATATTACGGATTATTATTGAACATATATATACTCGGAATTATATAAGAACCTAGAATTTAATATGTTTAACTACAAAAGTAGGCCGAAGTGGCTCTGAAGCTGCCAAATTCTAATCAGATGATCTTTAGATTGAGTTAAGTTACGCGCCATATAGTAGAGGCTTCTTGAACCAATGAGTAATTGATGAAATTTCCGTTAGATAGTGCGTCGAGATTGTAGCGCGCGCCATTGGGCGGAACTTTTAAATCTATTCGCTGGTTCGAAATCTTCCGCTAAATAACGTGTGTACTGCAATCGTATCATAAAAAATAGAGGCACTATTAACAAATATAATCTACATTTCGTTCAGAAAATTGTCTCAGGACTGATATAATTAAGATACATTTTCTTTTTTTTTTATAGGATCTTTAATTACTGTTTGATGTTTATTGCATTGTTATAGGAAAACATTCTACTATAAATTTGAATAATGGAGGGTGAATTGCCGAAAGTTATTAGATATTGTTTGTTAATACTTTTCGCAATACTTTTATTCGCCTGAAATTATATAAATTAGCGATAAATAATTGTTGTAAAGTTTAAATTATTGTTATAAGTTATACGAACATAAAATGGTAAATCGTAATAACGTTACAGAAGAACATTTCATTTACCTTTTTTTTGTATACCTTGTACAAGTTCTGCGTTTGAAGTGTTTGGGATTTACGAAGGACTATGTAATGTACAATCAATGTACCGATCATAGATGTAGAAATTAACATGTTTTATTATACGTTTTTCTATTGACAACAAAGAGGAATGTCACATCAGTTCTATATAGGTCTGGGTTAGTCTTTTCGATGATAGAGAGCAGATTTAGGCTGTCAGCCCCATATTTTACCCCAGTTACCCATAATGGCAGGACCGTTTAGAAGGATGTACATAGATATACGGTTCAAACTCCGCGAAAACTGCTAAGTCTCTTATCCTTAATGACAAATGCTAAATGACAGATAAAATTAACTAAAACGTTAAACTATGCAGTACCCTGACATTCATTATATAATAAATTTTTACCTCTCGTTCATTATATTATTTAACATTTTATTATGATATTGAAACAGAACTAATGTGATCACACGAATTCTTCTCTGAAGATCACAGTCGAAAAAAGAAGAATATCGTGAACATACTCAAATTTATATGGTGACTAAATCACCAGGAGAGTTTATGGTATTTAAAGTTAAGTTAATGTATCTCTCTTTTTCTATATATATGTGTGTGTGTGTGTGTGTGTGTGTGTGTGTGTGTGTGTGTGTGTGTGTGTGTGTGTGTGTGTGTGTGTGTGTGTGGTGTGTGTGTGTGTGTGTGTGTGTGTGTGTGTGTGTGTGTGTGTGTGTGTGTGTGTGTGTGGTGTGTGTGTGTGTGTGTGTGTGTGTGTGTGTGTGTATTACATATAAATTCTGCATTAGTAATCATTTTCTTTAATTTATCTCGTTCCCCGAGTTTGTTCAAATACATTTTATCACGTATACTACATTTGTCAAATCACAATTATATCATTAAATTATCAATTTTTTCAATATGTACATAAAACCCTGCAATGCAAAGGTGCTAAGTATTAAAAAATTTTTTTATTTGTAATTTACTTTAAATTTATAATGTACCAAAACATCCGATAAAATTACACGAGATATTTTACGAGTTACATAGTAACCTGAACCTGAATAGTGCAATTAAACAGTCTATAACTGTAAGTAGAAATAACTCATTCATAATTCATTGCTATGCAATGTAAAAAGAAATTGATCGAAGTTGCTTTAATTGACTTGACAACAATGAGTGTAATAAACCTATTTTAAATGTTTTAATCGACAAAGTAAAAACAAAATTAAAATAATTAAACTTTTAAATATTATAAATTAGAAAATAACTTAATCGATATAACTTATTAAAATTAAACTAATTCGTTGTATTAAATACAAATTATGTTAAATATGATATTAAAAAAAATAAAAATGTGTGTGAATATTTTTAGAACAAATTATCATCCATGATCTTTTGTGATAACAGAAGTATCTTTCGATATATTCTTCTATTTTCGCATTACTTTCTACATTTTATTAAATTAATAAATTCTCTCTCGCTCTCTCTCGCTCTCTCTCTCTCTCTCTCTCTCTCTCTCTCTCTCTCTCTCTCTCTCTCTCTCTCTCTCTCTCTCACTATTCTAAATAACCTATATATGTATATATATTATATTCACTGTGTGACGTTTCATATATCTTTGGTATTTGGTCATAATTTTCTTCTAGATACACATTCTTTCCCTCTGCCTCTCACCCACGAAAATTATATCTAGTCGTATTAAAAAATTTTGTGCAAAATCGTGTAAACAAACATTGGGCATTTTTTCTTTTGTTTCTCTCTCTCTCTCTCTCTCTCTCTCTCTCTCTCTCTCTTTCCTCATCGACAGATATAAAAATACTCCGGTAAACGAAAGTGCGAACATTATATTCGTAATAATAATCGTGATCGGTAATTAAAGATTAGGCCCTCGGTTGTTTCTACAACACGGCATATTTTTAAATAATGAATATCTTATCCTGATAAGTGAATAAAAAATCTATGAATTGGTTGATGGGCCCTATTGCAGAGAGAGACATCCCACGAGCTGGCGGTGCCCTAACTAGATTCGGTCCAAATACGACTGCAAGATTACTAGAAGTCATCTTGTTCAAGTCACATCGGTCCATCACCTACCAATAAAGAAGACAACCAAGAAATTTATCTTCTCTTTTTTATAATAGTTATGCCAGACAAACGACAAGATACAATTACGTACCCTTGATAAAAATTGTACGATGTATTTAAGGACTTGATAATTATCTTCAGGAAGTTTCTCCAACACTAATATCTTTACTTTACGTGGACGCTCATCCTTCGACAATGCTAGAACAATAATTTGTAAAATTCAAATCTTTCGTTATGTACTAATTACTTTCATTTACTCGTTATGTATTAATTAATTTTGTTATGTACTAATTATGTAATAATCGCATACTTCCTCTCGGTTCGTCTCAGACAAACCGAGAGGAAGTATGATGAAAAATGCTTACTTTGGAATTGTGTGATTTCATCGTATAATTCGTAGGTCATAAGAGGCTCGTCTAATTCGCGAAGAAAAGTTTTCAGGAGAACCGCAGCAATATGTGGATCTCCTTGAAAATCAATAGGTAAACCTTGATTACAACGATTCTGGAGTTCTTTAATAACCGTTAGATTAGCCGATCTTCGAAATATTCCTTCAGTTTCGAGAGCTGAAATGAGATTCGATGTTATCATTGTTTTGTTTGACGAGAAACGAAGGAAATCAATCGCACGATACGATGATCGGCAGGCGTACCGTCTGGAGTGTCGAGAAATTCTACACACTGTCTCAGTATCGGTGGTATCGAATCACCGTTGTTGTTTTCCTTTATAAACTGCAGGCTAGCACCGAATTGAGTCGTACCAACTGGCGTGGCCACCGTGCTTTGCGGCGGACTCGACAAACTTTTCTTATTCTTTATCAGTAACTGTTCGTTGTGTCTGTAAGCATAAGTAGATAAGTAGAATCGTGTTATTCTAAGTGAAAAACGGTATTTATAAGAACGAAAACTACATACTCTATCACCTGAGGAGGTATGATAAGTTGATCTAAATTAATATATTGCGCCAAATCCTCTAGATAATTAACGTACATCATCTTCCGTCCAAATTTTACACTACAAAAATTCAATATATTTATACAAGATTATTAGAACTTATGAGAAAGCAAGAGAGTGTTTAAATTAGGAAAAAAAATATCGCATACCTAATAGCCGGTTTAAATATTTGCCACACGATCCTAATAAAATTAGTTGGGTGCACTAGATATAGGGCTTTAAGATTCTTTTTATATTTTCTATCAAATGCTTTATATGCTTGCCACAACCAAGACAGAGGTGGCTTGTTTTTGGACGTAAGGCCATAATGAAAGTAAACGAGACTATAATCTTGCTCCACGAATGTGTCTAAGGTATGTGTGAGATACCTGTGGAAGACAGAAAATAGAAAATTAGAAAAGAATGATACAACGTAGTTAATAAAGTAAACACAGACTTGATAACTCTTATAGAAAGACATTTGGCTAGTTATAATATTGTAAAATAATTATGCATTAACAACTGACATTGACAAAAATGACAAATCATTGTTATCGCATGTCATCCTGTAATATATAACTGACCTAAGGAGCTTAGCATGATTGAAGGTCTCTTTTCCAACAGGAGGCAATTTACAGGCTGACACCACTATTATTTTGCGACCAGCACTGTCATCGCCAACCACCTCCACAATCCCATGCCTAGATATATCGAGATAGTCTTCCTCATCTGCGAGTTCACCATCTAAAGCGGCGAGGTCTTCTGCTACTCATCAACAGAAATATTTGTTGTGATAAACTTTCCACATCGATGAGGCTCTCAGGCATACTTAACAAACACATTTCAATCAAAAATACAATTAGCAAAAATGATTCAATCCCTTGAAGCAACTGCATATATAGTGGTGAGAAAGAAATAAATATACAATAAATGAACAAAATAGATGACAATTATGATCACCATCCTGCTGCAGGAGATTGAATTGTACATAAAGTTACTGCAAACCTATTTAAGAAGCAATCAACGATCGTTACATTCCTTTTCTTCTTTCACCCTTACACCATGCAATTTAACAAACTATACAACGTTCTACATAATTCACCTGCTATGCCCCGAATGCCATGACATTTAGTGGCTACTAACAGAAGGTAAAAGGTCACACACCAGATTCAATAACTGGAGCATCTACCAAAGCTTCCTCAAAGTTCTCTTCGATCGTGCCGTCGCTCACTGGACTTTCCAAATAATCTATTCCTGTGCCTGCGCCGCTACATGCCAAATCTAATTTCTCTTCCAGAAGTTGCACAGCTGCAACAAGAAGGTCACATGTGAGACACATGACATGAACTACAAATCAAGCAAGTACCTCCGAATATGTTACCATTGTTGGAAGTGGTTTGCAACTCCGTGTCATCAAACTCCAGATTTGGCTCATAATCGTGATAGTCCGACAAACTAGGGTACGGGTCTTCGCAGTCGTTGGTCATACCTGTTGGATGAAAATCGAAAATCAGAACCACACGGTCGACGTTATACTCACAGGTGCACTCGTGCACGTTCCGTATGTATTTTATACAAAGGAGCCGGAGTGGACAATCGCAGTTGATATATCGGCCATCAGCACGCCCGAAATCGCGCGATCAAATTATTTGGCAAATTATTTGGTCTTATTTGACAAACGCAAGGCGATTTAGCGGCCTTCAGCTGCCAGACACACACGCGACGGGACATCGATACGTAGACAGAAGGTAGGCATTAGCGTATTGTCAACAACCGCGACCTACAGCAGCACGTCAGAACCGTCTCTCTTTCTTTCTCTCTCTTTTTCTCTCTCTCTCTCTCTCTCTCTCTCTCTCTCTCTCTCTCTCACCTATCAACGTCCGCGACGGGCTCATCGTCGGCTGATAGTCTGCTTCCATATCTGCGACGTCGAGCGACGCGTCCAAGCTGCTGCAGCTGTCGGAGCTGCGACGCTGTCCTGCTGTTGTTACAGACGTGCAAGATCTCGCTGAATTTTCTCGCACGATGACATTATCTCTCTCTCTCTCTCTCTCTCTTTCTCTCTCTCTCTCTCTCTCTCTTCTCCTCTCTCGACGTACTCGGCGACTTACGCTGGGGCAACGCGCGACGCGCTACGGCTCACATCACACGCTTTCATCTATCGCCGCCGACGTTACCGCCGTATTGATACTCCCGCCTCTCTCTCTCTCTCTCTCTCTCTCTCTCTCTCTCTCTCTCTCTCGATACACTCGCGAGACACAGTGCCGACTCCTGCAGGCCCCGGCTCGCAACTAATCAAACGCAAGAGAAGCGAGTCACCCGCCGATCTACGTAGCCGCTCGCGCCTCCACGGCGACGGATTGTCGCCGGTGAAGTGAATCAATAATATCACGGCAGCCGACGCGAGCGTCGTCGCGCGGCGTCGCGTCGCACCGCGCCGGGGCGCGCACGACCGTGAAAATCGAATAAATAGTCACTCGCGGTGGCAGCCGGAGCAGAGACGTGAACAGACGTCAACGGACGACACCGCGAGGCGAGGCACGACCAGACGAGACCGGACGAGACGTCCTGTGTGCGGAGCCGAGCGGAATCCGCATCCGCATCTCGCGACGACGACAACACGTCCGCGCGCTCTCTCTCTCGCCGGGTAGAGCCTCGTTACGGAGGAGAGACACAGGTGCGCGCGACGCTCGCCGTCGTCCCCGTCCGGAACGCGTACCCTCGCCGCTGCCGCTCGGAATATTCCTCACCGATGAGCGAGCGACCGAGGCGCGATCGCTCTTCGACGGTGGCTGCCGCGCGGCCGCCGCTGCGGCGAGACAGGCCGCCTAGCTTTTGAATCCTCCCGGAGGACACCACGCGAGGAATGACGCTGGAAAATCCGTTCTTTGTCGTCAAGGAGTAAGTGCAGTCGTGCGAGGCGATTTCAGGAGCGATCGATATATCTCGCTCGGGCTCGAGAGAAGCGACGATTCCGTGCTCTATGTGTATGTGTGTGTGTGTATGTGTATGCGGATGTATGTGTATGTGTGGGTGCATGGGCGATGCGTGTGCATGGTGTGCGAATGCATGGGGATTCGCGCGGTATTGTCATGGAGATTTTTTCGGGCTGGCGAGTGCGCGCGCGCGAACGAGCAAACAAGTATAAACATGCTGATAGGAAACGGACGGCCGATAAGAGCCGTCGGCTCTTATCCGCGATGCGATATCGCGGAGATTAGACACGGTGTCACAATTGATATGCGGTTTGATTCACGCGTTATCGCGTCGTGGAAAAAAAAATATATCGCAATGTGTCGATTATCTCGCCGCGGCATATTATTTCGACAAGCTCGCGCTCCTTCCTGCATGACGAAGCGCGGTTCTACGTGACGGACGTGTGTTGCACGATCTGACGTATCCGAGGTGAGCAGCTCGGTGCAACAACATGAGCGACTCACGATTGACGTGCCGGAGATCGTCGCAATCGCCGCGAATTTGGCCCGCACATCGACGGACAATCGCAATTGTTTCGACCCGCGCAGATGTCTCGGAGACGGCTTAGAGGCCTTTGAAGGATATCTTCTCCGGTCCCGGCCTATACAGCACAAAAGTTGCAGTAACATTGCTGCAACTTTTTATGTGGGACGTCTCTCGGGTATCTCAAAACCGCGTTTTTGGCACTTCGGAGTGCCGCTTGTGAATTTGTCATGTCGCAAATTACGAGAAAAATGGCGTGAGAAAGCAAGTCTCGTGAGAACACGCTTCTCCACTCACGACATATTTCTTATTTTGATTTCAAAGCGAAACGATTTGTCTTCTCGCGAATACCTATACCTATACGGTACACCAAGCTAAAAAACGTTGCTGCAACGTTGAAACAATGTTGCAATGTTGCAGCAATATTGCTGCAACTTGTGTGAGTACGCAGGTGGAACATAAAATTATGAAGACACATCAAAACGACGAGAAGATGACCAGATTGTGAGGAAAAATGAATTTTCCTCATCACTTTGACGTCATCATGATTTTCTGCGCCGCCTGGATACTCGAGAATAATTACGCGAGAATTATACACTCGCCTTCGTATCGTTACTACGATACGAAGGCGAGTGTCGCAAAAACATGCTTCTGCCTTCTCTTTATATACTTGTTATTTTTATTTCACAACGAAACAGGAAATATGTCGTATCTTTCCGATTGCACTGTATCACTCATTTATGCGGCGAGAAAGTAATAGCAAATAACTGCGAATAAATGAGAGAAGATAAGGAGGTCGGAAAGAGTGCAAGAAGTGCAAATCGATAGATCTGCCGAATCGCGAGCAAAGTATGCCACGAGAGAGAGAGATCGCGTTTGAACGTTCGAATGCCAGTCTGCGGCCAAGTTCGTCCTGCGCGCTTTCGTGCCGAAAGCGCCATTCTATCTTTACCGCTCTTTACGGGAAAATAGAATAACGCTTCATCGGAAGCGCGAGAAAGCGTGCGAGACGAACTTAGCCTTCAGCGGCCGCAGAGCGACGATCGAAGAGCGTGCGCCGGACGAGGATTTAAATTTGAACTCGAACTCGATCGCGATCTCGCCCTGCGCTTATCGCGATTGGCGCGCTAGATCCTGAGCGCACGCGGGCGCATGCGCCTGCGCACGCGCGCTTGCGCAGCAATGGCGGCTTAATCGATTGCGAACGCGCGGATTGTTGCTTTCCAGCGAGGTGTGCAAGGCGCTGAATAAGAACCGCGGCTTGTACGGACGTTGGAACGAGTTGCAAGATGTCGCGATCGCGTCGCCGAACACACCGGTGAGCGGCGGAATTTCCGCGGCAGCCGCCGCCGCTGCGCCGATCTCGCGAGACGAGCTCGACTGGACCACTACGGAGCTGCGGAAAGCGCTGCGCTCCATCGAGTGGGATCTCGACGACCTGGAGGACACTATCTATATCCTTTGCTCCATCGCTTCTCACGCGTGCGCTTCATTTCACGCGACGTATACACAATCGTAAATCTGTTCTTTTTCCAAGGACTTCTGAACTGACACAGTAAGTCGGAGTGAAACAGATATATTTTCTCTCATTCTAACTCACCGCACTAAGTGCGCGCTCAAAAGTCTTCGAAAACTAGTTCTTTGAAAAAGAATAGATCCCTGTGATTTTCCTTTACACACAGAAAAATATTGCATCCTGATAAGTCTCAGCAAGCACAACCCATACAGCGCAAAAGTTGCAGAAATATTGCTGCAACGTTGCTGCAATATTACAATGTTGCTGCAACTTTTGTGTTATATCGGAATGCATCATGTAACATACCTGTTAGTTGTAATTTCACTTTCATCAATGTAACATGTAACATATCTGTTAGTTATAACTCTTCCTTATTATCCTTATTGTCATTAATTCCTTATTGTCAACAATGTAACTGTCATACAGAGTGTATAAAAACCGGAACAGCGAAATATCTCAAAAACTAAGCATTTTAGAATAAAAATGTTTCAGGCGAAAGTTGTATGGTTTCAAGAGAGACATAAAACAATATATCATTTTGTTTATAGGTGGCGTCATTTTCGAGATATTCGCTGATCATTAAATGGAAATCTTTCTTAAATGGAAACACCAATTTTTTTATTATATCATCTTTTTCTTCCAATTTTGGATAACTTTTGTCTGAAACATTTTTTTATTTGCCTAATATTTTTGTAATATTTGAAGAAAACTTGTGGTAAGTTTTTCAAGACGATATCTTGCCATAACCATTTGTCGGAAGAAAAAATAGTATTAGACTTTTTTACTTTATTTGGTTTCAAGAATATATTGTTACAATAGCGCCCTGACTTTTTTTAATTTGATGATTTTGAAATTTCCAAAGGTCGATAAGTTAACAAAAGTCAAAGCACTATTGTAACAATATATTCTTCAGACCAAATAGAGTAAAAAAGTCTCGTATCGCTTTTTCTTCTGATAAATAATTAATGAGATATCATAAGTTAAATACTGAAAAAGTTATTAAGTTTTCCTTAAATATCCGAAAAAATATTAGGCAAATAAAAAAATGTTTCAGACAAAAGTTGTTAAAATTAATTGATAGAAAAAGATGATATAATAAAAAATTAAGGTTCCCGTTTAAGAAAAGTAATGATCAGTGAATATCTCGAAAATGGCGCTGTCTGTAAACAAAATGATATAGTTGTTTTACCCCCTTCGAAATCATATAACTTTTGTCTGAAACATTTTTTTCTAAAATGCTTAGTTTCGCCGAAATATATTTCGCCGTTCCAGTACTTTTTATATACCTTGTATAATGCACGCGTTATGTAACAGTTACATTGTTGAGAAGGGAATTACGATTAACAGATATGTTACATGTTACCGTGTTAACTGGTTACTTATTTTAAGTTTTCAATTTATATAGGGTGTTAAACGATACATCTAAGTCACTCGTGTATGTACGTATAGGTTGAATCAAAGGTTGAGCAAAAGATTTCTTTAGCATTCCTTTTTGCGAAGAACCACATGAAATTTTGCGAACAGAAATCACGTAAAAATAAAACCGCATTCGGATTAATGTTGCTTGTTTCAAGTATTTAAGTTTATATATAGAATGTCCAACAATAACATTTCTCGCGTACGTATACATAGATTCAAAATGAGCGAAAAATTCCTTTAGCATTTTTTTGCCAACAACCACGTAATATTCTTGGAACAAAAATTATGTAAAAATATTGCACTCTGTTAAATGTTATTTGTTTCAAATATTTAAGTTTATGTAGGATATCTCGTAAATATTTCGTGTATATTCATATATATTCGATCAAGATAAACAAAAAATTTCTCCGCCGCCCTCCCCTCCATTTTGCGATCAACCAAGTAAAATTTCGGGTACAGCAGATGAGTTGCGATTGCGATTCCTGCCATCCTACGCTTGTAAATCGAATCGAATGGAAAAGCTATTTTACGAATAACCACGTGGATTTTTAATTATTAATCAAAGAACATTGTCGCATCACCACGCGTGATCATCCGCCAATCTTCTTTAATTAGTAAAACTACTAATCTACGTGGTTATTTGCAAAATCGTATAAGATGTTTTTGTTCGATTTCGTCTAATCGACGACGCCGTTATCATAGCTCATAGATAAAAATCGTTATCATCTAACATATCGTGCGTGATTGCTCAATTTCCTTTAATTAACAACGGAAATCTTACGATGGTTGTTCGCGAAATGGAGTGTAGAGAATTTTTTTTCAGTTTTAACCTTAATTTAAACGTACAAAAGATTTATATATATCGTCAGACATCTTATATATTTTCTAGTCTATCACAAGTTCATAAGCATCAAACTTATTAAAAATGGATTCTAATTAGTACTTTGCTCAAAAATAGTAAGTTAAAACAAATATTAAATTGAAACAAATTCAGTTTGCTTTTCCTACATAGAGTATAACTTTTATAATATTCTTCAGTAGAAGATAATTTTTTTTTAAGTACAAAGCAATGAATGTTAAATTAAAAAGATTGAAATATAAGTCGAGAACGTCACAAGACACCTGATGTATACGAGGAAGCGTTTAGTGTCGAGAATATCTCGCGAATCTCAGATGAATAATTGCTTGTTTTTCCGGATCAAATCGCACTTGGTAACTGATAGATTTTAAACAGATCTCTTCTATATGCAAATCTTGCAAATTACATCACGAATATCCTTTTCTTTTTTTACGCGATTCGAACGTAATTTTCTGTGTTGTATCCTTAATGCGTACGCACGTATCGTTGAGAAGAACCCGACGAAATTTAAGATCGACAACAAAGAGTTGACGGTTCAACGGAGCTTCATCGAGCAGGCGCGTGAGGAAGTCAAAGTAATTAACAACTAACGTCGCATCGTTGAATCTAATAGTTATGTGAAATTAATGCTCTGTCCGTTTGTAAATATTTCGCAGATCATGAAGGATAAGCTAAACCTAAGCAGAGGCCGGGACCGCGACAGCACAGCAAGACAGGTTTGTGCATATCGCAATTATTTTAATTATAACCCATTATGTCACTACTATATACCTATATAACTTGCTACATGTATACCGAGTGTTTAGAAGAAAGAGTTCCAGACTTACAAAGTAGACCGTATTCGTTATACTGATTGCGAATAAAAAGTGTAAAAAGTGAGCCTTACAACACAAAAGTTGCAGCAACATTGCTGCAACTTTTGTACTGTATAAGAATAAACATAGATCGAAATCAACCTTTTATTTTTTAATACGTTTGTTCATTCACCATACATGATCAATAGAAGTATACAAATAAAAGATTGATACTCCCGATCTATTTTTACTAGAAATGCTTAGTAAACATAAATTGAAAAATCAATCTCTTGTTTATTAATATTCGTTTGTTTATTCACCGTGCGTGATCAATGGAAGCATGTAAATAACTTGCGTTGCCAAAATCGAGAAACATTTGTGACTGAAAGGATTGATATTTCCTGAGTTCTTTTTAGTCAGTACAATAATTACCAACTACCCTGCTAAGTCTTGAACGCTTTTTTTAACATTTTGTATACCTAAACTCGCTCTGTGACCGTAAAATAACGCGGAAATTTAATTATTATAAATTCCGTTAACAATTATTACTATTTACATTATATTTGCATCATAACTTGAAACTATATATGTGTCTAATAATTTAACAAGAACTATGCGTTTAAAAAAATAAGAGAAATAAGATATACAAAGTTAAAAGAAGATCGGTTTTACAATTAAATTAAATTAATCAGTAAAAATATAATCTCGAATTATAAAATTTTCCATAATTGACTACGTAATTTTATTGGAGTTCGGCTTAAGGATTTAAATTTAAAGGGTGTATGTGCGCGCTATGAACGAAAATAACAACGGCATCTGTCGGTAGTGTTGTTAACCTCGTATCAGGAATCTCATTATTGACGATGTACTGGGATGCGTTTGTCGCGTAACCTCAAAAGGGGTGTTCGTCATGTCGGTCTTGTCAGTGGATAACATTACTTTAATAGTTGATGTATTGTAAAAATAAACAATAAATTCACACGCTATTAACAATGGTAGGCACGCTATTTGTACTTTTCACTGTGAACAAAGCAGAATATGTCAACTAGTGGAATTTTAAAATTATATTCTCCACTAACGTTTGTGATTTGACATTTCTGTTCTATTATTGTAGATATTGTTAGTAGATATTGTTAATAGAAAATTTATTGGACATAATTATATGTGGATATCTATATGGGATAATTGTACAAGTAAATATTTTATATATTCTATCTTCAGCCGCTTTTGGATAATAGTCCGGCACGAATGCCCACAAATCATGGTACTACAAAGTACAGCAAGCTGGAGAATGAAATCGACAGTCCTAATAGGCAGTTTCTCAGTGACACAATGCAGCAGCAGAATACCATGATAAGACAACAAGACGAGCAGCTGGATATGATTGGCGAGACTGTCGGTACCTTGAAAACAGTATCCAGGCAAATCAATACTGAACTGGATGAGCAAGCTGTGTAAATAAATCCTCTCTTGTCACTTCTTACGAAATTTTATTTCAGTTTTACGTATGTCTCAGGTATATTTCCTTAATGTTAAAAACAATTGTTATATATTCTTTCTTAGATTAGTTAAATTTCAAAATGTTGTAATTTTGGATCGCATCAACTATCAAAATACAAAATGCAGTTTTGATGCTTGACAGTAAAAGACACGGATTTGAAATATTCTGGATATATTTGTGATATCTGCTTCTTGCAGAATGCTAGATGAATTCGGAAACGAGCTAGAGGCTACAGATTCCAAACTGGATGCGACGATGAAGAAGATGGCGAAGGTGCTTCACATGAGTAATGGTAACTATAACAATTATATTCCCGCCCCTACCACCGCGTCGTCCAGCGTTTCCGACCTGACCGCTGACAAACCTTCCTCATTTTCCTCTTTATCCACCACGATAACCAACTGTTTTCTGTGTTCTAGCGATTAATTGATTGTGCGTTCCTATAATTGTTTAATTAAACAGTCATGGAAGGGGATCATAAGATCCATCTTCCTCTTGTGTATCTCGAGCACGCTTTTTATTTTATTCTGATGTTTGCATTCTTTTCAAATTTCCGTGACATCAAAAGCACAAAATTCGGAATGTTAAATAAATACATTTCAGATGTTTAATTAGACGCGGATGGGTAATATTTTGCGGCTCGTAGAAATCGCATAGTAAATTGATATATTACATCTAAGACCTAATTATATTAGTCCCTATCGCTGCTTCGTAAGATGATAATAGTTTGTTACGTGTAATTAATTAACAAAGATATCGAAATATCTTCGTTTGAGGAGTGCGAATTTTGTCGCGTTATTTAGTGTCGAAAGCAGGGCGGACCAGTTAGATCTCAAAGGGAGTACTCTTATATTAAAGTTAGTCAACAATTTGACCGACAAGAAGAATTGAACGTATTAAACATACGCAATATGTGACTGAAAAATATGTCCACCGGCGAACGAAGGTTTAGATTTCAATTTTGATTGGGATTTTTATCTGTGGTGTATTCTTCAGTCGCATATATACGTATGTGACTGAAACGAATCGGAGATTAGTAGCGTTTTTGACTAAAGCAAAATTTGATCACCCTGAGAACGAATTTACAGAATTATCGATCGTTCTCAGAGCGATTGAATGGCACCTCAATTGGGAACGCTATCAGATTAGAGTTTGAATTCTCGCGAAGATATATATATACATATATATATATATATTTTTATTCTGTGGCACGGCTACAGAGTCGCGCGTACGTACGCGACGGAGAAATAAGTCGCGGGCGAAAACTTTAAAATGGGATTTTGAATTTTTGTGAATACATGGGTCAAGAGTTTCACAGTCATTTGCGAATTGACCCGCGAAGTTGCACGCGTTAATCTTCTAACTTTACAAAAGATTGACAACAAGTATATCATTGATGTTGAGTAGTTTACGTTAACTTAAGTTAAACAATTTAACGAAATGCATTATTTTAACTAGAATTAGAATAACTGAAATTATACTGTAAGATTTTAAAGACACGCGGTAACGTTGAAAAAGCTTCAGGATATGTATGGAAAACTTACTAAATGAAGGGAGACACATATGATAGTTTAATAAAAAGAGAATATTGAAAATAACAATTATATATTTTTCCTCATTGAAGAGAACGACAATTCGTGCACAAAAAAGTCGAGAGAATATGTCTGTGCGAATAGAGAGAGAGAAGCGTATAGATTGCACTGACTACATGTAACCGAACTCGAAAACGTAGTTTATTGTTATCTCTCTTTCGTCTCGACGACCAATTGTGAAAAAAGGAAGGAAGAAAAGAGAGTATTGACAAATAAAAGCTGAGAACCGATTTATATTGTCAACTGTAAACGATTATAAATACTCCTACTCCTCGCTATATTTCTTATTGTACGCATTATAATTGTAATTGTATTAAGATTATAATTAATATTCTGTATCATACATTTTTTTATATAAGTTCAACGTGTTGCTGTTTCCGCAATGTTTTTGCCAAGTTCCCCAAATGACAAATATAGAAGAGAATGTCAAATAAATCAATTAGACTTGCCACTTTGCTAGAGGTCGAAGGGCAGAGTTAAAGTAGACGAGTATTAACGATTATTGTTGCACACGACGAGCGTTTACGAAAGAGCCTAATATCGTAACTTTAATCCCAATTTCGAATCTCTCGTTCATAAGTGAGACGCATGTGATGTTACTTTCCGTTTGTTTTAGATCGAAGACAATGGGTAGCCATTGGAGTGTTGACCGCTATATTGGTGTTTTTAATTATTTTGTTCATAATTAAGTGAATTGCCACACGCCTTTCTTTCTTCCCCCTCCTCCTTACCCAATCATCGCTAATACGATCGGACCCTCTTTTCGTAGCGTTAAGTGTAATCCTAGCTCGTTAAGTCGTACCTGTTTGACAAACTTATTATCGATAGTGAGATTTTATGAACGATACGAATAAACACAGTGTTATTATAATTCAGTGTTGATTTCTTCGAACACCTCACCTCAATTTATATGTATGAATATTAAATATTGCACATGATACATATTAATAGTGTACTAACAATTTATAAATTAAAGAGTCATTTTCCTCAATCATAAAAAACGACTAAAATTCGGCAAGTTGTAATTTCCATAAAAGGAATATTAATAAGCTGGTTCAAGAAGTATTTTACGACATAAAGTCGCTAGTCTTAACATACTTTTTCCAATATAAAATTTAATTTAATTTACATACTCGCAAATTGCAGCTTGATTTTTTTATCAAATTACTCTGCTGAAACATTATTGATTAACAGAACAGAAAACATTATTGATTGACAGAAGGTAATTGAATTAGTGTACAGAATTCATTAAGAAATAAATAAGAAAAGCTAAAAATCTTTAAAATTAATTTTTTTTCAAATTTTTCATGAAAATATAAGTTTTTATGATAAAAAATCGATTGAGATATCGATTTGGAAAATAAATTCTAACTTTCTAACTAACTAAAATAAATTCTACTTTTCACTTAACTCGATTCATCTTGACGAAAAATTATTATATATTAATATATTAATATAGTTAAAAACTAGAAGCTTCAGACTATAAAATACTTTTTGAATCCAGTGTGTAGCTTATTATTATTAAGCTTTAGCTTATTATTATTATTGTTTGCGATCCGACCAAATCGTCGCTCTTTGTTTCGACGGAATCGAGGATTCTCGATGCCACGAGATATTCTGCGTGACTCGCGCGTGAGCACGCCGTGCGTGTTCTGCGACCGGACACCACGTTGTTCTTGTCACGGTTTGTCAGCATGTGACTGCCAAACCTGGCAACGTTTTAAACAATAGCGGTTAACGTCTCATCTCCGAGCGACATAAAAACTAAAAATAAATGTAAGATCGACGTGACGAACGTTTTTCGGTTCCTCGCTTCGATCAGATCTTCACTTCGCACGACACCGCTCGCAAGTAATATTTCAGTTTGTTCCGCTCCGTTTTTCGTTTTTTTTTAAATCAGCTGCTCGACCGCTCCGGTCGAACCTCATCGTACGAAATACGATTGCGGTCTCAACGCATTGCGCTTCGAACGGTCATATTCATCGCACATTGTTAAAGTTTATTTTGTATTTTTTTTATAATAAAATTGCGATCGCGTGTTCGAGTGGTGCTCGCGCTCCAACTTGCGAGTATTGGCCTCCCAGCACCTCGACGAACATCGAAGCAAAAGAGAAAAGAAAAGGAGGAACGATCCCGCGAAACTCAAAAGGCAGTGTCTTCCTTTCCATTTGAACCCCGCGCTCATTGCTGAGCGGTCCCGGTCTCTTGTTCGCTTAGCCAAAGGGCGAACAATTATATTTTAATTTGAATATTTCTATAATGTAAAATCATTTATGTTTTGTAAAAGAATTTCTTTTTTATATTTTCATGATTTTATTCCTTTATTTTATTTGGACATATTAACACATTCATCATCAGGTATACTTTAGCTGACTTTCCGTTCATATGTTAATCGTTTTAACAGAATTCGTTGTAATATGCTGATGTAATCATTTTGAAAATCTTAATAAATAACAATAGTAATCCGCCAAGACACTTTGTGTCTGCGTTTTCATTATTATTCAACATAGCTATAATCTTGTCGATGCATTTAGTTAATAATAAAAGTAATTGTATATTATACCTTAAGTCTTAAATATAAATGTTAAGGAAGGAGAAAGTAATTATATTATATTATACATATTACTTTAAAATATTTATTGTCTCGAAGCGGTAGAGTTTGTACATATAATGCTAAGCTCGTATAAAAATGCTTTCTCAATTTCTCATATATGAGAATATCGTGAACATACATCCATGTGAATTGCAACTGCTTATTCGCACAATGAGATTCTCTAAAATATCGTATATACTTTAAATATACATTCTGTTTTTAACAATATCGATGAGAAAATATGCTTATCTATTATTTCGATGGTCTTTAAACAATATTTAAGTACGTTTTTACAGTGATTTTGAGAAACAAATCTGAATGATTTGGGAGTAATATAATATTTGATAATGTTTTTATGTCCATAATGGAACGTAATGGATAATGAACGCTGTTCTTAGCATGAACCCGATTGTACTTCGATACCAGATTTCCATGAAAAAATAAATTTTATATTATTACTTCTGTCATTTTTACAAAATAGATTTCAACAATATTATTATAAAAATGGATTAATAATTTCATTATTTAAAAATGTTTCTTCGTCTTGAAAAAGTTGAATAATTTTTTTATCTTCATATAATTGTATTTTTTGAAATTTCTACGTCTTAGATCATCTTAAAATGACATAATATGGCAGTTACGTGTTACGGATGTGTACAGATACTATATACATATTTATACACGTACTAAGATTAGTAAATTATAACAAATATAAATGCAGATGAATATTCTATAAAAAAAAAATTACAAGCCCCAGTGTATATATTATAAAAAAAAATCTTTGGTATAAAAAACGATGTAATAAACGATGTAAAAAGAATAAGGCACTTCAGGGCTCGAGACGGACGCGCTGATAACAGTCGACAGGTAGGACCTTGCGAATGTCGTCGATATTCTCTACTTCAATTCGTAATCTATTCACTTCGCTTTCGAAATTCTTTACCCACTGTGTCTGTGTATTCTTGGCATCTGTGAGAGTACGAATTCGCTGGTCTAAATTGGCCGCTTTAATTTCCTTCTCGGCAGCCACTAGCCGCTCCTCCAGCCGATTCAAATCGGCATCGTCTGAAAAATCAAATATGATCATTACAATTTATACAATTATAATTGGTATGTTAAATATTTTTAAAACACAATTCGTCTGTCAAAACTTTTTGCAACAAAGAGTATCTGAAATAAATCGAAATACTTGAAAATTTTTAAATTTATACATATATGACTTATGTCAGAAATAATAATGTATAAATTAAAAAAAAAGTAGGATCAAAATTATATACACTAATAAAAATTATTCAATTTAAGGAAAATTATTAATAAATTAAAATTATTAATATTTAAAGATAAAAAAAGTGTAGGAAAAGAAACTAAAAGAATCTCACCAATTTCTGGAAGATTTTCTAACTCTTTGATAATCTCGGCTACTTCGGATAAGGCCTTATCGACTAGATGTGTGGCTTGAGTTACGTTAATTTTCGCCTGGCCGACTTTGTGATTAGCCTAGAAGTAAATCACGAATTAACAAAGTAATAGAATTCACAATACTATCGCTAACGATATCTGCACCGATTTAATGCTACAGAGATATAAATTTTTTATATTTATTAATTACCAATAATATCCTCCTCTATTTAATTAATTTTACTTGTTTTCATTGCATTATTACATCTCTATATGATCATATAATACGCTATTCTATATTTGAATCAATTTTATATATTCTTCATATATGTCGAATTTATTTAACGAGCTTATCTTTTACCTCTGTCGCGATGTTTGAGTCTTTGACTACTTGGATCTCGTACTGCCTCATCATCGTGTCTGTGATGTCTACTCTCTGGTGCAGCTTCTCAGCTTCATTACCAAGTCGCAGAGCCTCGATCTTCGTTTTATTCGCTTCCATTCTAATATCGTTCGCGTTCACGCTCGCTTTGTCCGCGTAAGTCTGCAAAAACGTAAATTGCAACTACAGAGAAACGCAACACAAAAAAAACTGAAATAATTATAAAATTCTTACGAATAAATAAAAAACTCTTTACATGTATATATTTCACAAATATATTTTTGTCTCACCTGAGCATTCTGTGCTATTTCGCGCGCATTTTTTGCGTTGTCCTCCGATCCGTTTAGCGCTCTCTCTACCTCTCTCGTCTGCGTGGTGGCAATGTCTATTAGTTCCTTGATGCTCTGTATATCTTTCAAGGCGTCTTGCGCCTTCACGCGTTCACGTTGCACCTCGGCGTCGAATTCTAAAAATAGTTTCGTTTAATTATTCTTTTTACGCACTCAAATATTTTCATTGCTCTTTAATGCATCTTATTTTTCTAATTATCCCCTCGAACTGATCCTTTTTTACTGAATTTACCTCCCAATTTTTTCAAAGTCTCCTGAGCTTCTTTTAGCGTTTGATCGCCACGATTAACAGCGTCATTCGCTGTTTCATTAGCCTGATCTAACTCGGCCAGTAGCTCAGCTGTCGCCGCTTGCTGATCTTGAGCTCGTTCCAGAAGCTCATGGCTCTTCCTCGCTTTCTCGGTCATTTCGTTTATGAGATTTTCGTTCTCCTCTAACAAGAGTTGCGCCTGTTCCTTAATTTTCACGCCCTGTTTCAATAAATAAGTGATATAAGTTGCTTAAATCGCTTATTCTTGGAGATACGAAGATTAAATAAGAGCCAATACTAAATAATGTAAATAAATCTGATAACTCACCTCATTGTTGACGCTTTCTACTTGTTCCCATAATTGCTTGATATCGACGTGCGGAAGGGTTAGATCAAGAATTAATAAATCTATGGCTTCCTGGGAGACAGTTGACGACTTGTTGGCCGCGACAGCAGTAAGATTTTTTACCTCGTTCATACGATCGTCCAATTGCGCTAACTTATTCTCCAGACCTCTTATTTCGTCACTGCAAAATTATTTTCGATACATGGTACATTTACAGAAGACTTTAGATTATAAATTAAAAACAAAGAAAACAATATTAAAAGGAAATAAAATTTATATATGTGATGCAACTTAAAAGGTAGAAGGAAGTGTTACTCACGTAATATTCGAGTACTTCGATATCGCTTGCTTTGCGAGATTGTAAGCTTCCAATGTCGTATTTCGAGCTTGTTCGGCCAACATATGAAGTTTCTTGGCTTCATTGGTGTTTCTGAAAAAGATATAACGCCAATATCAGGAGTAGTAATTGACTAAAATATTTAATACTAGCAATAGCTATAAAGGTAATTAATTAATCAGCGAGAAGTGAAAGCTTTATAAAAAGAAACGGCTTCGAGAAGATTGACCTATTAATAATGGAAAGTACATACACTTCGGCGAGCAAACGGGCCTCCTGCGCGATTGCCGTCATCTGCTGATTCTGCTGGCCGACCTGCTCCGCGCGCAATTTCGCATCTGTAAGAGCGCTCGCTCCGTCCGTGGCCAAATAATCCTCTGCTTCCTTTTGTATTCGCACGATCAACCAGAACAGATAATTGCATTGACTTTTTTCTCTTCTATCAATATTAAGAAAATTCTCTCCAAGCTTTCGTAATATTTTCAACGATAAAATAAATTTGAAGGGAATAGAGAGACTTTAGGACAACTTTGGAGACTGATTCTGATTTTAGCGTAGTCTCTAAATACAGTTCAGTTATAAAAAAACGGGTTCCACGAAGTTCCGCTTACCGTCAAGTGCTCGTACGTCTTGTCCAATACTTTCTCTGCCTCGTCAATGTTCACGAGGCCGTCCTCGATGATGTCGCGTGCGTCGTTCGCCGTCACATTCACTGTCTGGTAGATTTCGTCGATCGCGTTCAGTTGATCGCGTAACTCGTCCAGTTGCTCCACTAGTGTTTTGTTCTCACCTGATAAAAATTTTTGTGTTTTTATAACCAGGTTTTCTATTTGTAAAATTCAGTTGCATCATAGATATTTCTCCGTAAGTATGAACGTATCTACGTTTAAACGAATATAAAATATATCTAAAGGGAATAATAATAATAAAAAGCAATAATCACTGCCGGATCCTTGCTTGGCGACGTTCAATAATGCCCTGACCCTATCTTGGACGTTCTTGAGCTCCTTCTCGAAATCCGAATCATTAATAACGGTGGGACTGCTGTTGATCTTTCTCAGAGTGTCCTCCAGTTCGGCCAAGCGTCGCCTGTGATCGTCCACTGCCGATTGCACGAGATTGTAGCAATCCGGACAGTCCACGCATCCGTTTTGACGGTTGTGCTTGTTCTCCTTGCAGCGGTCGCAGCGTCTACCCTCCACATTCGTCAGACACTGTCGACAATCACCAAGTATATAGCGTTAATTTGATAAAACTCGCTTCGTCTTCATTTCCAAGAGATCAAAATTATAGCAGCCTTTGTTGCTTCTGAAGATATGAAACCAAGCATCCAAGACCATTACACTTACAGGACACTGTCCGCTGGCGTCGCACTGCAGGTCCTGAGAGCCGATGCTGTCGCAGTCACAAGGTTTACAACCCTCTCGACTGAATCCATATTGATACGGCTCGCACGCATCGCAGTGCTGTCCAGTGACGCCTAATCTACACTGGCACTGACCAGTGATGGGATCGCAAGTTCGATTATATGAGCCCTCGAGGTCGCAGTTGCAGGGCGTGCAGCCTTCACCGCTCATAATATGGTAGTAACCCTCTTCGCATCGATCACAATTGCGACCGACCACGTTTGGCTTACAAGTGCAGTGTCCCGTCAATTGGTCGCACGGCATAACTCTACCATCGTCCAACTCCACTGTGCCCGGTGGGTAACACTGACACAACTTGCAACCATCTTCTTTTCGATCCGATAATGCATCCCCGTAATATCCTGTGTGACAGATTGAGCAGATTATTTTTGACGATGTAAAGTGATAATTGTAGAAATGTCAAATTTTAACAGTAATCATGTAGAAAAATGACGTCCTAGATTTCTTTAATTGTAATATTGTATATGTTATAAGATTGGATTTGAGTAATTTTTACTTTACAACTATGTAAGTTTCTATGTAAGTCGCATGTAGTTTCTGAGACATATCAATTTAAAGTTCTACAATTTTATATTAAATTATATTGAGAGTGAGTCATTTTTCGCTGCTGTCACTTTAATCATCGTATGTTATTCTTTATTTACATTTATTTGCATGCTCTAATTTCTCCAAATATATTTCAGTTCACAAACGGCTTGTCAAAAATAAAAGATTTATATTACACATTAAAATATCTCTTTTATAAATTTTTTTCACTAGACATCTAGACTCAAATTTTGCATAATTGACTTTTCTAAGATGTTATTTTACTGTACAGTGAACTAATCAAAATTTAGTAAGGTAAAAGATTTGAATATTTTTATAAAAATCAATCACATAACAAAAATATACAAATGGCAAAGAACATAAAGAAACATAAATATATTTGGAATCATAGCAACTCAGCGTAATGAAAGATAAAATTACAATATTTTGAAGTAATATATATTAGGCACTACATGCAATCCGAATATAGTTTGAAGTAGATAACCCAGAATTTCACCCTCATAGTATACCTTAAAATCAAAGGAAATAGATATGTGAGATATGTAACTGTTTCTGCATAATTACAGCAATTTCTACTTAATATTAAAATTAATAAATATATATATGTATATTCATCATATATACATACATACACGGATAAATAAAAATTAATACATCAAAACATAATGAAATGAATAAAATTTTGAAAATATATTCATACACACACAGAAAAAGTCAAGAAAATAATCGATAAATAAATTTAATAATCAATAATAAATCGATAAATAATCGATAAATAAATACATATACAATGTATGATGGAATACGTATGTCCGTTTGTATGCAAGTAAAATTCATCAAATTAAATGAAAAAATTCTGTACCATTTTTCTAACCATGATCCTTATCAAGATGTTATTGATAATTTGAGTTGATATTATGATATTGTTAATAATAATTAGAAATGTGCGAACTATTCGAATTCGAATCGAATCAAATCTAATGTAATTCGATTCGATTCGAATCCGAATCCCTATGATTTGAATCCGAATAATACGAATAGGAATCAAATACAGGATGTTTACTCAAATCTGGAAAAAAAATTCCCTGACTTTTTCCTGATTTTTCAGGCAATTTGTTAAAAATTCCAGGTCAAATAAAAGTATTTTTTAACCCTCCGCATGTTTCATGGGTCTTTCAGGGAACAGTAAAATTTGAATTTACTGTAAAATTTGATTAAATTAGAGATGATGCTTGTAACTTTCATTTGAGGAAATATTTTTAGGATTTCCTTAAATGGAATTTTTAAGCCTCACCTCTCTAAATCAATCAAAGTTTACAGTAAATTCTAATTGTTACCGTTTCCCAAAAATCTACGAATCAAGCAGAGGGTTAAGTGTCTTATAAATGAATATATATATTTATTGTGTAACTTGTCTTTATATTTTCGATTTATAAAAGTTTAAATAAAACATAAAACTTTGTCGATACATAACAACGTAAATTACATTACCCAGCGAAAATATAATAAAAATTTAAATTGCACTTTAATATTAAAGAAATTTTCGATTATCTTTTAAAAGTTGCAATTTGTTTCTTGAAGTGCTTCTGCTTCTTTTTGCGCACTTTTTAAAATTTGTATACGTTTCATTTCTAACTCTTTTACTTTTAAATTCTTTTTTCTTTTCAAAGACCTTTCCTGTTCTATATTATTATAATATAAGAAAATTTTAAAAAGGACAAATTCAAAAAAATTCCCTGATTTCCAATAAAATTCCCTGACTTTTCTATGATTTTCCAGGCATAAACAAATTCCCTGAGTTTTCTCTGATTTTCCAGTTTTTTCCACCCAGTAAACACCCTGTAAATATATCACCGTTTGCGTGCATCAGGTACAAAACAGGTCATCTGGGCCTGTATGTTTGAACCCTTATCTTGCAATTAATTTAACTTATAATTAATAACTTAATTATAAATTACTTTAAATATTTAAATATATATTTTACTTTAAGATATTACAATATCAATATTCCCTTTCATATTAAAATCTTCCATCATTATTTGCATGTTTAATAGTCATGTTAAATTTTTTAATGATTCGATTCGATTTCATTCGATTCGATTCGAATTCGAGTGAAATTTCATAGATTCGATTCGATTCGAAATCGAATTTAAAAAATGAGATTCAATTCGATTCGATTCGATTCGACATAAAAATTCTTGATTCGCACATCTCTAATAATAATGCATGTCCAGCATTAGGCACTGTCCGTCACTGCCAAGAAATTGTTAATAGATTCAGATGTCTTGAAGAAATTTTACCCAAAAAGTTTGTTTCAACGAGTTTATCAAGCACTCACTCGTTAATTTTCTTTAATTAATATCTCAACAAGTATTGTGATTTTTGCACAATATTACAATCTTTTTTATCTGGACACCTTATATATTGTATTAAATGGAAATCAATTATACTCAAGTACCAGGTAGACATTCATCGCAGTGGAAGCCCGCTGTGTTGTTGACGCACTTAAGGCACTCTCCAGTCTCATGATTACAATTTCTCACAGCATTCAAGTCAATATTGTTATTGCAGTCACAGGGACGACAAGCCAGGCCTCTCTCAGGATTCCCGTAATAACCATCTGAACATGTTTCGCATCTAGGTCCTGTAAAAGAATAAATGTTTCATCAAATGTTACAATATTTAATAAATTAAAGATAAAGATCATATGACAGAAACGAACAAATGCATTTGCATATTGAAGTACATCAATCAAATGAATTCAAGTATATGAATCAAATGAATGAAATGAAAAATTGAATATACTTTAACACATTGACTATCAACTACGAGATATCTCGTAGGTTGTTTACTTGCCCAGGGCTGCGATTCTGTAACTCGTTATTGGAGTTAACGTCAGTTTCGTTATTGTTGCGCAGCTTTTCTACGGTATACAAAAGCTGCGCAACGATAACGAAAGTGTCGTTAACTCCAATAACGAATTACTGAATCGCACCATAGGACGCCTAACTACGAGTTATTTCGTCCCTTCATTACTTGCCATATTTGTACAGCTACGAGGAAACTCGTAGCATAACAGTGTAAATATGAATAGATGGCCTCAGGAAAGAGAATAAAAAATGTTTAAAAAAAAAAACATTTTTTAAGCTTTTTGATTATTACTATGTATTATTATTAAAGTTTTTAATAATATAACATGATTAAATCAAATTGGCTCTTTAGACCGGAATCGTGAAAAATTCCGTGGCAGTCAACGTGTTAATACAAGACAAAATATTAGGTTGTGTAATAATTTCAGATTTTTCAAAATAAAACGATTGTGTTTCTGTGTCGTTTAATTCTATGTAACATGAAATAATTTTATGAAATAATGTATATATAAAGGATGGCAGAAGATCGTAAATCAAAACGAAACATTTCATAAAATTTCATAAAATCACAAAGGCGGGAAAATACAATTGTTTCGTTTTACCTCCGATTAATATATAACAGTTTCTTTTTTAAATTATTTTTAATATTAATTACTCACCGGTCCTGCCGATAGGGCACTCGGAGCAGATGGGATCAGGATTGCTTCCTAAAAGGATACAAGGTCCGTTATCAGGACAAGGACACGGCTGGCAATCGTTTGGCGTTCCCCTCAACGGATGCCCGTAAAATCCGCGGGCGCACAGCTCGCAATTGTCGCCGGCCGTGTTGTGATGACAAATGCATTGTCCGGTTTCGGCTTCACAGATGTCAGCGTGGCCGTTGCAATTGCAAGACACGCAGAGAGCGAACGGACCGCTGTTGGGCGGATCGTGATGGAATCCTGGCGCGCAGGACTCGCAGAATTGACCGACATAGCCGTGTGGACACTGACAGTGCTCCACCCAATCGGCAGGTTCACCAGCGGCACCACGATGCGCAGTTTCTAATTTCACGTCGTCCAAGAAGCCTCGGCCTTGATTAGTGTACGTGGCGCGGATTTTGATAGCCGTCAGATTCGACAGAATTGACATAAAGGCTCGCGAGGAAAGTTGGGGCTGCCAGCCGTAACTCAAGTGTTCGTGCAGTTTAAATCGGTATTCCTGACGCTACAACGGCAATTGCAAAATTGCAAAATTAATATCATATGTCAAGTTTAGATATTAATCACAACAAAAAGTTATATGTATAAATTTGTATACTGCATGTAAACAAGGTAAACAGAATAAACGAAGCAAAGAAGAACGTAACAAAATGAAGGAAAGTGTTGAGTGATATTTTACAGTCGGATATCTTTTACGCAGTATCTGAGAGAGCTGTGAATAATAATAATTGAGAATGTAGAAGAATAATAAGCTTAATTGTAGAAGAATAAGGAAGCTTACTTTGACGGTTGGCAGCCGATTATTCTGTCCAAAAATAGTCTGCGTGATTTGCCCGCCGTTTGCGCCTTCGAGAATCACATCTCGCACCGTGACTGCCGGGCCGGTTTCTCCTATCCTCAACGAAAAGGACAGATTTTGATTGTACGATGCTCGCTGATCTCCCAGGAATCTATCGGGCGCGAGGAAGTAAACACTGTCGCGGCTCGCTGCGGTTACAGAGATGGTTTGTGTTAGTGCGTCGTATTGTACCGGAATCTGATTGCCAACCACCATGGCGGACCAGCGTTCGTTTCCTCTAACAAACATGCTCTCGATGACGAGCTTGGAGTAGCCAGCGGCTGACCGGCAAACAGCGGAATGACCATAACAGAAGCACGGCGTGCAGCCGAACTCGTTTTCCTCTGCCAAATTGAAGAAACCTGGACGACATCTGTGTAATTACAATAAATTAAACACAATTAAATGAAATATACAAGAAATTAAAATTACTATACTGAAATTCGGATACCTTATAAATTAATATAAAAGGAAAAAAAGCACGTGTATGCAAGAGTTAACGCAAGATTTATGTTGTTCAAAGTGTGAGATGAATGTCTCAATTGGTGATCAAGCAACTTCACCGCGAAAATAAATTACGTGTTCAAATGAGTATACAAAATTGATATCATTGAAAAACTTGAACACTTGAGGTTTTAATTGTATTATATTTTTCTTATGAAATTATAGAAAGATTTCAATTTATTTGTAACACCTCAGAAATGATTAAAGTATCATTTAGTGACATGAAAGTTTAGTTTCATAAAATAATTTTAGTTAAAATATGGCTGTACACATTTAACAAATAGATCTGATATTAATAACTGTCAAATATCAACCATTAATTATCTCTAAGATCTCTACGAGTGACTGCTTGAACTGTCAGTAGCATTCTTGTAATTATAACGTTTCAGCATTTATTATGATTTTTAGTTTTATACGAAACTTGATGCAACCGATGTAATATATAAAATTTAAAGTAAAAATACAAATTTATAATAAATGTAAACTCGTATTAGCTGATATATTAAGGAAAATGAGTGCAAATACACACAAATTGGGACACCACCACTAATTGGTCATTAACTGTCACTAAATTCATCTTATATTCAATTGCGAGACATTGATTTGGACACATTTTTTTCCGTTAAATCTAGGAAGAAATGACCATCAATACGAGAACCGCAAGTTACAAGCCTATGCTAATTCGCTATAACAAAAACTGACATGATAATTTCAAGAGAGAATTCAGGGAAAACGTGAGTATCTTTATTATATTCTTATCTATCAAATAAGAGTATAATAAAAGATCGATATTTGCATCGTGTTGCACTTCGGTTTCTGTCATATGACCAATTATCACACAAGGCTATAAGCACCGATTTACAATTGATACGTTTCTAATTTCGTCGGAAAAAAAATATCTTCAGAACTATTTCACGAATGATTAAGTGCATAGTTACGTTACATTGCTTGAATAGTAACATGAATTTTTTCTCTTCAAAATTGAATGCTCCGATATTAATTATACAGATAAGTCAAGCGGCACTGACTCTCTACAGCGTTTCCCTTCGACGTTCTCTTTGCAGACGCAGACTCCCGTGACCGGGTCGCAGCTGGGACTGTTCCCCTCCGATCCCGCGAAACTGCACTCACACGAGGTACAACCCAGCGAACCGAAATTGTAAAAATTGGGTGCGCAACGATCACACTTATCTCCTGTTACTCCCGGTTTACATTGGCACTTTCCTTCGCTGTTACACTGTAGACTCCTGGAACCTGATTATCAGTTGCTATAATTATTTTTAGCAATAACTGTATAAACAAAGGTCTTGTTTGAGGACTTGGAAAACATTTTCAAATTTCACTTTGCTTTGACGAACCAAGCAGAAAAGATCGTTTGCAATGTTAATAAGTGAGACTGAGAATTTCTTGTCATAATAATTGAAAAGACTCCTCCCGTGGAAAAAGTTGCACACGTACCGATCTCGTTGCAGTGGCAGGCGATGCAGTAATTGTCATCGGGACGTTGATAATAATTCTCCCGACACCGTTCGCAGTTAGCGCCATCGCGATTCGCTTGACAGTCCAGGCAGTGACCTCCGTGACCCGCCAACTTGTACAGTTCTTTGTCAAAGTAACATCTGTCCGAATAGCCGTTGCAATTGCAGGCTGCGAAAAAACCAAACAGTGACGATATTATTTGGAATTATTTGTGCACATGTGAGAGAGAGAGAGAGAGAGAGAGAGAGAGAGAGGAACTTCAATATATATAAATTTCAATATATATAAATATATAAATAACAATAAATATAAATAACAATGTTATTAACATTGAGTGATATTCCTTCTGAGATAAAAAATATTTTCTATGCTATATTTTACTATAATAAAATATTATGCTATAATAATTAATTACTGGATCTCGAATACCAAGGGAGAAGTCCGTCCCGCGCGATGCATTTTGCGACACAATTTATTATTATTGATAACACCAACAATCTCATTTTTCTGACATAACAATTCCTTACAGAACCAACCAAGCAATTAAAAACAAATTTTTTCAAAACACTGTCACTTTAAATTACGATCACTTTGGATTTCTTTATTTTTGCCACGAATATCTATCTGATTTTTATACACTTGCTTATCGTTATGAACTTCTTTAAATTATTATATCCATTGAGACCTATCTCTCCGCGAAAGTTTCATTGTACAGCGAGTTCCGGGAGATTTCGAGAGAGTGAAACAGATACACCTTTTATCGCGGCAAATGGCGACGCAACGAATGCAGGGAAAAGTACATTGCATCTTGCCTATCCCCACTCATGAGCACAGTCGAGAGTTGTACATTAAAGGTAAAGCCGGTCAGTACGTAAAAGGTAAGGTTGAACCAATGCCGTCGCTTATGGTCGTTTCACTTAGCGTGACCACCGTAAAAACGAAGCCTCAGAATTTAAATCCGAAGTAAAAGGCAGATTTTTATTTAAACGTAAATTCGATAAATTTGGAATTGTTATTCATGATATAGCTCAGTTAAGAAAAAACTTTTTTTTTTTATTTAATGTTTGGTCGATAGCCATGATCGACAGTCAACCTTTCCGTCAACATTTTTTATCCCATGATTTTACATTTTTACATTTTTTAGATTATTTAATGTTTTGTCTTAATTACAGACATTTCTCCCAAATAGCGAAATTAATACAAGGTAGTAGATAAGTACTTACGTTTGCATTCGTGCGCGTCTGTGGTAGTGGCTCGACCCCACGGCGCATCGTTGTAAAAGGGCAGGCACTCGTTGCAATCTGGGCCGGCGGTGTTATGTTCGCACCTGCAACATCCATTTATTAATTTATTAATCGGATGGAAAAGATTAACAGCAAAACATACCATAGAGGGATTCAAAATTGTTGCTAAATCCTTAAAAATTATTATCGAGATACAATGTATAACATCGTTAAATAATTAGTTACTAAGAGTGTACCGTAGAAAAATTAAGTTATTACTATTGCCGTTTAGATTACAAATTACTTTTGGAAAAATACTATTGTCACTCTCTCATTATTATGATACGGTTATTATCGCGTCATTGTGTTACGATCGTATAATTCATTGCAATTAGCGAACGCTGTTACAAAAAAATATATTCATCGCTATCTACGTGCTGAGAAACATATGTTGAGGAACGAATCACTTTACCGGCATACTCGACGAGTTCTACCGTCCACGCTAGTGCTGTTGACACACTCCCCGGCGTGGCCGTTGCAGGCACATCTCGCGCCAACTGCTACATCGGCGATGGCGTAGTAATAAGACTTCAATACATGCGAGTCACCGAATACTTCATCACCAAACGTGTTTAATCTGTCCAATGTGATTCTCAAATCCGTCGCTTGCACCCATTCCTGTAAGATACAATAACAGGAATTTTAAATTGCTACTCTATGTTGTTATTATTAAAAAAAGACAATTATTTCTCTCTCAATGTTCGATATTAATGACGATGATAAAAAAGTTGCAAAATAAAATTTCGATAAATATTATACAAACATGATACAGAATATAATAAAAGAAAGTGAAATTACCTGAAGTTCGGGATTAGTATCGAAATAATACGCGGAGGGCCGGCCCTCCAAAGTAGAGAAGGCGACGGTACCCTTGGTAAGAGGTGAAATATCGGAGAAGTCCGATGTACATAGTACGCGGGTGTCGTCACCACGTACGGTCTCTTTCGATTCGGGTAAGTCGTATGTGTCTCTGCACGTGGCCGAGTAAAACTGATATGGCTCCCATGGCGACTTCTCATTTTTTCGCTTGTAAATGCCCCAACTCTCCGGTCGTGGGGATTCGAATAGTACTCTCACGTACGTTATATCGAACGTCTTACCTATAAACCCGTTCAAATTATATATCATTAAAATAATAAATAATTATATAAATATTATTCATTTCATTTTCTAATACGACACCATTGTATTATACGAAATAAATAATTTTGCATAATATAAATCGTTTTCAAAATTACCGTCGTCTTCTCAATTCTTAGAGTATACCGATGCATCCATAAAAACGACGGTATATAAGAGGTGCAGGAGGGAGAAAGACAAAGAGGAGAAAGAATGTTTTGATGTGCACATGTGGTATACAGATGGGGTAATAAAATTCTTTTTATCTTATATTAGAGACGTTTAAAACTAACTGGGAACATCGATTAAATAATTAAACAGTTTGAAAATAAAAGAGTAAATGGTTTAAAAAATTAAAAAACGAAGAAAATCAATCAAACAATTGCATGGATTTCACAAAACATTAATTTTAAAATGTATAGACAGAATAATATAAAACAATAAATAATTAGTAATAAATTATTAATAAACAATTATTAATATGTGAAATTTAATATGCTTATTGAGCAGTATTTTTTATTACTACTTTAAATTATTATTTAATTACTACCCCTTAATAAAACAAATAAAAAGTTATTATTCATTAAACAATTTATAACAATATTATTCATTAAGCAATTTCTCATATGCGACAGTATTCTCTAGAGGCAGTCTCGAATATTTCTCCATCGTCCGCTATAAAATTTATCTCATCGCGCATACATCCTCGTAGATAAGGAAGTAGAATGGCAGAATGAGAAAGAGAAAGAGAGAGGGCAGAGAAAGAAAAATGGAGGTGGGGATAGAAATGAATAAATGTCTGTTAGCATAAATTTCTGGTGTCGTAAATTTATAGTATTGATTTGCACTATATTGCAGACATTTATTAATATATTAAATCATTAAAAAATTTTTATTTAAAACAACTATGCATTATTTAATAAATTAAACACTGAGAAACAACATAAATCTTAAACATGTTTCTTTTATTATTCTTGTAGTAGCATTAATATTAATGAATTTTAATCATAATAGATATTAGAGGATAACATACCTAGATGCAAAGTGAGGTTGACCTGATTGGGATATTCAATGCCTTCATACATGGTGCTGGACTGCCACCATGTAGCATTGTCATTGTTATCATGGTCAGTGAGATAGATTGCTGAGTGGTCGCCCCACTGGCACATCTCGCATGATTTCTTTTGTACGCGTGTTTGCTTGCAAAACTCTGTTGGATGGTCCTCGCCACATGTATTAGTTGCTTCCATCGGCACATTAAATGCTGCATTCTCGAATGGTGGTATACATCTCTGAAATAAAAATAGAATATTTAAAATAATATATATATTTAGAATATATTTGGTATTGGTATATCAATATATTGTATTTAAAATAAATATACTATTGTAAAATAGAAAATTTTTGTATTTGTATTCTCTTCTCTTACATTTAAATTCTTATATATGTTTTCTGCTAATAAATAAATATTGTTATTACAATTTACCCCAAGCTACATGTATACAAAATATATTTTCGATATTTATTTATTTATCTCATTGTCTTCAATTTCTTTTTTTAATGACAATTTATTTCTCAAAATTGTCTTCAGTTAGTTGAGAACTACTGTGAAAACTAGTAAGTTAAAAAATAAGGAAAAAGAAATATAAAATTTGATGATATTTATTAATATTAATATTGATATTTTTTCAATGTTAGGCCTTTAGTTAATACAAATAGAAAAAGATTCTAGAGAGCACCTCTCAGACTTGGGAATGTTATCTACTCATTATTATCATGGACCAGTTATCTTCATGGGTTCAAGCAACTTGGAACCCTTGTGATAACCTACTCTTTTAATGTACTCCCGAAATCCAGTGCCATGTCAAGTAGTACTGACTTTTAGCCTTATTTATGAAGAATACTTTCTATTGTTAAAAAAGATTTTATTCAAAGTCTACCTATAAAGTATTAAAAATCTTAAAATAATTTGAAATTTGAATTGAATAGTTTTAAAGTAATATTAAATTTCTATGTTACAAAAATACAGAATAATCTTGCAATTATCAGATGTAGTCTCTTCTAAAAGCTACAAAGTCTTATGAAATAACAGGAAAATTTTTAATTAATTAATTCTCTATGTAATAAATAGATAGAATACTGATACTGATACAAATAAACCGGAGAAATGAAGATAAGGGATACACAATAACATGATGATCTAAATGATAAAGACGAACCTGAGGCTTGCCGTTCTCGTCATAACACTTGTCTTCTTTACGGGTCCTCGGTTGAAAGCGACTGTACAACTCATCCGAAGGCTCAGGACTAGCTAAAGCGTAACTTCCCACGAGCAGCAACAACAGAAACACCTTGGTCACTCGCATGTTTGCACAGAAAAAAAAGATTTCAGCGTTCAGAACTTCACCCACTGAACCTTTTCTCACTGCTCGCAATCAAATTCGGAATCGAGAAGACAACTTCGGGGCGACGTTATGCAGCGGCGAGGATCACTCACCACTGTCGGTCGTTATTATCGAGCACGATACATCTCCCGATCTTTCGGAAGAGACCGGACCGATGCGTAACCTGCAACCGTGGAGCACAGATGAGTAACGGCGCATTCATATGCCGCGGCACACGCTCGTACGATTTCGTATCTATACCTCTCCGCTTCCCACGCAACTTCTCCCTGCTCATTCTCGCGGAAGCGTCGGTGGCTTTCTGCTCCTCTCACCCTTCTACACCGACAAACAAGCCCGCCTACGCCATATGCGAGATTACCTGCGTTCAGAAACTGCAGAATTCAGAGGACCGAATCTCTTTTTCTAGCATGAACTCATAAAAAATGAAAATTTCCTGACTCATGAGTTCATACTAGAGCAAAATATTCTTGATTGCTTTCCAGCGGTTTTGATTCTTGAGAAACTGACTGAAAAAAAGAGATCAATTATAAATTGTTTCCCTTAATGTGAACTCCTGAAAAAAAAAGACTCAAATATTTCCAAGTTAGAATAATTTTTCACTTCTCACGAATTTATGTTAGAAGAAAATTATGAAATTATGATCAATTCGTCCTGATTGGTGGAGAAATACAAGTGAATATTACTATATAATATTACTAGATTTAACCATTGGGAACTTTTCAGTCGGGCGCATAATATCTAGATGTTCGTACTCTATGATTATTGTAGAGATTCATTGCCGCGTTTTATGAATAAAGAAAAATCTATCCGAACCGTAAATTTTTATGTACATAAACTGAGTCTTCTATAAAAGCTGCGAAAACTATATAATATGAAAAGAATGGCTTGTGCCATAGACATTCAATTTTTGTCTAACTTTATTCCTATTGGAAAAAATAGATGCAGATAGTATGACTGTGTACAACGGAAAAATATAGTTGTCCTTCACATCCTATCTTCAAACTTCTTATAAAACAATCTAATATATAAATCTAGTATATAAATCAATAACCTAAACAGTAAAAGAATATACATATTTATTAGTACCATATAATTAATGTTATATTTAACTATTATAAAAAGGATTCACATTGAGTGACAATATTACCATCGTTGTAAAATAAATTTTATAATAGGAATAAATTCAATAAAAATATAAATTGGCACAATAACAAACCTATCATTACATCACTAAAAGCATTTATACTAATAAGCAAAATAAACGAATTTATCAAATAAATATATCTAATTGAATTTATCAAGTAAATCTACAAAGAAGTAGAATCGATAAAAACATTTCTTTGGCCCCAAAATTTCCAGAACGCAATTTTTTTATTGTATAATCATATTGAACTGATCATCATCTCATCATCAATCATATCTAACAGGTTTGATCAAACAAATCTAATACAAAGAAATTAAATTTTAAAAAATTTTCATATCAAATGACATCATTTCAAGTTGTCACATGATCAGATGCGAGAACCTTTTCAAAGTAACACTGAAGTTCTTTTAAATTATTAAATACATCTTCTTTGGGTATTTTGTCATTGATCTTTTCTCCTTCATTATGTTTGATTAACAATGCATTCCAACTGGCACTCTTCGCACCGAAATAATCGTTATCGACTGTGTCACCGATATGCATTGCTTCTTGAGGTAAAATTTTCTCCTTTCCGGACAACGTCGTCAGTCTCAAAGCCTCATTGAAGATTGGCAAACTCGGCTTCTCCATACCGAAGTCGTAGGAAGTAAGGACAAAGACAAAATATTCGCGAATCCGTGTATCTTCAAGGATAGATTCGAGACGTTGGTCGAAGTTCGAGATGACCCCGAGGAAGATGCCCTTGCTTCGTAAAAAGCTGAGCAGCTCCACAGCACCCGGATACGTGTGCCAACATCGGGCAGTGGCGTAGCAGCTTATCAGACTGTCGGCGACCTGTGATGATAACAGCGAAGTTAACGATAACAGACTTTCGTCGAGCAATCCTTGTTCTCCTCTAATTTTTACGTTTTATATATCATAATCTATGTTATTTCAAGTAAAAAAATACAATGTTCCTTATTAACATTGTTATTGCGAAGATGTTTGCCTCTTACGTTTTTTGTCTTTGCTTCATTCTTTGTTTTTTTTTTAATATGATACCGCTAGCATTCCCAGACAGCACACGGATGTCCATTGGACGTCCGTTATATGTCCATTTTTTTTACAAAAGACGTCCATAGGACGTACGTTTGTCACAACTTCGGACATAGGACGTCCGATGGACGTACATCGGACGTCCTACAGGTCCGATGTCCAATAAGGACATCCTTGTTACGTCCAATTTATGTCCACGGACGCAAATCGGACATACGGACATGAATTGGACGTGAAACGTACATCCACTGGATGTCCGGTGCTGTCTGGGATTATCATTACCTTGTTTAGAGTGTCCTGGGACACGAAGGGATGCTGATCCTTGAAGACCTCGTGGACGATGGTACGCCACCAATTTTCCCATCCCAATCCTGTGTGTCGACCGAAATTCGGATGCTCCGCCGTGAGCCGGACGAAGTTACTTTTGAAATTTCGCGCCAAACGAAGCGAATCGACATGGAGGCCATATTGGCGGCCAATATCGACGTAATGCTCCAATTTGGTCATCAATAGTGTTCCTGTCACATCGAAAGTTACGAGGCGCGGTCGAACACGTGGAATCATGGTTTTTGATAGTCCCTAAATAGAAGGGACTCACTCAAACCACTTTGTGGTTTTCCTGAAAAACAAGAACAGAACTGCGAAATCGCAGCAAAAATGTCACACACACCCAAACTGCATTTCGATATTCACTGCTGTACTGTACTGAGTACAGAAAATCTATAGTTCATGTCACGTATACTCTAGAGTTTCAGTACTGGCAATAAATATTGGAACATATCCGAAATGCAGTCGGATGCAGTGCAGACAAAACGAACAGGCCTAATTAGAGATAGGTGTAAACAAGATATAAATGAGAACTCGTCATTTAAAATTCTCCAGTGTATATCCCTCAAAGAGTCCGACTAAATGCATTTTATGACCAATATATATATAGTCAAGCAGATGACATATAAGAAAAGTAAATAAAGGGTCTTTCACAACAAACCGTTAGTTATAGTTAATCTTAAGCCATAAGCAAATTGACCAACCACAGTCGATTGTTCCAACAAATGATCGAGCCCAGACAGTACCGGACATTCAATGGATGTACGTTTCACGTCCAATTTACGTCCGTATGTCCGATTTACGTCCGTGGACATAAATTGAACGTAACAAGGATGTCCTTATTTGACATCGGACCTGTAGGACATCCGATGTACGTCCATCGGACGTCCTATGTCCGAAGTTGTGACAAACGTACGTCCTATGAACGTCTTTTGTAAAAAAAATGGACATATAACGGACGTCCAATGGACATCCGTGTGCTATCTGGGGAGTGTGGTTGGTCAATTTATTTACGACTTACCTAACTTGTAAAGATTCTTTTAGAAGTCGCATGGATATATACTTACACTATTTTGTTATTATTTCGTTATATTTGCAACATGAGGCCACTAAAACTAATTTGAAATTAGTTTTTGGCTCCTGTAGACCCTTAAAAGAAAGATAACAAAGCTCTCTCTCTCTCTCTCTCTCTCTCTCTCTCTCTCTCTCTCTCTCTCTCTCTCTCTCTCTCTCTCTCTCTCTCTCTCTGGCAAGATTTTCACAAAATCGCTCGTATGTCCGCACTTTTATTAGAGGATCTCTAATGCAAGTATTTGGTAAAACATTTAGCGAACATAATACAGTTAAATAACTTTTAACAGTTATCAATGACTTAGAATTATCAAAGAAAATGATCGATGATGAGAAAAAACTCTGCTTAGAAATATATAATGCTGAAAGAGTCAATTTAAGTTTATCTCTCTAGATCCCTTCGTTTTCGAAGAACTTCCAAACTAGCGCATCAAGTTAGAACGAAACAAGTATATTTTCTTTCACTCTGATTTATTGTATTAATGCACACATAGTTTAGAAGTTCTTCGAAAATAAATAGGGACTAAAAAATTCTGGACTAAAAAATTTAAATTTAAAAGTACAACTATCAGAGGCCTTCTATAATAAGCAATTAGTCATAAGCTATAAGCAAATTGACCAATCACAGTTGATTATTTCAAAAATAATCGGATGGTCAATTTGGTTACAACTTATGACTAATAGCTTATTGTAGAAGGCCCATCACACACATACAAACATACACTTAGAGACATCTTCAAGAGATTACAATTTGAGTACCAAAAGTCTTTTGTTCGCCTCCGTGGCGGTTGGATGTGGTTCTTGTAATTACGCATATTTTTTGATCGTGGGGACTGCGTGTCCCTGTTTTTTTTTCAACTTTATACTACTGGAAAATGGCGTATGGACATTGCTGAATGCAGTCCGGAGCCATATATCGAACTGAACTGAATTTGAGTACCAAGAAATGTCACAATACGAATAGAGTCAGTAATATAAATAATAACTCAGAAAGAGAAAAAGGGAACAATATATATGATACACAACATATAATATACAACACATACAATAAATTTTTACATATATAGACATTGCAAGTGCTTGATACGTTTAAATTTAACTGTATATATATAGCGATTATTATAATGTAATTATGCCTTCGGTTGTGCATATTAATGCGTATGTACGTACTTATAAAAGCGTCACGTGTTAAGGTCTGGTTTCTACGTCTGGTTTTGCAACAAAGATAGAAGTGTTACCATATGATCGTTTCAATTTCCAGGGAGTCCCCCCTACTCCCTACCCGTTCATGACATCTGACTGACGTGCGACGCGTGGCTTGCGTCACTGCTGTGTTATATATACTACATATATATATGTGACGTAGTATATATAAGCGGTGTAGGAGGATAAGAATCGCGCGATATGAGTCTGTGAAGATAGTGAGGTGTGATTATTCGTGTTTTTCCTTTAGCATTTTGCGTAAATAACGTTTTACAAATGGGTGACAAACTGCGTGCCGTTTTTATGCTTATTTGCATCGGGTTGGTAAATGGTTACGCGTTAAATGTTGGCGAGCAAAACGATCTCACTACGTCCTACACGCATTATGATGAGCTGCAACAGTTGCTCCACTCTTTGGCCGATAAGTATCCTCATCTGGCCAGGGTCTTTTCCATCGGAAAGTCGGTGGAAGGTCGGGACCTCCTGGTGCTAGAAATTTCGGAGAATGTCAATCATCGTAGTCCCGGTGAGCCTATGGTTAAATATGTTGCTAATATGCACGGCGACGAGGCTGTTGGCAGGCAACTGTTGATTATCCTTGGCCAATATCTCCTGAACGAATATGGAAAAGATGAACGCATCAGTCAACTGGTAAACCGCACTGATATCTACCTGATGCCTTCAATGAATCCAGATGGTTTCGAAAAATCAGTGGTAAGACCATGTTAAATGATACAAGAAATGACAGAATGGCCTGAATAGTAGTAACCTGAAGTTTTCATATTTCAGGAAGGGAAATGTGAATCTAAGGAAGACTATTCAGGAAGGGAAAATGCCAACCATGTTGACCTAAATCGTGATTTTCCTGATCAATTTGCAAGAAGAGGTCAACTTAGAAGAGGCAATTCTGTATTAAATGGACGTCAAAATGAAACCATTGCTATGATGACCTGGATTTCCAATGAACCTTTTGTACTTTCTGGTAATCTTCATGGTGGTGCTGTAGTTGCCAGCTATCCATATGATTCTGGGCAAGTATATAATAGATTTATTCTTATAGTTTTATATTACTTATATTTGTATGTCACTTGTATTTTTAGAAATCTTATTTGTTGCTTACTGAAAAATTAATTTTCTCAGGATCTCTAAGTCATGTTGTATAGAGAGTAAAAGCCCAGATGATAATTTATTCAAGTATCTTGCCCATGTTTATGCGGACAATCATTCAGAAATGCATAGAGGTGATGCTTGTCCACCAGATATATTCCCAAACGGTGTTACAAATGGAGCATATTGGTAAACAGTCATATTATAATGAAAAATCAATATTAATTTTCTAGAAATTCTGTTCATGAAATGATTAGACATTATTGTTATTGAAAGATTTAAAGAAAAAAGATTAATACTGTTTATTCTGCAAAATTAAGTTGCTCATAAGATTATAGTCTGTTATGCTATAAAGATTCTTGAATTTTTAAAAGGTATGAAGTAATTGGTGGAATGCAAGATTTCAATTATGCTCGTTCTAATGCATTCGAAATAACATTTGAGCTAAGTTGTTGCAAATATCCACCTGCTTCAACAATATTATATCAATGGGAACTCAATAAAGAATCTTTGATTAAATATTTGGAACAAGTACATAATGGAATAAAAGGTAATGTTCAAATATGAATTATTGAATTGATTGGAATAAAATATATATATTCATACATTGTTTTTGTTTTTTTATTATAGGTTTTGTGTATAGCAAAGATGGAAATCCAATACAAGAAGCAAATATCGTTGTGGAAGGAATAAATCATAATATAACAACTACAATTAATGGCGAATATTGGCGTTTGCTTCTCCCAGGAACTTATTCGGTTTATGCTACTGCATGGGGGTAAGTACATATTGTAAGAAATAAATATATAATTATGTATATAATCTCTATTTAATTTATTGGTAGATAAAGCTATTTATATATACAGCTATTTTTTATATAAACATAAAATATTTTTTTTTGGACAATACATAGAAAAATTATTCAGGATAATAATTTCAAGCATAATCCGGTGCATTATCAATCCAAAAACTTTAATATATTTATTTCTTCATTATAATACTTGCTTTCTGTTTAGGTATGAACCCAGTGAATCGGTAAATGTTACTGTATTAAAAGATATACCAATGATTCTCAATTTTACATTAAGCAGCAGAGAAATGTTTTATGATCAAGGTAAAACTGATACAAATTATCCACAAGTACTACCACTTTTTAACAGATTTCCTGCACTTTATGAAATGTTAATGGATTATGATAAATGAAATTATGATACATATATATATCAACTAATTAATTATGCCGTTCTCGTGGCTATCGCTTATCTAACATTTACTTTCTTTCAAAGTCATAACAAGCTACTGTTGACTAACACATCAGTATTATTCATTTTAACAATTAACACGTTTTGTTGTTACTTAAATCTCATCTAATATTAAAATTCTTATGTTCATATGTATAATTTTCAGAATATTTTATTAATCGACATTTTATTTTGTTGTTAAATTTATTAGAACGTTTGTTGTGTTTATTTTATTTTACAGCAAACAATTAGTATTGTGAGATTTGGATGTGGTGACATCTAAATTTCTGATGCAGAATGTTTCACTGAATTGGACATAACATTTTTTTATTTTATAATATTTTATTAAGAGAAATAATATGCAGACGCGCGATTATATATAAACACATATACACACAAGGTATAGAGAAATTAACTATGTATGGCAGAGGAAAGGAATAGAGTTTTAAATTCATTTTTTCTCATAATTTGTATACATAATTAAGTAAGAAAACAGTTTTAACTATATTCCAGTTTGTGTGCAGGACGCATACTGTTACTTATTGCTCACTATTACTTACTATTACATACTGTTTACATTTTTAATCATTTACATATTATTTTTACTAATATTTTTTTATTTATATTTAAAAATCAATAGATATACGTAAAGATATATGCACCACGATAAAAGTAAATAATGCCCTGCCTGCAAATTGGAAAGTAGTGCATTACAATATAATAGTGCGAACAAGATTTAACTCAGACCAAACATATCTTTACAATGATAATGATTACCTATAACGTTATAGATTAATTATATTTTGAATCGTATTGAAATTTTTACATAGAGATATAAACTGTTATATTTTGTGATTTATATTTTTTCGACATATATATTACATATATATTCATGAACACAAATGAACAAATCATAAAAGGCAAAGCATTTTTTTCTTTAATGAGAAGAACATTGTGTACACATTAATCTTCAAGACACATTTTATTGTTAGTTTTATAAAATTATTGCCAATTAAACAAATTGCACTATTTAAATAATATAGATAACTGAACAAATATCAATGTTGCCAATATATTAATTAACTATTATATAAAGATGCATTTAAATAAAGCTTTTAGATGCTTTAAACAATTATTTCCTATAACAAGATCTCATTATTCTATCTATATCTTTGCTATTTAACAGAGTTAGCTAAAAAGACAGATTGTAAATGGAGTAAGTGATGTTTAAAAGTAAGACCTATATAGATGACAATATGGAATTTTGTCTTTTTTATTTTTTATCGGAAACAACCGCAAATATATAAAATAAAAGAAAATAAATGTACTGTACTTTGCATGTAATGTGTAAATTACATAGTACTGCCAAAATACGATTTATTGTATTAGGAATTATATGAATAAACGTATGAAAACGTGTCTCAATATGGGCGATATTTATAATCTTATCTTATATAGTGATATATATGTTCTAATATTTTCCATACAAAAATATGTATTATTCAAACCTAGAAATAAAAAAAGATTGCATTCGTCTTAACCAATGAGTAACTCTCAATACTTGTCCTTTTCCTCTTAAACTCATACCTGCATTTGTTGTCTTTATAAATGTTTAATTTACAAATATTAATTTCTCTTATTTTTCTCTGTACCTTGTGTTGTATATTTGTTAATCTTGACGGTATTCTTCAGTATTTTATGTCTATTTTCAAATTTGCATCTATATAATTATACACAAACACATTCCAATATAAAATGTTAATCGATTATTTTTATATTTTTCGATTTTATATGTTTGCTTTTTATGGACACAATCGTAATTATGTATTCGTACGACACAGGCGAAGATGCAGTCGAAGTCGAAGAAGTAATGAGAACTATTGACAAATATGGTTTTTACCATGACGTGAAATTCAAGCATCACAATTACGTGGCGATGGAAAAATACTTGAAAGAGTTGCACGAGAATTATGCTAACATTACTAGACTCTATAACATAGGAACCTCCGTAGAAGGTCGCAAACTTTATGTTATGGAAGTTACGAAGAATCCCGGAAAGCACAGTCCTGAGAAGCCGGAAGTAAAATATATCGGAAATATGCACGGCAATGAAGTAGTGGGCAGAGAAATGCTTTTGTTATTACTGAGATACCTCTGTGAGAATTATGGTACCGACCAAAGAGTTACACGGATAGTGGAGACTATCAGACTTCACGTAATGCCAAGCATGAACCCCGACGGATATGAGATTTCCACAGAGGATGATGCTTATGGAATGAAGGGCAGAGTAAATGCTAAGGGAGTGGACCTCAATAGAAATTTCCCCGATCACTATGTCGTTAATAATGTACGTCGATGAAAAGTACTGTATATACAATAAGTGCTGTGATACACAACAATGCAATAATATTTAATATCTGTTTATATTGCGCTGAAACATATTGAAGCTATTAACTGCCAATTAAACTTGGCCATACTTACGCGTCGGTTGCTTTTAGTTTAATCGGCAGCAGCAACCCGAGACCAAAGCAGTAATGGATTGGATAGCAAAAGTTCCGTTTGTTCTCTCTGCAAATCTTCACGGAGGCGCATTGGTTGCGAATTATCCTTACGACAGCGGGCCGCAATCTGTAACCAAGACCGAGATATCAACCCCGGACAACGACGTCTTCAAAATGCTAGCATTAACGTACTCCAATGCTCATCCTCAAATGCACCTTGGAAAACCTTGCCCGCCGATGAAACTCTATGGTCCGAAGACGCTTCTCGAAGAGCATTTTCCCAATGGAATAACAAATGGCGCTGCCTGGTATCCTGTCTCTGGTGGCATGCAGGATTACAATTATTTACATAGCAATGATTTCGAGATCACTCTAGAAATCGGATGCGTCAAGTACCCAAACGCGAGTGACTTGCCAGATTATTGGTTGGAGAATAAGGAGCCTCTCCTTCGCTTCATCGAAATGGTATGCTTTTTCAATATTAAGAAAATAAATATATACTTCCCGATAGAGAAATTGTTAAGAAATTGTATAATAATTTATCATGAAATGAAGAATAATTTTACAACGATTGCGTTGAAATGATTCGCCATAACGTAACGGTTTTGTCGAAATAAAATTTCAGACTGATATTTGTCCAAAATTAGACCATTTTGAAATATTTTTCCTGGATGTCATTATATAATTATTTCAATATTTAATAATAAAATCACAAAGCTTTTAATATTTTTCACAATATAGTGCGAGAATAGCATTTTGTAACATTTTTAAACAAAATATTTCAATACAAATTATAAAATTAGTTAAATTTTCATAAATTGAAATAAAAAAGAAGTTTTAAATGAATTATATAAATATTTAAATAAACTTTATATTTATTTTGTTTAAATCGTTTAATGTTTATATGTATTAAATATGTTTTATAATCGCTTTTATAATGCTTATGTATATTAAAAATGTTTTATGTTACAATATTTCAAAATTATAATTTAGAAATAATTATATATTTTTTATAAATATATATGTGAATTAATATTTTTATTACAATTATATATTTCTAAATCTTTAAAAAATATAATATTACTTTCTCTCTCTCTCTCTCTCTCTCTCTCTCTCTCTCTTTCCCTCCCTCTCTCTCTCTCTCTCTCTCTCCTCCTCCTCCTCCTCCTCCTCCTCCTCCTCCTCCTCCTCCTCCTCCTCCTCCTCCTCCTCCTCCTCCTCCTCTCTCTCTCTCTCTCTCTCTCTCTCTCTGCCCCCTCTCTCTAATATATTTTTCAATCAGTTTCTTTCCAAATTTAGTGTTACAAATTCTGTTAAAATTAGCGATTAGCGATTTTTGTTTAAATATGGTTTACAAATTAATTACGCAAATAGTTTTATAAAAAATGAATATTTTTACGTGCATGTTTTTAAAACATTTATGTAATTGCAACATCGCAAATTTCATGCAAGATTTTCTTCATATCATTTTGTCATACAACTTCAAAAATGTTTCTTTATACGATTTTTCTCTATGCGGAAAGTTGGACAGGAAAAATATTTCGGATGGTAACCTTCCCTTTTTTTATTGCATCTGTACTTTATTTACAGTCTCGTAAAGGTGTGCATGGTATAGTGAGTTCAAGCATTGGCACTCCTATATCTCATGCAAGGATCTCAGTGGAGGGTATAAAGCACTACATCTACACTGCTGAAGGAGGTGATTATTGGCGATTATTGCTACCAGGGAATTACAACATAACTGTCTATGCAGTAGGATACGAAACACTTACACAAACTGTGAACGTACCTCACGGTGAAGATATCAGGGATGGAGAAGTGTTGTTGGACTTTACACTAATGCGTGACGATCCTCTACATTGGTACGTTTATTTCGTTAAAATATTACTTGTGCGAAATGTATTTGCTTAACGTACACATTTTTGAAACGCATTACGAAACTGAAATGTCTTTGAAAAGATGGGAAGCTAGGCGGAAGAATTTGTCGAATAAACTGATATACTTTTCCAAATGTGTTCTCGTCTTTGGATTGGAATCTTGCGAAATGAAATAGACTGGGAAGAATAAAACGTCGCAAAATTATTCAAGTAGTTACACGAAAAGAAATAATATCAAAAATATTAATTGACGCTTTATACAAATATTTATTGCAGGTCGTCCGCGTATGATTTTGGACTGAGAGCGAATTTGCTGGATGGTTACTTAAAGAATTCAGAGCTGAACGCTAGATTCAGTCAGTTGGAGAATCATCAGCCCGATGTCGCGGAGTTTGTAGCTGGTGAAACGTTAGTTAGCATGGCTATTCGCTCATTGAAAATCACGCATGATGTGAGTTTGGTCTCAAACAACTATATTCGCATTCCTGTAACTCATGCTATAAATCTAAAATCGTACCTTCCAGATCGGGTCACCTGATGAAAGAAAATTCCGCGTCGCTTTGGTGGGAGGATTATTTGCCTCCCAACCGGTGAGCAGGGAAATTTCGCTACGTTTGGCGACGCATATCCTCATGGGAAATCAGATTGGGGATCCACCTATCCAGAGGATACTGGATAATGCTATATTGCATTTTATTCCCGGTGTCGATCCAGGATTCGACAACATAAAAGAAGTCAAAGATTGTAATCCTGTAGTCAAGGATGAAGTAGGAGAAAAATTATTGTCAGCAAGTAATATGTCCGAGCGTATAGACGTGATCACAAATGCATTTAAGAGAATGCTACAAACTGAGAGTTACGATGTTGTCGTGATATTAAGAGGTGGAGCCCCACAAATTGGGTAATGTATATGAAGAATATAAGATTACACATGAAAAGGAGAGCAGAGCGTTTTGCTTCTTCTATTGTCAAGAAGAGATACGGACATATGTTTCATCAAAACAGAAATCACATATCTGCGTTTCATGAGTCGATCTTTGCTTTTCAGTTATTCGTACGATGACTTAAGTGTATTTAAAACACTCGCCGAGGACTATGAACATTTCAGACACAAAGAGATGAGCAGCTATATGAGCGACAGTATGCAACGTTTGGCAAATTTTATACAGCGCGAATATAACACGCCAATGGTAACTATAAAATCTCTTGACATCTTTTCTACTTATCTGCGATATCACTAAATGCGTATTTCAGATATAAAATCACCTGTTTGCAGATAAGCGTAAGCCTGTCCTCTTGCAAGTATCCGCTCGCGAACTCCATCCCTATCATTTGGCGCGAGAATCTGCAACCGCTGATGAAGCTCGTGCGGAGCCTCACGAGCGGTATCCGCGCGGCAATAACGAATGAGTACGGTGTGCCGCTTCGAGAAACCACTGTTAAAATAGGAGGAAGAATTTACAAAGTATCAAGCAACATGGCTTATTTCAAGACGATACTCATACCGGGTAATTATACGTTAACAGTCTCCTGCGAAGGATACAATACGCGAGTATTACAAGTTGACGTGACGCCGGAGAACATAACAGATATCGATATCAAGATGACACGGAAGAACGCAGCACAAAACGAGAAAGTGGTGCCTGAGAACTTGAGTGCCATAAACCGCGTTCTGAGCGACCTGAATATGAAATATCCTCAACGAACAACTTTACACACCATTGGCAGAAGCGTGACAGGACGCAAGATAATGTGCTTGGAAATTAGCTCTGATAATGAGCAAAAGTTAATAGGACGACCCGCCATTGTGTTCTTAGCTGGCACACTGCGAAGTGAACCGGTGACGTTTGAAGTGCTCTTACATTTTGCCTCGTTTCTCTTGGACATGTACAAACAAAACATCCGAATCATAAATTACGTAGATAATTTCTCTATATACATAGCACCGGACTTCACCACCGATTCCGATGAGGATCACACTTGCTCACCGCCATTGAAAGGCTTGCAGTTCTCGATCCACGATAAACTCAATAACGAGGCGACAATAATTACGAATTGGCTGAAGGACATTAATGCGGTGTTAGCCGTAAATCTCAACAGCGGTTCGCGACATGTAGAAATTCCATTGGGAAGCAACTACGGAAACGCACGCAACCAGACGTATAAAAGCGCTGACGAAGATTTGTTGCAGCACTTAGCTCGCGTGTATGTTAACGAGAGGGCGGGCAAATTGTCCACAAATTCGAAGTGTCAGCGAAATTTGAATATCGCTGACAACAGTGTGATACACGCGGGAGTAGGAATTGGCGGAAAAAGAGGGAATCCGTTGATGGATTATGCCTACTTCAATACGAGTACTTTAATGATGGATGTGTACGTTACTTGTTGTACCACTGACAACTCGGTTGTCGTGTGGAAAGAGAACAAAGATAGTTTGTTGGCCTGCATAGAGGAAATAAGTAAAGGCGTGAGAGGATACATCACCAACGAGAACGATTTGCCGGTTGAGAATGCTGTGTTGTCTTATGACAAATCACCGCATCTTATTAGAAATAGAAAAGCGGGCTCCTATTCGATCCTACTACGGCCAGGAAGTCACAATATAACAGCCACGGCATCCGGATATATTAAACAGACCAAACTCGTTTCCACATCCGACGTGAAGAAGTTTTCGAGGTTGATGTTCAAGCTCATTCGTGACGATAATATCATGGGAATACCTAGATTAGCATTCGTTATGTTGACAGGTAAACTAGTCATAAATATCCCACGAGGTCGACATAACTTGTGAAGAGAAAGAAATGTTATTATTTGAAAGAAATATCGACTATTAATATAGTCATTGAAATAGATTCGCGGTATGATGCGATAAATAATATGATTGCAGGTACGATATGTTTTGGCATTATCTTGTGTGGCATATGTATTTTCATGAAATGTCAATCTTCGGAGAACTCTGAGAAAAACAGAAAAGGATATGCGTTTAGCTTATTGAAAGATGGCACTAGTTTCTTTGACGATGACGAGAAGGAAGTTGAAATATTTCGAAGACCAGTGGATGGTATATATGTATCTATATTATAACACTACAAAATAATATTATTGAGTTGGGCTGAAAGAGTTATACATTTAAAAAGTAACTCGTCACTGTTACCGTTATTCAAGAAATAACGAGTCGTCATATTATATATATCGTTATATATAACGTATATATTATATATAACATTATATATTAATTTTCTCACTAAGTTTTGAAAATATTTTTTTAGAATTCGCTTCTGTCCAGAATTTGTTAAAAAAAGATTTGAGATTTTGAAAACGTATAATACATAAGTGTATCTGTAATATTTAGTGTACCAATACTAATTTTTATTCTGTCTTAATTTAGTTTATTCCACGAACGATAGTGAAGTTACCAAGCCATATTACGACGACGATAATAGTTCCGAAGACGGCAGCGATTTGGAGTTTATTCGGCCTGAACGAGAATGGAATGATAAAATGCTACAACAAACGTGATAGCATTTTTATACGATATGAGGTTTATTGCAATGCATAGGATAAATTAATCGAGGTTTGGACAAAGGCTTAATTAATTGTGTTCAATGTTCAAGAAAGAAATTTAATAGGAGTAGTACAATATCGAAGTTTACAAGATGAAAAGAACAGGGTCCAAATATATTTAAAAATATGTATTTACAACAGCTACATATACATATATGTACTACATCTATAAGAGAGAAAAATGATAATTATTTACAAAAAAGAATTCCACCTTACAAATTGTTTCCATTTTGATGTACGTTATTCAGGATAGAAAGTTGAATCGTCTATACGTTGAATCATGTTGATGTCATATAGTTCCTATCTAATAGCAAAATTTACAAAAGTATATTTTGCACAATGTCTGCTGCAAGCTCTGTCAGAAACTTGTTAACAGAAATATAACAGGATCTGATAATAAAATATGATGACAGCAGAAATCGAGCAGGATCTGTCGCTCCTGCAATGTACTTGAATGGAACTTACTACAAATCCTCCCAAATAGCACACGGACGTCCACTGGACGTCTGTTATATGTCCATTTTTTTTTTACAAAAGACGTCCATAGGACGTACATTTGTCACAACTTCGGACATGAACGTCCGATGGACGTACATCGTCCTACAGGTCCAATGTCCAAATAAGGACATCCTTGTTACGTCCAATTTATGTCCACGGACGTAAATCGGACATACGGACATAAATTGGACGTGAAACGTACATCCATTGGATGTCCGGTGCTATCTGGGCTACTTACTTCCTGCCACCAATCTACTATCAAGTTAACAGATTCTGTCGACAGAACATGAGCCGAGTACGGACATAGATATGTATAAATCTATCGACAAATCTTGATTGAATTTACTATTAATCCGTTGATAGACTATTAATAGATTATTTATTGGGCGAGATAAATCAGTTTCAAGTTTTGCAATTTTATATTGAATTATATTAAGAATGAGTTATTCTTTGCTACTATCACTCCAAACATATTGCATTTATTCTTATTATTCTTATTATTCTTATTATTTTATATTTTTTTATATTTGCCTTTATTGCTTACATTGCTTTCTTTATATTTTTTTTACGTGCGCCACTTTTTTCGAAGGCGCTACCACTAATATTCAGTTTACGATTGATATTAATTAAAGAAAATTAATGAATGAGTACACATAACAAGGTAGGACAAGCCCAATATTTGTATGAAAATGTCTTGAATCTCAGAACTTAACACATATATGTTTCAGGAGATATCTTCTGCAAATAATTGCCGTTTTTATAACACGCGTTTTAATAATATTTTATCAATAATTTAATTATATTAAATTTTCTATTTTATTATGGGAACATTGAGTACAATTTTGTATGAAGTGGAATTATATAATTGTTTAAATACCAGAAAATCTCATATCGGAATTTTAAACGAAAAAAGAATGTAGAGAGAAATGCATTTAAGATTTTAAATTGTTGACTCTTATGAGAATGTGGAAACAGGATAAAATATGTTTTATTATTAGGAAGCTGTATATATATATATATATATATATATATATCATTATACTTGAAATAATCAATATGTAAAAAAGAGTCAATATAAAAGTCACTACAGCATTTATCCCTTTTTTATATAATACTAAACATGTATAATAATATCAAACATGTAAAATGTAATACTACTTAATAATTTTATTTATTTAGTGAGATAAATTTTTCATTTGTTTATCTTTATTGTAATAGATAATTTAATCGCCTATTAATCTACAAAATTGCTAAAATTTAAGAAAAAATTTTTCTTAAAAAATTTTTTAAGAATAATGTATAATGAGTATGTATAATTTCTTTTTTTTAATGTCTTCCCAAAAATATTCCAAACACAAAAATTCAACAATATTCCCAAAAATATTTCAAGCCATCTAGATTTTAATATACTTTAGCATATTTGTTGCATACAGATGAATAACTTTGTGTGATAAAAGATTACAGAAAGATATTTCTATTTATAAATCATTTCAAATATCAATATATCTGTTATTAACAAAATAAATATATTATTTAATACGTTATATTAATACATTAATACATTATATGCAAAATTTTTCCGAATTGTTAGATAGTTCTGTTAAAAGATTTAATAGAGGAGAATATGTAATGTAAAATAAGATTTTAATTAATATTATGATTACACACTGATTTTGTCTCCTGTATCAGATAAACCAACGATAAGCGATTACTACGCACACATATATATATATAAATATATATATATGAATTTTATAAATTGAAATTCTGTATATAATTATAAATCTTGCCTTTAAGTGCAACAAGAAAATATAAAAATATATATATCACGTCTTTTAATTATCTTTTGATCCTCTTATCTTATCTTATATGGCTGCATTCAAGAAAAAAGTAGCTTAGTAGTTTTTTTTTTGCGATATACTACTGGTATTTTTGTGACTATTTTGTGACTTTTTTAAATGATGCAAGCAGCTTGCGCTTCTCCAAAATGCCGTACAAATAGTGGTCGCCATTTTTTCCAGCATTTTTTTAATACGCTAGCAACTTTGTAAATCTGTTGAAAAAGCGTAAATTGATAGGTGTCATTTAGCGAAAAATTCATATTACAGCGTTTATTGAACTGCTTTTTCTATTGAACGCAGCCAGTATCACACATATTGCGTATAGTTGACGGCAAAAAAATTAAATATATTTTTTTCGTTACGTTTTAGAATAGATGAAAATTGTGAGAACAATCACATAATTTACACTTTCTTCAAAACTCATCAAATTAAAAAGTGTCGTAATCTTTTTACCGCCGACTATATGTTGGAGATGGTGTGTCTTTATACATGACAGCTATAAAGTGGCCTTCAGCGCTTCAGCCACTACTTAACAGCTATGGCCGCTACCAAGTTGAGCCGTGCATAATGTGAGAAAATATTTACTCGTACAAATGTTTAATAAAACACATCGATCATTAACTTGTTTTGTGCAGAAAAATGGCAGGATTAGAGGGCTACGAGAGCGTATATAGGGGTCGGCCTGTGAAATCGTGGGAAATGGGAACGTTTTATCCGCAGAGGTATCACGGTCGAGAGGTTATACGTCCTCTGGAAATACCTGTCGTCCATCCTTTAGCAGAAGATAATCCACCGATTGTTGAAGACGGTGAGTTCGTTGGAAATTATATTGTAATTTTTCGTAAGAATAATGTACCAGTGTCATTCACTCGTTACTTGACACTTTGCTTTGAGCCAGAATTCGCATCTTCTGTTCAACTATACCTATTGCATTTGTAATGTTTATATTTCAGATGCTGCTGTGAAAAAATATATAGGACTAGGTTGTGGGTTAGTAAGCTTAATTACGGAAAACCTCTTGATCCATCCCTTTGTCATATTACGCAGGCAGTGTCAAGTTAATCCAGGATCAACAAAATATCATCTAATACCTATAACTTTAGTACCAGTAATAATACGTTTGCATCAGACTCAAGGTGTAAATACATTATGGAAGGGGATCGGTTCAGTGTTACTTGTAAGAGGCATGACACTGGCTATTGAAGATTTAATTTCAAAAATCACACCATGGCCAAAGTAAGGTGACCGTTAAAATAATATATTTGTTATTTTCCAACATTTTATGGATTCTTACAGAGATTATTTCCTAAAAACTAAATGCTTAATTTCAGGAAAGTTACTTGTAATAGTTCTTTGAAAGCATTTGGCCAACATGTCCTTCTTAAATGGTAATTATGAGACAATATATAAGATATGTTATAAAAAATATTCACTTTGAAACGAAAGATTGATATACATATATATATATATATAATTTTAAATTTTGTAGCATCTCCATAGGTATAGTGACTCCTTTCTATTCTGCATCCCTTGTAGAGACTGTTCAGTCTGAAATTGCCTCTGAATGTCCTGGAATTTTGGATGTATTTCGGGATGGTGCAATTCGTTTGGTTGATGTCTGTAATAAGGGTAGACTCATCCCTATTTATGCTCTTGTGCCACCTACTATAATTTATGGAGTATCAAAATACCTTTTTACATTAACTACAAGGGGAGTCGCCAGTCGAATAATGCACATTAGATATAAGCATGTACAAGAAGCAAGAGTATGTAGTTTATTTCCTTTTCAAACGTATTTTAGTGTATATATGTGAATATAATAATGTACCTATAAAGGAATATCATTCTCTATTGTAGGGTGCGTACAGCAAAGATTTATTATCTGAAACTGTCATTCAAGATATAGAAATGCAGTCCGTACTTATTTCGATGTGTGCCGCGGATATTTTGTTTTATCCACTTGAAACTGTTATTCATCGACTACATCTTCAAGGTACACGTACTATTATCGATAATTTAGATACCGGAAAGAGTGTTACGCCATTATTAACAGGATATAGCAGTGCAGCCGATTGTTACCACACAATAATGTCAACTGAGGGACCACTTGGTCTTTATAAAGGATTCGGTGCTCTTATTTTACAATTTGCTGTACATGTTGTAGTATTGCGCGCAACAAAATGGCTCTTAACAGAATTAAGCACTATATTGATACCGAAAGCTAAACCAGTAAAATCACAAAAACCTTCATATTATGATGAGATTTAAAGAAAGAACTACTCCTGTAACAATATATGAAATCACATACATATATATATATACATATATATATATATACATATATATATATATATACATATATATACATACATATTTAACTTATGGCAATACGGAACAAAAGATAGAATTGGTAATGAAAATAATTTACATTACTGTTAATATGAATTAAGAATTTCATAGTAGGAAGAATTTTCATAATTCTTTCCATGTGATTGATAATAGATATTTTTTATCATGTACGTGTGAATGTAAATTGTTGTGCAAATTTTGTATTTTATTGTATATTTTACAATCGATATAAATTCTATAAACCAACAACTCCAGCGTGTAAAACTTCTTAGAATATATAGTATCCTGAATTTATGAAATACAAACAGTATTTGTAGATATTTAATCTTGAATGATAGGTATTATTCTCATCTATTAATACTTTCAACACACAACAAAATGTGTAAATAGTCAAGTGGGATTTTGTTATAATACTATCATGAATACATAAGATAAATATATGTTACAAATTGTTTATGAAGTAAATAAAGCAAGTGTAATATGGTTTTGTATAGATTTTTATTACAAAAAATATAGGATTATTTTATTTATAAGTCATCATCAGCATGAAATGAAAAGAGGAGATATCGTGTAAACCTTGTAGCTTCATGTTATATTTTTTCACACAGCCCTTTTTTCACTTTTGATATAACTATGCTAAATAAATTCTGTTCTAATACGGCTATATATTACGAATGATATTTTAAAAAGATTGGTTATATAAACCACATATTGCTTCTGCATTTCTTTTTCCATTAACATATTATACACAATTTATTATATACATAAAACTTTTTCATCTCCTTAACATATTTCGACATAAAAATAATTGTATTGTTTAAACATTTTTCATCTTTTTCAATCGTACATATATATCATGTCAATCATATATATACAATACACAATTGATATTTTCCCTGCTATTACTGAAAAAGGAGTGCAAATTTTTGTTATATATACTTTTAAATGTATTTTTTTTTCTTAACAGAATTATCGAACTATAGAAATTACTTATATTTTTGAGAAACAACGCGTAATAATAATACTTTACAAACAATCCTTGCACATGTGTAGTAATATATGAAAATTTATTTTAAATGTGGTTACATTGAAATATTATCATATTCTTTACAACATATGGTCAACTGTATGTATTCAAATTGATAATATTTTTATATCCACATTTTTTTTGTTTTTATCAACCTCCATAGTTAATGTAGTTTTCAAATTCAAGTAAAATTTGATTATAATTTATTCACTGCATTATTAAAATAAGCAAATATCAAAATATGTTTCTATTCACTTTCAATGTTAGCATTGATAAGCATACAGAGAGAGAGAGAGAGAGGAAGAGAGAATGAAGTAAATATAAAATTAATTTTCTTTCAGTTTCATAGAATATTAAATTTGATTAAATTATTTTTTTCACTTGAACATGCTAATATTCCTAATAATCTTCTGAAAGATATTTATAATTTATTTAAAATAAATATATATTTACATGTGTGTATATATGTATACGTGTACATATATATCTACATATATGTAAATATATATTGTTTATAATACATATTTATATTGTATATTTAAAGAAAAAGGTATGAAATGCATAACTCACTTTTAATTATATGATATAGGATAAGTATCTTCTTATCATTATTATATATTTTTGTTATAAAACCTGCTGCAAAAATATACATATATATGTATATATATACATATGTATGTATACACAACATGGTGATACATGACAGGTTTACATATACATATACATGCACAAATCTTTTCCTTTTAATATCAAATCATATATATTTAATTACATGTACGTTTAACATTTTGCAATCGTATATGTATCGAAAAATTTTAAATTAGAAAGTTTAAATCAAATAAAATAATATAATAATAAAGAAATTCAAATTTATACAATTTTTGTATAAATATTGGAGAATATGCAGGATAGTTTGAAATACGTATATATATATATGCGTTGTTCATATTATTTGTCATATATAAGACAATTATGTATATACGTGAAAATATATAATATTTTCTATAAAATAATTGTAATAACAGTTTACAAATGTTCTAATTTAATTTCTTTCTCAAACATGGTCTATCTATTGTTAAGGAAATAATTATACCAAAGTATTATATTCTTCAGTTATTTGTTAACTATGTACATGCTGTGCTTGTAGTTCATCCTCATTGCTATCACCTCGTCTCACATATTGGGGTTTTTCATGACCTTTTACACATTGTTCTGTTATATGAACTGACATCACATCACTTCCCGGTACTTCGAACATAGGATCCAAAAGTAACGATTCCATAATCGCACGCAGGCCACGTGCTCCTGTTTTCCTCTCCATTGCCAAAGAGGCAATAGCGTTCAATGCATTGATGTCGAATGTTAGCTCCACCTAAAAAGAGACCCAATGTATTTAAAATTGTTGATCTATCCTGGCGTAGAATGAGAGCTTGTGCAAAATGTATGTTGCAAAATGGCATTATGAGACATACCTTGTCCATCGAAAACAGCATTTGAAATTGTGGAACAATGGCATTTTTTGGCTCAGTAAGAATTCTTACTAGCATGTCTCTATCAAGCGTATGAAAAGGCACGAGCACAGGAAATCTACCGACAAATTCTGGTATCATGCCAAAATCAATGAGATCTCTAGCTTCTACTTGTTGCAATAACATGTCCTTTTCCTTATTATCTCTCTCGGTAGAGGGTGACATATTGGCAACATCGGCCAAGGTTGCAGCTCGCCTGCCCGGACTCTCAGCTGTGGGTTTCGCGCCGAATCCGAGGTATTTTTCTGTTTTACGTCGTGAGATAAGCCTGTCTAAACCATTGTAAGCTCCCGATGCGACAAACAGAATGTTTGTCGTATCAACTTGTAACGTTTCCCCGCGAAGTTTCCTAGAGCTATTTCTCTCCGGTACGTTTACAATCGTCCCTTCCAACATTTTGAGCATTCCCTGTTGTACTCCTTCTCCACCGACATCTCGCAACTGATGAATTCCAGGAACAGCTCCTATTTTGTCGACCTCATCCAAAAAAACGATCCCCATTTGAGCTCGATCTACTACATAATTGGCATCCTGGAGAAGTTTAGCTATAACACTTTCTATATCTTCACCAACGTAGCCTGCTTGCGTCAAAGTGGTACAATCACAGATGGCAAATGGTACATCTAAACATTGTGCTATTGTCTGTGCCAATAATGTCTTTCCACTGCCTGTAGGACCAAGCAACAGTATGTTACTTTTTTCTAACTTCAATTGATGTTGCTTGCTATCTAAAATATCCGACCCAGGAACAGATTGACTGCCCGATGACTTATGTTCATTTCCCATGTTAACATGTTGATATCCGACTCCCAATGGATTCCCGACGCCCGAAATGTGTAATAAATCTGAAGTTAAAGAAAATGTAACAATCAGATGCCTAATCAATAATGTATAATCAATAAATATATTTGGGGGGATAACAAACTGTGCAAAATTACTATTCCTACTTGCAGATTATAATTTGTCTTAATCACTGCTATATTTAAACTACAAGAATAAACATGCATTATGTAACATAACATTGAAACGCTATATAACATTATATTATTGGGAAATAGCTATTTACGTGGTTTGAGACCTCTGTGAGTAAATGGATGATTGGTTTCCTGTGTGCCAACTGCATGAGTACTAGTTTGTACCAAGTTCTGTATCGGCAAATTGTTATAAATTCGTTTATAATGGTTATAAACAGCAACACTTAACACTTTTTTAGCATATTCCTGACCCACAACATGTTTGTTCAAATATTCGAATATCTAAAAATATCTTTTATATTATTTTTTTCCTACCTAGCTGAAGTAAATTATTAATATTCATGAAAGAATGTCAAATTGAAGTCTCTCAGAATAGATTAGTTACCTTTTTTGGAGGAGGAGGTGGTTTCCTGTATCCTCCTTGTTTACCATCTTCTGACCTTAGTGGTTCCTTCAAACTTCTCTTTGAATCGGTGTCTGAGAGCACAACGAAGAAATGATGGCATTTCTCACACTTGACAAATCTTGTAGAAGCTGTATCACATAAAAATACTATATAACAATGTAAATCTTAAGGAAAACAATTCTAGCAACTTTGACAACTCTGCCAAGTATGATAGAATTAACTTTGTACAACTTTTAAAAGTTGTCTAAAAGTTTTACTTACATACGAATGTTTCTACATGTGTACAAGGATCTCCACATTTGGGACATGTGAGTGTACTTTTTTTCCCACCACCAGTGCCACTAGAAGATCCACCAGATGTAGTATGTGTGTCCTTGGAAGGTGGTGTAGGTTCGGTTGGAGATTTTGCTAAGCTGCCACTAATTGTCAGGGTTCTAGTAGCCACAATTCTTACAATTTTATGTACTGCACAATCGGGGAAAAAAATAATCTTTGATTACGCCATTGCCCTTGTAGATGACATTCGTGGCTACCATATTGTTATCAGATCACAGAGACAAAGCATGAGATTTATTTACAACACTATACTCACCATGATTATTGACGACATGATTAGAAGATGCCAAGCGGCTCGCACTAATCAAGCAACAACGCACGCAACTCATGATTAGTGAAATTGCTATGACTGGGATGGTACAAGATAATGCGGAATTGCTTGACTACCTTGACTTTAAATGCTCCACGTACTCGGATCTGGAATCAGATATGTATTTTTTCGCATGACCATTCCGCCGCAAGTCGTGCGTATGTCTAAACCAATAAGCAATGGCTGCGTCCGCGTTTGCGAAATTGTATACGGTGGTGTGTTTATTGCGTGTCAAAATAAAAAGACCGATACGGTCACGACACGGTATATCTTCTCGTCCTTGGGCGAACGAGCAGCCGCTTAATATTCGCGTCCGCACGACGCGACCCCGTGGGAGTTAAATCGCGCGATTCGTCCTGGCCAGTGCGAGAAATCGCGGGGAACTCGTCGAACGGCGGAGCACGGACGAGCAACGACAAGCAGCGAAAGACGACAGGACCTGCGTGACAGACGAAATTTCCGACATCGCGGGACGTTGGTACCGAGGCGCGAATCGCGCAAGAACGCGCTCAGATGATAACACGAAACAAACAGATATCGTTCTCCGCGTGGAAAGGAGAGAGAAAGAGAGAGAAAAAAAGATAGAGGCAGATAGGTAGAAACATTTTCGCGCTTGCTGCTTCGCGATATCAGCGATACGTCAATCGATTCGCGCTGATTGTCAGCGGCTCGTCAAGAGATACGTCTAAGATCTCTCACCAGAAATTTTATATACAATAAAATATAATAAATCTTTTTTGCGCGCGATGAATAAAACAACAATGACGTACGGCTCGAGATACGTGAACATTCCGAATTTTAATAAAGTCAACGAATCTCAGATTGCTTGGCGCCATCTAATGGTGACATGGCAAAACCTACGGAACGCACGATTTGAACTTTGTCCAAGAAGAATTTGAATTTTTTGAGCAGGCTGTCCAATAATTTTTTTAAGTTGGGACATAAAGCCCATTCTATATTAATCACAAGTCGCAAGAAAATTAACCAATCACAATCGATTACTCTTCAATTTCAAGGAGAACAGTCGACCGTAGGTGTTTACGATAAATCGAGTTCAAGTTAGTTCCACTAGGACTGAAAGGTATGATAGGCACGACCACCTATTATCTTCATGATTTATGACAACTCGATGCAGTCCGATAAATTGAATAGAATAGAGTAGAATAGGGTAGGTTAACTTTAGCAGTGTTCGTGCGAGACAATCAACAATATTTTATATGTCATCAATAATACATATATGTATTATATTTTAAAAAGAGAACTTTTGTTCTGTAAAACTAGATAATGTAAAAAGATTCAAAAATAGGTTAGAATAATTGAATTTCCTATTTCGAATATTCTACAAATATATATTTTCATGGTAAATATATAGAAAAGAGTACCGATCTCACCGATCTTTTTCATTTTGAAATATGTTATAAAGGATGAAATTCTGAGTGATTTTTCCTAATACCATTATATGGGGGTCGCTTATAGTTTCTAGGATATTTGGCTTTTTTTTTTTATGATTTTTATAATTGTACGTTGAAGTATATTTGAAGTAGACAAGCAGTTTTCATTCACTTTAAATATAGGAAACAGTACATATAGACGGGAAAGCTCTCTGAAAAAAGTTCTCTTAAGATCTATCACCTGGCTCAACTTAACTTATTATAATATCTGCATATACCCAGACAGCACCGGACATCCAATGGATGTACGTTTCATGTCCAATTTATGTCCGTATGTCCGATTTACGTCCATGGATATAAATTGGACGTAACGAGGATGTCCTTATTGGATATCGGACCTGTAAGACGTCCGATGGACGTACACTCAGAGGCAGGTATAGTGTCCCTCGGCGATGTCGTATACGCCTGTAAAACAATCGAAAGCGATGACAGGTATATACGCATATGCATATGGGCATACTGTACAGCGCGAGAGAAGCGAAGAGGGAGAAGTGGTGGGAGACGTTTCGATGTTGCATTCTTATCGCACGTCGCACGATCGAGAGAGAAAGCATTACCAGACGTGGTTCGGTTAATGGTGTCTCAAATAGCTGTCTCACTCTTTCTACGTTTGAATGCAGGCAATATGAGTGAGACAGCTATAGAGACAGCTATAGAGACACCGCGCTGTCTCTATAGGTATTTCGCTCGCTCTAATAGCCATATAGTTTAGGCTCTTCGTCGCGCTCGCTCGCTCTTCGTCGCTTACGTTGCCCCTCGCCGCGCACGCTTGCCTACCGCCACTCACTGACTCCGCCTGTATCAAATGTCTACGTGCTTACTGCGGCCGCCCTCCGCTCTCTACGCGCTCGTTGGCTCACATGTTTTAATTAATAACTCGATAATTATTGGCAATTTGACATTATGGTACATGACTTTTCTTCTCGGCTACACCCAATCTATCTCCAACTTTCGTCTGCATGATCAGCTATCAAACACCCTGTATATACATTTATATATTGTGTGGGTACGGTGTATGTATAATTTATCGTTTTTGTAGATGATGCAGGACGTGAAAAGATAACAGCAGAGAAGCATATTCTCTGTTATCTGTGGTTTGTTGGTCACCAAAGTACATCTTACCATGATGTTGCCGATATATTCGGAATAACTTTAAATTCTTTGTATAATGTTATAACAAGAGTAACAGATTTCATTCTATCTTTCGCGAATAATATAATAAAATACCCAAATGAAATTGAAAAGGCAGAAACAGCTGCATTTTATGAGAATACGAAAGGGTTCCCACGTGTAATTAGTAATATTGAGTATACATTTGAGTAATTTAAAGGGGTGTCCTGAACTAGAATGTTCTAAAACAGCGTTTTTTTGTGATTTTTTGTAGAAGAAAAAAAAAGAAATGAAGTTATTGAATTTTGAGATATGGTTTTATATATATTTAACGAATACAAAAAAATTTTTTTTTAAGTAAAAAGAAAATTATAACAGATTTCTAAGTCTATTTCATGGGCGTCTTGTCGCTGCAGTCTTCAGTCGGCGGGAAAGATCCACCTCGTAATTCTTGACTGAAACAAAAAACCAAAAAAAGATTAAATTATTATATATTTTTCTTCTGGGTGAACTAAAAAAAGGCAGAAAAAATGTGAAATTAAAAAATTTGGTGAGTTGAAACAAAAATGTGTTTAAAAAAAAAAACTTTAAGGTGCTATAACAATTATTTAAATAAACTTTTTAACGAACTTTTTTAGTTCACTTAGAAGAGAATTTAATATTGAAGAAAAAAACTTTGGTCCAATTAAATAAGTCGTTTAGTTTTTTAGCTATCACGCCCGCCAATTTAGAAAAATCGTGAAAATAAAAACTGGAGAAAACGCGTTTCAAAGTTTTCAATAGGAAAAAATATCAATTTTTAGTTACTTACGTTGATAATCTGCTAGTCAGCTATTCCTGGTCCATATAACAGTCCTTCTACTTCTTCAAAAGCCTCATTTTGATGCATTTGATCGAGTCTACGAGCTGTACAAGCCTCCTTACTGCTAAATGCCTGGCGCTTGTTCTCTCTCTCGATCCGTTGCGTGCCAGCGATATTAGCAAACATTTTGCACTGCTGGCCTATACTCAAATTAAGCAACTGCATGACACTCAAAATCGTGATTCGTCGTTATTTTTTGTTTGCACGATGCGCAGATTACAATACCAGTAATTGCTTAAAAAACTGTAAAAAATTCAATGATTCTATAGCAATGAAGTGGATTCACAATTATATCTTCGCTGCTCGCCGTGGATAATTTTTTCGCGCTACTGCTTGTATTCAACTCTTCATTGTCTGTTGTTTTAACGAATCGATTTCCATGGAATTTACGCTTACGCGGTTTCGAAGCTCGTTCAGAGGTCGATTTTGTACCTTTTTGATAACTTGCCATGATATTCTTACAATATATATGCGGCAAGAATCTGAAAAAAACTAACCGTTGATGCTACAAACTACTAGGTAAAGCCACGTACACTAAATGAATCATACACATTTATACTTCTATTAGACACATTAAGACTCAACTGGATACAACCATAGATTATAACTATTGTATTGAACGACCCTTCAACCTTTTTCAGGTATAGAATTCTGAATAGAAAGTCGGAGTGGCGAGCGCTCGCACACCTGCTCGACGCTCGTCTGCTTTCGGCTTTATATCCTTGGAAATATTTAGAATTGGCCTCTGTCAATTTGTAAACATATTCTTAGATAATTTATCTATCGATTTAAGCAATAAAAAACCATTTTTTTGACATTTTAATTCAGGACACCCCCTTAAATGTACCTTAAATGTACCTTAAATGTATCATGTTAATATATTAATAATATATTCATCTTTTTCAGGTGCAATTGATGGCTCACATATTAGGATAAATAAGCCTGGCGAAGACCCGGACTCCTATATTAACAGAAAGCAATATTTTTCCATATATGTACATACAAGGAACAGTGGATCATCGGATGAGATTCTTGGATGTTTTTATCGGATATCCTGGATCTGTCCATGATGCTAGGGTATCTTTTCGTAACGGAGATTTTTTCAATCTCCGTTACGAAATGATCTTCATGAACTATGTGGAAGTAAGTAAAAAAATTAAAAAACCTAACATGAATTAGATAAAAAATGATAATCAATACATTTTAATATTATAATTTTTATCTTTTTACAGATAATTATTATTTGTTAGGGGACAGTGCGTACCCTTGTTTAAAGCAATTATTGGTACCTTATAGGAATAACGGCCACTTGACACGAGTGCAACGAATTTTTAATAGAAAGTTAAGTTCTTGCCGTGTTATTATAGAAAACGCATTTGGGTGCCTCAAACAACGATTTAGACAATTATACCATCTACAATTAAGAAATATTATCCGAATGGTACGTGTGATACACGCATGTTGTGTACTTCATAACATGGCAAGTGCAGCAGAACTGCAATATTTTGAACCACCCGAATATAATGAGTATCCTGACGTAGCAGCACAGGGTCACGTTCAAGAAATCGATATACAAAGGGAATATGAAAGCGGAGTACACGTACGTGATGAAATATGTCGCAGAGTATCTACATAATAAATTATAACATATAAGCAGAGTACTAATAAGGCAATTTGTAATAAAAAATATCACCTTGAAATAAGTTTCTTTTATTTATATTTAACTTTTATAAGAAATAAAATCTGATATTGTGCAATATGTTATTTTCTTAATGTTATGTTATTATCTTCTTTATGTTGTTATTTTCTTAATTTTTCCTTGCAGGAACAAAATTCCGTAGCAGATCATTCCTCTCTTGCCTTAAATTGTTAGCAGTTGTTAATTGTGTTTTTATAGTTTCTGCTATATCTTCATAAATAGTTGTTATTTTTTTATACTCGGTCAAAATTTGTTTCTGCACATCTAATTTTTCATTTCTTTCCTTTAGAATATTCTCTGTTAGTTTGTCCAAAGTTTCATGACATTTTTCCAACAGTCATCCTGTATGACCAACTTGTTTCCTTACGTCCTCCTGTGGTAGCTATAAAACATGCATGTTTTTTATCACATCGATAAAAAATTGTGTTAATATATGTGTCATTGTACGGACTTAAGACCGAATCTATTATACAGGGTGCACGATTTATCTGAAGACATTGAAATATCTCGAGAACTATGCATTGGATAAAAAAAGTGGTCAATGAAAGTTGTCTCGAAGGGGGACATCCAATGATACCAAACTCGACCTCCCACCCCACCCGCTGGAGGTGGGGGTTGGGGGCAACTTTGAAATCTTAAATGGAAACCCCCATTTTTTATTGCAAATGCGGATTCTATGCCACAAAATATGTAAATTTTGTCCGAAACTTTTTTTTTTGATTCGTGATAGATGGCGCTGTAATCGCAAAAAATTATATTTTCCGCAATTCTCCAGAAATGATCATTGGATTGAGAAATAAAAAATACCTGTTCAATATTTTTAAAGAACATAATAAAAGTTATTCCCCCCCATCCTCTCGGGGTAGGGTGGGTGATAACGTTCAAATCTCAAATGGGGACCCACATTTTTCATTGCAGAATTAGATTGTACATGAAATTTTTATTGGAACAATTTTTTTCATTCGTGATAGATAGCGTTGAATTTTTCCGAGAAACTACTTTTAGTGTTACACAGGAACAACGACGAGGACGTAGTAGTTTTATGTTCCCTTCGGGTGCTTTTTTAATGTGAGTTACCCTTGCCTCTCACTGTTCAATTAATTAGAGTAAGTGTTCGAAATTTTTACCTTCAACTTCAATACACTTATTGATCCTTTTTTCAAATGACTGTACACAGGATAGAAGCATATCTGCGGGAGTTTCAGCGCAAGCGTTTCTTATCCGTTCTACCATGTTTTCACGAGTTGTTGGCACTTGTTGATAAACCTTATCTTCTAGGTAACCTCACAGAAAGAAATCCGGCGATGTCAAATCAGGCGACCTAGCAGGCCAATTAATCGGGCCACCTCTGCCAATCCACCGACCATTGTAATCACGTCTAATACTTCCCGTGCTGCTATTGAGTTATGCGCTGAGCAACCGTCATGCTGAAACCACATACTTTGTCGAACGTCCAAGGCAACATCATCAAGTAGTGGTGGTAGTTCCTGTTCCAGGAAATTTCGATATTTAATTCCATTCAAATTACCTTCAATAAAATAAGGACCAATAAGTCTGTTCCCTATGATTCCACACCAAACGTTAACCGACCAAGGACGTTGATATTCAACTTGTCGTAACCAGTGGGGATTTTCTACACTCCAGTAATGCATGTTATGCCGATTAACGCCACCATGGTTTGTGAGTGTAGACTCATCTGAAAATAGTACATTAGCAATGAAATTGGGGTTCGTTTGCATTTGTTGAAGTGCCCATTCACAAAACACCACTCGATTATGAAAATCATCGCCATGAAGTTCTTGATGCAGTGAAATGTGATATGGGTGATACTTATGACGATGCAATATTCTGCGAATACTATCTCCGGAAATTCCGAAATCGCGATGTAATTGCCGAGTGCTTACCTGTGGGTTGTGGTGAACAGCTGCTAGCACAGCTATTTCATTAACTTCTCCTGTAACAGTTGTTCTTCGTTTTCTTTTTTTAGTTTGTACGCTGCCATACGAGATAAAGGCAGTCACAACTTTGTACAAAAAAGAACGTGAGCGAACATTGTCTGGAAAACGCTCAGCATACAAGGCAACAGCATCGTCAACATTCCTCCTACATTCACCATAAATCAGAATCATTTCAATTTTTTCTTCTACGGTTGCAGAATTCATTTTCCACTTGCAATTCTGTTCGAAGAATGAAGGGTAGATATGCAGGTAATAAAAACTAGTCAAGTAAAATGAAATTGTTAGAGATGCTTTCAGTTCTAATTCTGAAAGAAAAGAGAGCTCTGACCGCATTGCACTGCCTTTTATAATAAGCCGTAGTTCGCCATACACCCACAGTGGCACGTCGAGCAGTTCCCTCTTCGATTCGGGTTCCCATTTGAGATTTGAACGTTACCACCCACCCTACCCCGAGAGGATGGGGGGGAATAACTTTTATTATGTTCTTTAAAAATATTGAACAGGTATTTTTTATTTCTCAATCCAATGATCATTTCTGGAGAATTACGGAAAATATAATTTTTTGCGATTACAGCGCCATCTATCACGAATCAAAAAAAAAGTTTCGGACAAAATTTACGTATTTTGTGGCGTAGAATCCGCATCTGCAATAAAAAATGGGGGTTTCCATTTAAGATTTCAAAGTTGCCCCCAACCTCCACCCCCAGGGGGTGGGGTAGGAGATCGAGTTTGGTATCATTGGATGTCCCCCTTCGAGACTAACAACTTTCATTAACCATTTTTTTTATCCAATGCATAGTTCTCGAGATATTTCAATGTCTTCAGATAAATCGTGCACCCTGTATATCATTTAGATATCGATTCGATTTTATTTTGAGATTAGATTCTTAAAATATTAATATTTTGGAAAAAATATATATAACTTGCCTTATTTGAGAATCTTAACGATGAATACATGTTATAAATAATCTTTTTCTTAAATAATATCATATAGCATGAACATCGAAATAAGCTTTGCATTTCGACATTATTTTGATAAGATGTAATTTCGATTATTTCGGCGTCAATTCGACATCGATTCGATGTGTCATTTCTCGTTGGGACTGACTCTTACTAATAATTTATATTCAAAATTACACATTGGTAAGAAATTGATAAAAACCATTGATAAGAACTTATACAATATTCCTTATTCACGAGTTATTTCATTACATAATTGATCACGTTTTCGTGCGCCTGTGTCATGTTCTCTTGGTAAGTTAATTATTTCTTGATTATTAATTATTTGTTGATTTTGTGCCTCTATGTCTGGTTGCTCATCATCTATAGCTTCTTCGAACAACTGTATATCATTTATATTTGCTATATTATGTAATACGCAACATGCATGAATTATTCGCACCATTCGTACAATATTTCTTAGTTTGAAATGGTACAACTGACGAAATCGTTGTTTCAAACAGCCAAAAGCATTTTCGATTATTACTCGTGTAGAACTTAATTTTTGATTAAATATTCTTTGACGCCGTGAGAAGTGACCATTACCCTTATAAGACACTATTAATTGCGGTAAGCAAAGGTATGCACTGTCGCCCAAGAGGTGGTAATTATCTAAAAAAAAATATTAAAACAATTACGACTTTTCTACAATGGTCGCAATGTCTGTTGCAATACTCGTCATGACAATAAACTCATGGCGTGAATTTAGAACTTGCGTTACGATAATCAATGTAAAAGGTTCGGTAAATTGTACAGGGTGTCCCATTTTAATCCGGCCGGCTGAATAAAATTCGAGGATGATATATTTTCCAGAAAAAAATGTTAGACAAATGTTGCTCAGTTCTAAGGGATGTAATCCCTTATATATACGATAATAAAATCATAATAAATCATAATAAAATCTGTTACTCACATTATTAGACTGTGTAGAGCGCTTATAGTAATGCCAAATCTATCTGCCACATCTTTGTAGGATGCACTCTCATGGCCAACAAACTATAAATAACACAAAATATGTTTATCTGCTGTAATTTTTAAATTTCCTGCATTATCTAAAAAAATATCACAAGTAGGTTAATATTTTGAGAAATTAAAATGATATACTTTTTTGAGAGAATTTTTATTTTTATCTGTTATTAATATTTTCATATCATTAATTATTAGAGTAAACCTACAATCTTGCTCTTAAAAAATATAACAGTAAGCTATAACCAATATTTATGGGTTGTATTTCAAAAATTACTGATAGCATTGAAATGCTAGCTAGCTTTTTAGTTGTATAAAAAAGATTATACATTAATAGACATATACATACTTGATATAGCAATAAATATATCTGATGCTTCAAATCGATTTATTAGATCATATGCAACATCTCTTGATAGTCAGAAATGCATTAAAGTCTTTATCAATATAACTTCTAACTATATTCTCGATATAGTTCCTTACTTTTATATGCTCTATTCTTCTTATCAATCCAAAAACTTGATGTACTAAATTATGTTCTAAAAAGTTTATTAATAGGTTAATAGGTTAGACTTCATATATTTTTATATTATTAATAATATTATTAATTATATTATTTCATACCATTATCATCCTCCAGCAAAATTGGTAGTAATCGCAGTATTTCAATATGTTCATCATCAGATGAATCTATCAATTCAGCAAACAACAAATCGTATTCCATGTTGCACTACTTACACTATAGCGTTCTTTGTAACATGCTTGCACTGTTACACTCATCTGTCCTCGCTTGCACTGGTTCAGTTCTAGTGCAGTCCCAGTTCAGCTACAAAGAACAAACCACATGTTGTATGGTTATTTTCTATATAATTTATATAGACATAAAGGGTGTTTACTTCTAGCAATCTGATTTATAATCGAATTGGAAGCAGTGATATAAACTGACTTTAGAAAAAGTTCCCTAGACTAATCCGATTTATGAAACGTGTCCTCAGAGCAATCCGATCAGATCCGCTCATGACGAGTACAGAAGGACATGGTTTATTTACTTGTGATTTACATTTCAAATCATATTAATACGAATCAGGCAAAATATATAGGTATGTACTTTATGAATCTTATAGTTACTTTCCTAGCCAAAGCTATCTAATGTGAAAACCAAAATTGTCACTTTGCACTGCGAAATGAAATATGAATAATTAAATTTGACTGACATAATAGGTTAAGAAACCTGTCATAATAATGAATTATAGCAGTTGTTTGATTTACTAATTTTTTTGTAATTAAAACAACAAGGAAATTAGCGATAACCGCAGCAAAGTACAAAAGAATTTGGCTAAGAAAGTGCTTTTCTGTTAATTGTACAAAAAACAGGAAAGTTGGGTGAAACTAATTAAAAAACTTAATTCTTTTGTATTTTACTACGACTATCTCAAATCTCCTTGTTATTTGATTTATCTTTTTTTGTTTTAAATAGCAAAATATTTTCTTGTCCTAATGACTTTGTATTTTGTTGTGACTATCTGAAAGCTTCTTGTTATTAGTTTTATTAAAAAAAAATCAAATAACAAGGTGGTTTGAGGTAAGTACAAAGTATAAGGAAGTTAAATTTTTTACCGATTAGTTTCACCCAATTTTCTTGTCTTTTGTGCAATTAATAGCAAAATACTTTCTTTTTCTAACTTGTACTTTACTGCGGCTATCTTTAACCTCCTTCTTATTTGTTTTATTTAAAAAAAAATAAATGAAACTGCTATAATTTGTCGCAATAACAGATTTCGTAATCTGTAATATTATAGTCAACTTTAACTATTCATATCTCGCTTTGCGGTGTAGAGTGATTATTTTGACTTTCAAATATGGTTACTACGCATTAAAATATAATATAAATATGTGAATTTCAACCAAATAGGAAGTGAAAGTCTAAATTGGATAATTACCTAATTTTCAACTTCCTTCAAATGTCTATTGACAAGATGTATTTATATTTCACCGATATATATTTTCAAAAAATTAATAGACTATAATAAATAACCTGCCACTCCTCGGATAGACAGAATACTGAACATAGTATGGTCTTTTTATTACTACAATAATTTTTTTTTTTTTTTTTTTTGAGCATCCTATAATATTGCAATCTGTCGCCACTCAAGAACATTCAGCAATAGTTTTGATATGTATTGGTGGAGTCTAGTAAGATGTATGTCCAACGTCATACTCTTATTTCAGTATTTGCCCTCTTCCCCTCCATCCCCACCACGTCCACCCCACCCCGCTCGCCCCACCCGCCCGCTCCCTTCCACTTTACTACTTCATTTTATTTATTTTATTTATTTCATTTATTTGCTTAGTTGGTTTGTTGTTGCAGTTTAAGCAGGTCTGTCGGTACCTTCCTCCTAAGTCTGCGAACCACTCTCCTCTCCCTCATGAGTCCAGCGGCCGTACTATTGGGATGAATCTCCAGTCTATCTCGATATTTAAGACTGTATTCCCTGATTGTCTCTCTCACCGTTAGGACTTTTAGATCTCGATGAATTATTTCATTCGTGACGAACCAAGGAGCGTCAGTGATTACTCTAAGGACTTTTGACTGATATCTTTGTAGGATTTCTATGTTTGACTTTGAGGCTGTGCCCCATAGTTGTATCCCATATGTCCAAATCGGCTTCAGTATACTTTTGTATATTAACTTATTTTCAAGTATTAGTTGTGATTTCCTGCCTATCATCCAGTAGACCTTATTGAGTTTTAAACCCAGTTGTTTGCGTCTGGCTTGAATATGTTTCCTCCAATTTAGTCGCCTATCTAGGTGTATGCCAAGGTATTTTGTATCATTTGCTTGAGGAATCAAGGTTTCATTTAAATATACTGCTGGGCAAGTCTCAGCGCGTGTAGTAAAAGTTACGTGGGTCGATTTGGTTTCGTTAGCTTTGATTCTCCATTTCTTTAGCCAGCCCTGGATAGTATTTAGGCTGTTCTGGAGATATCGAGATGCTATAGAAGGATCTCTGTGGCTTGCTAGTACTGCCGTGTCATCGGCGAATGTCGCAGTAGTAACGCTTACGTCTGTTAGAAGATCTGCCGTATACAACAAGTATAAAATTGGTCCTAGCACACTGCCCTGAGGTACTCCGGATCTGATCCTATAAATTCCTGTTATTGCATCGTTTTGTTTTATAAAGAAATGCCTATTGCAGAGGTAGCTTTTGAGTATCGCATGGAACTCTTCCGGCAGATTTTGTTGGATTTTATACAATAGTCCAACGTGCCACACTTTATCGAACGCTTGCAAAATGTCAATAAAAGCTGCTGAGCAATATTTTTTTGTCTCTAGTGATACCATAATTTTATTAGCAATTCTATGAACCTGCTCTATTGTGGCGTGCTTTCGCCGAAAGCCATATTGATGTTTTGGTATAATTTGCTTTTTTTCAATTGCTGGCATTAGTTTATGCAGTAGCAGCTTCTCTAGTAGTTTCGACAAGATAGGTAGCAAGCTTATAGGTCTGTAAGATTTAACATTGCTTGCGTCTTTGTTGGGTTTTTGTATCATTATTATTTGTGCTACTTTCCATTGCAGTGGAAAGTAGCCTGTTCTTAATATTGCGTTGGCTAGTTGAGTGAGGAACAGGATTCCCTTGTCTGGGAGCTCTTTTAAGATGCGTCCAGTAATGAGATCGTAGCCAGGGGCCTTTTTAGCGTTCAGATGTTTACTTATCGCATCACGAACCTCCTTCTTAGTAAATTTTACTGTTGTTTCGTGTTGCTGCATTGTTTTTATGCTTTCATGTATTGCCCTTTCTTCCTCTGGGCTCACTTCTCTGGGATTGGGGGAAAACACTTCAACAAGATGAGCGCAAAATTTTCTGCTTTTTCCTGGTCGGTTTTTGCCCAGCTACCATCCTGCTTTAGGATTGGCGGAGACACTTACTGTGGCTGTTTTAATTTCTTGGTTGCCTTCCATAAGGTGTAATCCGAAGCTTTTGTAGAACTTAGATTTTTTAGATATGTTTGTATATTAGCATTTTTTTCCTCATTGAGTAGTTTTTTGAGTTCTTTAATAGCTTTATTTAATTTAGTTTTTAGTTCTGGAGATCTATAGCACTGCCATTGTTTCCTAATTTTGCGTTTTTCCTGTAGTTTCTCTCTTATTTTAAATGATGTTGTTTTTTATTGGCTTTTTGCAACAGCCATGGGCGTTGAGTTCCATGCCTCTTGCTGTATATTAGTGTTAAAGTATTCTACTGCCTGGGTTATATCGTTTTCATCTTTTAGGGGTAATTGCGTACTCAATGTCTCCACTACTAGCTCTCTAAATTGTTGCCAGTTTGTCTTTTTATTGTGCAGCTTGCAGGGTTGCATTTCCATGATTACTCTTTTGCTTACATTGATTGTTAATGGTGAATGGTCTGAGGACAATTCCGGGCTTGTTTCCACTTTGAAATATTTTTTGGATATTCCTTTAATTATGCCAAAATCAATTATGTCAGGGATTTTTCTCCTATCTGTAGGCCAGTATGTTGGCATGCTTTGTGATATAGCTTCCATTTTTTTGTTTATGATGACATTGTATAGCACTCGCCCTTTAGGATTTATCAATCTCGATCCCCATAGCTGGTGCTTGGCGTTAAAATCCCCTGCCGCCAAGAACCTGTTGCCTAGGGTTTCGAAGAACTCCGCGAATTGTTTGTGGTGCTTTTTAGTTAGGTGGGTTTCTGATATTAACATCACGTCTATTTTATTGGCATAGATATATAATTTGACCTCATTTACGTATACAATAATTTAGTATTAATTTAGTTCTTTTGCCAGCATATTGGTAGCAATTTTTATGACAATAGAAAATTTCTGCAATATTGACACAATTTTCATGGCATCAGATGCCTTCTTTTACATATTAACAAAATTCTGTTTGTACAAGGATGCATCTTGACGTATTTATACTAGTCTATTAGTTTATCTACGTCTACTTCAATTATTAGCATATAAGTATATCAAAATAATCATTTTTTTAGATACTTGAAAATCAGTATGGCATATGAACAAGAGAAAAACCTATGTAAACAGGATCAGTACGGTATATATATCATATTATTGAAAAGACAATATTTCCTAGTAAACACTAATTAACAGCAACATAACATAAATATTATAATATCTCATTATCTAATTTAAATATAACATATAACGTGCATGTTATGTAATAGTTACATTGTTGAGTAGAAAATTATAATAATGATATTATGTTATTGACAGTTTGTGTTTATATGTAACTCTGTTACATATAAAGTATACGTAACAGAGTTACGTATAAACACAAACTCAACAGGTTTATAAACATAAATAGGTAACATGTGAATTTTTATTGTAATATAAGAAATGGATTTTATTATTGCCAACCTGTAAACTTCTTGATTGCTAAATATCCACAAGGCTACAGCTATCTGTTTCTCCGGTAGTATCTTAGGCCAATTGTCTAGTTGCAATAAGTATGGTCCAATATGTTGTATCAATACTTCAAAAGTTTCTCTTCTGACGCGAAAATGTGTTTTAAAATCTAAAAGGAAACATATACATATATAACATGACAAAACAATATTATACATGCATTATATGAAATATTAAAAAAATTTTATATGCTTATATTATTTTATATACCTATACGCGTGTAAGCATATTAAACAATATTTAAATAAATCTTTGTTTTGTTTAAATTATTGAACTCATTATTGAAATCACTGTTTAACATTGTTATATTCAACTCAGTAAATATGTGTGTATATGTCCTTTTTACCTGTCAATGAATAATAAAGAACGACGTTTTCATAAAAGTTTTCATAAAAGTTATTAATTTTAATATGTTCTTCTACGTATTTACCATTCAGGTTTATTTTCCTCGTCATCATTAAATATATTCCATGAAAATAATAAATCCATGTTTGTGTTCTATAAGAATATTTATAAAAATATTTTTGTTAAACAAGAATATGAATCAAATTATAAGTTACCTAAGATATATACCTAAGATATATATGTATACTCAACTATAAAAGATTAAGTTTAATATCTTAATATGGTTTTTTCGAAATGCAAATAAATCAAGATGCAATCACGTCCTTTACTCGTCTGAGCTAATCGGATCTGATCGGATTGCTCCGAGGACATGTTTCATAAATCGGATTAGTCTAGGGAATTTTTTCTAAAGTCAGTTTATATCACTGCTTCCAATTCGATTACAAATCAGATTGCTAGAAATAAACACTCCTTGGCTGCGTTCCGATATTCACTGCCAGTACTGGCAGCACTGCGAATGCCGTTCCGATATTCGCGACAGTAAACTTTCAAAGCATTTTCGTGTCCATATGACGTAATAGATTTTGTCGTCACTTCCTGCTTTCGTTACTGCGGCTCGCGAGGTAAGGCATTCGCAGTAGAAAAATGGCGGCACCTATAGAAGAAGTGTGTCTGATCGATGCGGAAGATAACAAAGAATATAAAATAATATTAAGTAGCGGAGATGCAGAAAAAGCACGAAGAAGTAAGTATACAATTTATATTGTCAACATTTTTATAAATATTAATATTATTTTTACTTTTATAGATATGAATTTTGCAACGTTGTTGTTGGCAAAAGCCAAAGAACAATATATGTTACCACAAGCAACGAGTGAACGTAAATATAATGAATTTAAAAATATTAAGTAAATAATGAGTGCTTTCCATGTAGCGTTCCATAAATCGATCAAGCATCATGCTATCTTTGTCACTCACTGATGTGAGGCAAGAACAGAATAATGCTTGTGTCAACTTGTGTCATGAAATGGAAAGTACCCAGCAAACACAATATTACATGTAACGTGCATGTTTATTATAATTTCCTATTCAACAATATAACTGTTATATAACAGTACTGTTGCAGGGTGTCAGGGAATCTTTTTCTCATCAGTTATCCGTGCTTCGTATTTGGTAGTCATAGTATTGTTTCAGCTAAGTTGAGTTTTATGTAGAATAACTGAATATAACGAATTTTTCCCAATAAGTAAAGTATCTCACATATTTACCTGTGTATATGTCATTTTAATATAAAGACAACACAAGATATAGTCTTTCCTGCTTAGTGCATAGAGTTCTTGTAGCAAGTTGTATTCTATTAGTATGGTTTACTTAGTTTGCTTGTCCTAAACTGGAAAATAATGAGCATATGCTCTTTTTTGCAACAATCCTGCCATTTTTTTACTAGTAAACATGTTTATTAATTGATTTAACAGTTTCTTTGTTCCCTTATTATTCAGTGTTTGTTCAGTAAGTGAATTCAGATTTTGTATAACTTTTTCAGATTTTATGCCTTTTGATAACTGCAGAGATATTCGTCATTAAGATCCCAGCACTTTTACTAGGCAGAAGGTAATACAACTGCACAATATTTGTATTTAGAAATAAGTAGGCATTGTGCATAATGCATTATTGACAATGTGTACGTTTAGGCAAGACACCGCTACTGAAGCGCTACAGTAGCGCTTTTGTTGACTGGAGCATTCTTTTAGATTCTTCATAGATCCAGAAGTATTTAACCAATCAGGAGCGAAAAAGCTGTAGCGCAACTGTAGCGCTTCAGTAGCGGTGTCTTGCCTAAACGCTTATTATTTATAACGCTAATTGCTTCTAACATATATATATACAGGTTGAATGATAATGAGTGAACCAGCCTTTTACATTATCGGTAGATTACTGACATCTGTTCGAAAAATGATAAATCGCTTTGCAAACGATTGTATATGTATTCTGCATGCGCAAAATTACAATAAAAGTAATTCTAATACCGTTCAATAATTTGTCCCTGTAGAGTAAAAAGCTGGTTCATCCATTATCGTTCACCATATATATATATATATAAATGCAGTCTTTTACATTCTATATATATATATATATATATATATATATATATGTATATATATGTATATTGGAGCATAAATAAGCGATAACCATTTATTTTTTATTGCAGTTGAACTAAAACAAAATATTTTTTATGTGAAAAATCCTAGTAAATTGAATTTTCAGAGGATTTTTTTTGAAAAATATTTATATATATGCACTGTATAATTATGTTATAGCCATTGTTTTAAAGATTCATAAAAGCACATCGATCAGCAAAATTGAAGCTTTCATTCAAGAATGGCTATGACGAGCGGGAGACAGAATAAGAGCCCTACTAAAAAAATAAATGGGAATATATTAAGCAATTTAATGTAAAAGATGGAGTTATTTTATTTTTTGTTCACAAAACTCTAATTTTTTTTAATTTACAATTATAACGTATGCATTTATTTTTATCAGATGTTAATTACATGTGTATACGAATATAAAGACACATATTAATATATTTTTATATAAAATATAATATATATATAACATATGAAATGTATATATATATAAAATGTTTAATAAATAAAATTAATAAAAAGAATTATTTTATATTAATACATATTGTTGTTTATTTTATAATTATATACTTGTTATAATTTAAATTCCATTTGACATTTTCAAATACTTGGTCAATTTAATTTTACTATTCTTTAATTGTATTATATATAACAATATTATACAATTAAAGTATAATAATATTATATCGATAACATTTTTGAGGAATGTCACTATTAAAATAAAAATTTAATAGTTAATGTAAATAAAGTTAAATTGACTACAAATCGACTTATATTCGGCGTAACATTGACTGAAGGCTGACTTAAAAGTTGTCATAAAGTCGACTTAATAGGTGACTGACAGTCGACTATAGTCGAGTCATTTGTCGGCTGTTAGTCGACTTTAAGTTGCCATTCAGTCTGACTTTGAAGTCGACTTTTGACTTTTTCTGCCGACTTGCAGTCGGCTAATAGTCGACTCGGTGCTGTTTGGGATCCCTCTTTGTTGATAATTATATTACCGGTGTCATCCTTAGAAATATGTCCAATGTTGTCCTTTTGATTTTCTGCCATCGTGTTATTGTTTCTATGTATATACCCACTAAACAAAAAATTATCAACACAACATTATTATTACGATGTTCAATAATGTAATGTTTTGAAATATGTAGTTCGTAACGTTATATACAACGTGACTGCAAATTGCTGGGATTCTGCGGGCAATTTGCTTACTGGGAAGTATCTCAAATTTATTTTTCGATTAATATATCTTTATACGTAGAATAACGAGAAGAACTAATTTATATATTTAAGAAAAACACGTAATTTTATTTCAGAAGGCTGATAAAAAGGTTAGGTTAGATGTATTTACTTACTAATTTCTCGTTCTTCTTTCTTGTTCTTCATCAAAATGCGTAGTACGGCAGACTTTTCATTTTCGCTAGAATTTCCGCTAGAATTTTATGGCTGAACTCTTGCACTGTCTAAAGACCTGGGGCAGCGAATTCAGAACTATTTCAGACCTAGGACAACTACACTTCGAAAAAGAACAGCAAGTCTAACGTCACTTCCGAGAAAAAGAACGTTTCAGTGTACACTTTTCACAAAGTTCAGTCTTGAAGTGTGGAAAAAAACAAACCTAATAAAAGACGGCAGAGGTACCTGTTGATTGCAGAGGTGTTTGTAGGAGGCGCTGCAGTTGGATTAGTCGATGATAGGTAAGGATTTGATTGGGTAATGGTGCGGTCACATGGGACGGAACGTATGCGCAATGCGGAATTGGCGGAACGCTCGTAATTGGCTCAACCTGTTTTACGTTCGTGGTAAGGCGACAGTTTCCCGAAAAGTGGAGGGGATAATGTTGGTACGTAAACGAAAATCTCTGCACGATATAATTTTAGTTTCTGTAGATTAGTACCATTGTTGAAGTAATAAGTCTGTTAGTTTGCATAAACCTTTTGACAGGTGTGCGCGCGTGTAAATAATACTGTACAACTGTTATATATGAAAACGTAAATATAAAATATATTGTAGTATTTCATTAAAATAAAATTAAGTAAAAATAAAGTAAATAAAATTAAGTAAAAATGACAAGTAAATAAAGGAAACCTAAAATACGTAATAAGTGAGATAAAGAAGTGAGAATATAATTAATAAAATAATAAGTGAGCATACAAAGTGAACAAGAGGAAAAAATAATAAATATTGTATTTACATAAGTTGTGTGTGTGTGTGTGTACGTAGATAAACTATAATTATATGTAATTAAATAATTTTAATTTTTCACTGTTTTGACATGTCACAGTAAACATTACTCGTTGTTGGAGCATAGTTCTTCGCACTGGAATCAATTTACCTTCATTGTCATCAATAAATATATGTCAGATAAGTAATTTATATTTACATAAGATAAAAAATTAAATATTCATGTACTGTTTATAATTGTAGATGTTGTTAAATTGATTCTTCCCTTAGATTTAATATTTGTTCCAGTTTCTTAGCTATGTATGCATTTGCAGAATGTTAGTAGAGAATAATTATCGTGGAATAAGGTTGCCAAATTCCAAGCCTTAAACATCACTGACGGTTATAGCATCGTTCTTCGTACCTGGATCAATTTGCCATCATTGTCATCTGTGGAATAAAATTCATGCATGATGAGAGAAGTGTAAGCAAGGAAACTAGAGAGATATAAATCAAGGATAAACAATGATATCAGATAAGTAGTTTATATTTACATAAGATAAAATATTTATGTTCATACTGTTTATAATTGTACATGTTGAACCGATTCTTTCTTTTGAATTTTTTTTTCAATTTTCTAGCAATTCATATGCTCGCTGAAAGTTGATATCCAGAGAATAATTTTCTGTGGAATAAAGTTTGCCAAATTTTGAAGGTACTGTGTCCTAGTTATAAACAGAAGTTGAAATTACATTCTGATGTCAAATATCCGTCACCAGCAAAGCCATGACAAATTTGACACGAGAGCAGGTTTGTAAAATTGATGTTTACTGTTATTTTTTATCGACGCTTTCTATAGATATATTCGATGTTTATTACCATCTTGTTGAGTGTACTGAATCATATATGTTTTTTATCTTTCAGCTTTTATTTTTCAAATAGGATTTGTTGCCAATACTTGCCTCTACAAATATAGTTATTAGGATTTGAGATCTGGTACAGAAATATATAGTTTCTCCAAAAATTGAGGATCAATTTTTAAAAGAAATATCTGTAGCAAAATAAAAGTCATGTATTATAAGTAAATGTATAAGCCATGAGAAGTCAGATAATCGCAAGTTTGTGCAACAAGAAGGAAAATTAAAAGAAGAATAAAAAAATTAAGAACGTGTTTATAAATTTATTTCTCTTCCTATTAATTCTGGCAGTTCGTATAAAATTAATAACATATCTATGTTTGTATTATTATTTATTTTGCTTCAAATTTTTTGTAATTTTTCTTCTTTTTCCTTTAAAATATTATTCTCAGATCTTGATCAAAATGCAGGGTGATTAATAATACTGTGTATATTTTTTTATGGTTTGCCAAGTTTGCTGTAAACAATACTTAATTATAAAACATTAAAAATATTCTGAAAATAAGTGTAACACTGTATACAAATACCTAAAAATGCGACGATTGTAGAATGTTTATTCAGTTTTTCTTTAAGTTCTCTGTTATGTCGCTCTGATATATTATTAGCTTTATATAATTGTTTATATACACAGAACGACTCGGGTTTACAACCGTTCTTTCGGGGTTACAGCCATGTTCTTTTATAATAATTAAGAAATGGCTCAATGTATTTACAATTGGCAAAAATGATTGTTGAAATTGTATTGAAGCCTTCCTCTATTAAAGGTTCAGGCAACAAAGCTAAAGATATTAATAATTTAATTGCACCATATCCTATTTCTTCATTATTATGTTTGTCCTTTAATATTCTATGCTTTTTTGTATTATGTACTAACGCCTGTAATAAGGAAGCAATATAAAGAAAAGTGATGTACATTTCATGTTTATTATTATATGTGTTATTTTTTATTACCTGGCTATAATGGAAAAAGCAGCCAAATTACTTTAATACCAGGAAAAACAATTTTTAATGCGTTTCTGCTCTTTCAAAATCTGCTATTACTATATTTGGTTGGATTGAAACAATATATATTGGTCCAAGATGGAAGTATTGTTACAAGATTGTAATAAACATCGAATATATCTATAGAAAGCGTCGATAAAAAATAACAGTAAACATCAATTTTACAAACCTGCTCTCGTGTCAAATCTGTCATGGCTTTGCTGGTGACGGATATTTGACATCAGAATGTAATTTCAACTTCTGTTTATAACTAGAACACAGTACCTTCAAAATTTGGCAACCTTATTCCACAGAAAATTATTCTCTGGATATCAACTTTCAGCGAGCGTTTATAACTAGAACATAGTACCTTCAAAATTTGGCAAACTTTATTCCACAGAAAATTATTCTCTGGATATCAACTTTCAGCGAGCATATGAATTGCTAGAAAATTGAAAAAAAAATTCAAAAGAAAGAATCGGTTCAACATGTACAATTATAAACAGTATGAACATAAATATTTTATCTTATGTAAATATAAACTACTTATCTGATATCATTGTTTATCCTTGATTTATATCTCTCTAGTTTCCTTGCTTACACTTCTCTCATCATGCATGAATTTTATTCCACAGATGACAATGATGGCAAATTGATCCAGGTACGAAGAACGATGCTATAACCGTCAGTGATGTTCAAGGCTTGGAATTTGGCAACCTTATTCCACGATAATTATTCTCTACTAACATTCTGCAAATGCATACATAGCTAAGAAACTGGAACAAATATTAAATCCAAGGGAAGAATCAATTTAACAACATCTACAATTATAAACAGCACATGAATATTTAATTTTTTATCTTATATAAATATAAATTACTTATCTGACATATATTTGTTGATGACAATGAAGGTAAATTGATTCCAGTGCGAAGAACTATGCTCCAACAACGAGTAATATTTACTGTGACATGTCAAAATAGTGAAAAATTAAAATTATTTAATTACATATAATTATTGTTTATCTACTTACACACACACACACACAACTTATGTAAATACAATATTTATTATTTTTTTCTCTTGTTCACTTTGTATACTCACTTATTATTTTATTATTTATATTCTCACTTATTTATCTCACTTATTACGTATTTTAGGTTTCCATTTACTTGTTATTTTTACTTAATTTTATTTTAATGAAATACTACAATATATTTTATATTTACGTTTTTATATATAATAGTTGTACAGTATTATTTACACGCGCGCACACCTGTCAAAAGGTTTACGTAAACTAACAGGCTTACTACTTCAACAGTGGTAAAACTAACAGTGGTGAAACTAAAATTATATCGTGCAGAGATTTTCGTTGGTACCAACGTTATCCCCTCCACTTTTCGGGAAACTGTCGCCTTACCAAGAAATGTGGGAAAAACCGCGACAGGATGGTTCCAAAAAATTAAAAGCACAAGCAGTGCCAACAAGTTTTCCTCATACAAAAGTAATGTGGGAATCTTTCGATGGAAAAATAAAGAAGTTAAAATATAATAAAAGCAACGATGAAAATAATTAAATTATTATTATTAAATATTATTATTAAAATGTTATCGCGTAAAAGCATTATTTTTTGTTAACGATACGATGTTTAATTATTTCTTAGAAATGAATTATGTAATTGTACATTATTTGCCTTATATTAAGCAAAGTAATTATAACATTGTTAATTTCCTTATTGAAAAAATGAAAGATATTGAATGTACTACATTAAAAACATATCACAATTTATCCCACAAAATTAAAATTCGTTTCATTAATTTTAAAATAAGAAAAAGTCACACTGGAAAATTAGAAAAACCTGTTTTAATAGTAAAACCATGGCTATGCATTCCATTATTAAATAAAATTTAATAATCATGTTATTACATATGTAATATTTTTTTAACTTTATGTAATATCAAAATTTAATAATAAAAAAATTGCAAAAATGTATTTTAGTTTTCCTTTTCCTGTTACTGCTATTCAAATATCCCGCATACTTTGCTATCACTAATTGGTGGCGCCATTTCGTATCCAGCCAATCAAAAATTGGATCACATTGGCCAGACTCTTAAGCCAGCGGCACACGGTGCTTGTTTTCGTGCTGGATTGCTTGCTGGATGAAAATATTGCGTTGTGATTGGTACATTTCCGAAAATGGATGGAAATGCACCAATCAGGACGCAGTGTTTTCATCCAGCAAGCAATCCAGCATGAAAACAAGCACAGTGTGCCGCTGGCTTTACTATAGGGACTCTAGTTACACTCTAGTTACACCGGATAGGAAATTGAAACGCAGCCCTGAGGAGAAGTTATGCAGCCGCCTCCTAGGGCGCGCATTGGACGCATAACGCGGTGGCGATTCTTCATTATCAATCATATTCTATGCCTTCGCGGATCCATACAGGTCTTTCCGCGTTGTACTCGGTCGTTGGTGTATATAGCGGTGCGAAGCTTGGCGGAGTAGACCCTCGTCTTGGTTTCATTCTATCCCGAAACGGAATCAAGTCGCGTTTAAGGCCCGAATTAAGAACACGATCGACGGCGTGATGCTCGCTCGTAACGCGTAAGAACACGGTTACGAACGGGCGAAACGAATGTTCTTGGTCGATACACCGTCGTACGGAATACCGTCCGCGCGAGAACCCGACGACAGGCACTGGTCGCCGTACGAACGACGCTTCGATCCACGTCGACCGATCTGACTGATTTTTGGGATCCGGTCACCGAAAACTTCCATCATTCCGTCAATAACCGTGTGCCGACCCGCAGGGTGGCGATCGTCCGATAAGGTGAGCATTCGCAACTAATACCCGGGCGATCAGCGAGCCAGATACATGTCCGAACGTGTTCGGCGAGGACGATCGTGTGAGAAATCTCTTTTCTACACGGTGGACACGTAGATATTTCTTCGCAAGAGAGAACGTCCATTTACACGCTGATAGATCAAAGCCGCTGTAGTAATCGAATAATTCTCTTGTTTGTACGAACCATCGGCTCGAAGTTCACCGATTAACGCTTTTTCCTCACTAGCAGTTGCAGTCACTTCGATATATTTCCTGTCTTAGAACAGCTCTCGTAATTATGTCCTTTGTGTTGAACGCGTTCGTCGTGCCTCTCCGATATCGAGTATCTTTGATATACTGTAACGTTCCTTAATGTTATGAGCTGTATGTATTTATAAAGGTTTGACTAATCACGCTTCCGAGTATATATGAAATAGAACTAGAGTGTGTATGAAATGAACTAAAAAATTACTTAATCACACGTGCGTTAACCAGCTGATGCTCATATATGTATTTTCCACGAAAATTTGTTATACTCCAAAATTTCACTCACATATGCTTTCATATTTTATATTTTTGTGATGAATCGTGTGTGAAATCGGCATATGACTTAAAATTCATTCTTTCTCACACATATTTACCCACTTAGCAACAAAGTAAGAATCAAATTTCCATAGCTTGCAAAAGATAGATTTCGATTTTGCTGAACCGTGACGCATGTGCGTATCTTGTTATGTACTTTTTACGTGTATATATTTTATGTGTCTCTTTTTATACATATTCTTTCAGTAAACAGTGATAATCACTAAATTAGAGTATGCAGTATGCAACATGTACAACTGCTAACCTTTGTAATGACGATAAGATGTGTGCTTTAATATTTTTTTTTTGTTCCGCTCATTTTACACCATGTTTTAGCATCAATGTTTGCGGAATGGCCAATACTTTATAGTTGATTCACTCATATCTTCAAGCTTATGCTATCCTGCTCAAACAAGTATTTCCTGTTCAAACTAGCAGAGCTATTGTTACATTATATAAGAATACTGCTTTGTGTCTGTATGTATGAAAATAAGAAACTTCAACTTCAATTCTCAAAATAAAAAAAGAAATTCATATTTCTGTACCCTTGTCATTGCGCCTTTTTTTCATTTTGTTACTTCTTTTATTACCAACAAAATCCATTTCATGAATATGTGTACATATTTTTGTTACATAAAGTCAAATATCATGCAAGAATTTTTGTACTATTTTTAACTATTTATTATATATATTATATATATTGTAAATGCTTAATATGATTTTTCTGCTAATCTATAATGTAGTATTCTAGATAGATAATGTTGCAATGGTTATATGGATTAAACTCGTTATTCCTCAACTCCCAGTAACACACTACGCTTCTGTGAACTCTCTTTTGCCCCTCCACTTGAAAATTGCAGTACTATGAACCGTATTTCTCGTGGTTGATAAGCCATCTTGTACGTTGCAAGCATGGAACCACGCAAAGACTGACTGATATTACTTATCTTCCTCATATAAATATTGGCCTAAATAGTTGCTTCAGACTCAGTATCATCCTGAATGTTCACCAGTCTGGACCTTATCACTGCCATGAAACTTTGGCGTCTATAGTTTATTAATTAAATTCTTGAAACAATTTATAAAATATTTGTACTTTGTAATCACTGCACACATGAGACATACAAACAACCAAAATTTCTAAAATCATTACAAGTTTTAAGTGGTCGTATTATTTGTTGTATGTGTTGTATAGGGAAAAGAACAAGAATTATTTCCCAACAACAGGTAGGAAACAGAGTTGTATTTTATTAAATTATATAATCACCATTAACTTCTTATAAATTTTTAGTACCAATTATTTGTACCGTACATGAAAAATAGGTGTTAAATTTATAAATTGATTAATATTAATTAATATTTTACACTATACAATGATTGTAACAGAGCAGATTCTCCTTGTAAATGTTCTAAATATAATGACAAACATAAAATAAGAAAGATAAAAGAATGAGTGATATTTTTTCTCTTTTTCTCCCTATCTCTCTCTTTTCTCTCTATCTCTTGTGTCACATCCATTTGATCAGAGTAGAATATTGATTTCAGACAAGGGGATTTTAGATCAGATTTAACTTTTTTTGATAAAAGTATGATAAGATAAGCACAGTCTGATGTACCTGATGTGGTAAAATTATTTTAGTACATTGTATGTCAATTTATTTTAGGTATTATTTAAAAATGTTAAAACTTGGACAGTGCTCTGCTCCTTGTCGATAAGATATAATACATTTTAAATTTGTACTTTGAGTTATATATGTACATCTCTTTTACATATTGTATTCATATTCACGAATTCATGGTATTTAGGAACCAGTGAAATATTTCAATCTTGATAATAGCTTTTAAACAGAATTTGATTTGTAAGGAGGGAAATAGATATCGTAGTTGGTTGTAATAAATTTGATGTAACAGGTATTTGTTCATATGAAACGTTTTCTTTATTTTTTGCAGGGTTCTATCTGTGCTAGGCTGGTAGGCCAGTCTGCTAGTGGGTGCTCGAATAACTGCGGCAACTGGAAGTTGGCCCTGAACGCAGAGCCCCCGTGGCTTTGCTAGCACCCCCACAGCGATCTTCTCTTAATCTGCTTCTCTACGACTCACCCAATTCGCATTGACAGCTGCCTCGTATGTTACCGTTTTTTTTTTTTTGTTAAATTTATTTCAGTTTATAATGCACAGATAATGATGAACTTTCAAATTGATATTAAAGTTTTTTCGAAAATTATCGTGCAAGTCATTTTGAGTACTTTTTTCAAGTAATCACTCTTTTTTAAGAAAAGTATGAGTGTCGTTTAAGAATCAAGGATACAAATCGTTTTGAATATTCTCCGTGAGCCAGGAATTCCTGAAGAAGTTTCGCATGTATCTGCATAATAATACATGTATATTCTCATTTGTAATACTGTTTAAATTTTTTTTTCTTTTTTCGATGCATTTCGCATGTATGACGTCAATGAGAAAACCTATTTTATAAGAAATATGCAAAAATGAATTCTCCCATCGTCAGCTACGTTCCGAAATGTGCCGTAGAAAACGTGTTCAAACTATTCTAAAAATTAATATAGTACAGAAAGTTACACGCACAGATATACAAAGATATAGATCTTTGTTATTCACATAATCTTAAAAGTGGGTATACAGAAAGCTATACGCATAGATATACAAAGGAAGAGATTTCCGGTATTCAAATTATTCTAAAAATAAATATATAAAAAGCTACACGCATAGATATACAAAAGAAGAGATTTTCTGTTATTATGAACTTATCTTTCCTTTTTCTCTCTTTATCTTTTTTTTTATGTCTCTCTCTATCTCTTACTTTTCCTAATTCTATCGTTCCTAATGTTTGTTGAATTTTCAGTTTGCTGCCTAGCATCTACAGAGTACCGATTAATTCCTCGAAATCAATCAATATGAAAGATACAAATTTAAACGAACGTATTCACGTGTTGGACAACGAGTCCAACGTTATGACCGTCATTAAAGACATTGCAATGAGCGGTTTACAAGAAGAAGCTTTTTACGTGCTGGATATAGGAGATATCGTACGAAAGCACCAAATTTGGAAAGAAAAATTGCCACGAGTTGAGCCCTATTACGGTGAGCGAATAATATTCGGAATTTACGTTATCATATATGATGTATAATCACTTATATAAGCTTCTCTTTCTTTTAATTCCAGCTGTGAAATGTAACGACAATTTAATCGTAATCGAAGTATTAGCAGCTCTTGGTATCGGTTTTGATTGCGCATCCAAGGTGAATATAACAAGCATTTTTCCTTTTTTATCTCCTTTTAATTTTCTTTTAGTTAGCGAAAAAATACGTTTCTTCCTCCGGCAAGTTGTATAAAAGAGATTACACAATTCGTGGGTTTTTTTCATCTTAATATAAAGAATAGAGTTCTCTGAGTAATCTCTACAATGTTAGGGTCGCATGTACTTCTTGAGATATATCATTTTGAAACTGCAATTTTTTTTTAATCATGTTAAAAATGAGTTATTCTTCATTATTGTCACTCCAGACATATTGTATGTTACTGTTTTTTTGTTTACATTTTTTTGTTTAAGTTAATGTCATACGATGTACGATCTTATGCACTCTGACATGCACACTAGCTCGCGTCATAAAAGCTCAATTCATCATAAATCACTACTATGCATCGAACAATCTGTGCAAGAAACTGTTGAATTTTTCGACGAAGTCGAAAGTTGAGTTGTTTACAGCATGCATATCAGATTGTATGAAATCGTGTTTGATTCTAGCCATATGTGCGCACTAGTTTCTCCAAATATATTTCAGTTTACAATTGTTCGAAGCATTCAACTTTTTCGCCTTAATACTATCATATATTAAAATCACATCTTCCAAAAATATTAGCAGAGGTCACTATGCAAAGCTTGAGCAACTTATCCTTTAAAGATATTTTTTAAATGATAAAAATTAAAAATTAATGAGATTAAAAAATGATTAAAAATATTTTTTTCATAAGATTTCGCAACACACATCTAAACTCAAATCTTTGCTTAAAGATTTTTGATGATCTCTTCAGGATTTGTTATTTTAATATATGATATATTCATTAATTTAATAAAACAAAAAACTTGAAAAATACTTTTGTAAAAAGTAGCCTGAAGAAAGATAAGAAATGTATAAACGAAGAAGAACAACATAAATGAAATATTCAGAATGATAGGATGTCAACATAATGAAGAATAAAACTGCAATATTTTAAAGTGATATATCTTAAATGTATATAAAGATGTTTTTCATGATTTTAATTTTTATAATATGCCTTAAGATCAAAGAGACGTGTGACATTTTTTACATAATTACCACAAGTGTTCTTTCACCAACATATGACAATTGGGCCGATCAATTTTGTTTCATCGAAAGATCATTGTGTGCAACATCTTTCCATTTCATAGGGCGAAATAAATAAAGTCTTAAGTGTTGGAGTGGATTCTTCGAGAATTATTTTTGCTAATCCGGCCAAGCCAGCTTCACATATTCGTCACGCTGCTGCAATGAGAGTGGAGACTATGACAGTAGACAATGAGAGCGAACTGCACAAAATCAAGAAACTCTTTCCAACGGCCAAAGTAACATATCATTATATACGTTTATTATACGTTTCTCTACAATTTGCTCATTACAATCACTATAATCAGGTCACTGGATCACAATAGTGATTCTTTTTATTCCAGATCGTTTTGCGAATTCGTTGCGACGCGGAGATAGCCCAATGCCCGCTTGGCATGAAGTTTGGTTGCGACCCAATAACCGAGGCTCCCAATCTTTTGCGTCTTGCGCGTGCCCTAGGTCTCAACGTGGTAGGCATCAGTTTCCATGTTGGGTCGGGATGTCAGGATCCACCGGTGTATCATCGCGCTATCCGTCATTCTAAGATATTATTTGATGTGGCTATCGATCTCGGTTTTAAACCCTACCTATTGGATATAGGCGGTGGTTATCCGGGTAACAAGGGCACAAGCATCGACAAAATGGCAGATACCATCAACCAAGCGCTCGACGAATATTTCAATAGTAAGTTACAGCAAGCTGTTTCGTCACGGTCACGGTGAAATGATATTTTTTTGCACTTGGGACCTTCTAAGAGAAATACTTGTGTAGCCGATGCTGTTCACGTGATCGCCGAGCCGGGCCGCTTCTACGTCGCATCCGCATTCACGCTGGCAACAAGTATCCACAGTAAACGTTCCGTACGTGGAGACGACAGTTCTTCTGGCGCTATTACGCACAATATGTATTACATCAATGACGGTGTTTACGGATCGTTCAATTGTCTATTGTACGATCATCAACACGTAACTCCTCTTCCTCTCAAGGTAAATTGCTTTATCCGGGGAGATCGCAAGAGTGTATCCGCTGAATATTCTTCTCGTGGTTCTTCAACTATAAATATCGCATATATCGGTAGGATGGTTGTGGAAAGTTGATTCCATCGAGCATCTGGGGTCCGACGTGCGACGGATTGGACAAGGTTGTTGAGAATATCTTGCTGTACGACATGGAGCTTGGCGATTGGATCCTTTTCGAAAACATGGGTGCTTACACATTGCCCGTTGCTTCACCATTTAACGGATTTCCAGTACCTAAAGTGCACGTCGTTGCCGATGAAAGCATTTGGTAAGGAAGCTCTTTATTCGATATAAGAAATTCTTCCGTGTTTTTTATCGTTAGATCCTTGCGCCTTTTCTTCCGATAAAGAACCGAGTGCTTTCATCTGGACGTTTCTTGCAGGCTTTTACTGAAAGATGTTCTGCCATTAACTGAAGATCATTTTGTCATCGGCAATACTCCAGCTAATCTGCGACTTGGCTTAGATATTGGAGGAAATGATATTGACCCATGGATGGACGCTGATCAACAGATGAACTTAACACCGCCTGAAATATTAGCAGACGCTCCTAATACATCACCTTTTATCTTCGATTACGTTGAGGTGGATCCGCTGAATTAACCTTGTCTAACTTCAAGTAATTTGAGATATATTTGCATTTTTCGAAGCTGACGCATCTTTGTAACTTTTACTATGTCATTTTTATCTTTTCCTTCTCAATTCGATAATTAAATGATAAATATGTAAACGTTCGAGTAGCACAACTTTGTACAAGGTGTCTGGTTGCTTAAGCATCGCAACGCTCACTATACACCGATCGAATTCATCCATCTAAGTAGAAAAATTCTCTATTTTTTTCTTTTTTTGCAAATTACCATGATAAGGATGCAAAGATTAAAGAAAATTGAGGAATGCGTACGTGTGGGTAGGACTCTACAGACTGATTAAGAATCCGAGATATATTTCTTCAGACTACATATCGCATATGTATTGATAAATTAATTTTTTTCAGTCGATATCTCAATAATTATCATAGTCATTTGCAAAATCACAAAGGATATTTTTTACTCAGTTCGTTGAACTCTACATGCGTAGGAACGTTGCAACACTCAAGTCTAAACACCCTGTATAATATCTTTAACAAAGGTTTCTTTTTTATTTGTCTCGAAAATATTATCTGGACGAGAAGCGTGTCTATAGATTCGCTGATTTTTAATCTTGACGTACATTTTTTTTATGTAGTCTATTTCGTATGGATAAGCGTACTTCAACTTTTTTTCGCTTGTTTTTGTGAAAATCAATTTTATTTGAGTAATTATCGTAGAAATCGCAAATTAAGTAGATTACGAAGAGTGGCCCCTCTGACATTACTAATGAAAAAATTACTTCTTGCTATTATTAATATTCGTGATTGTCGATGTTTCTCCCGTTGTATGTAACATCATGATACACAGAAATATATCACGGTAGATATTTAATCATATTTTTCCGTGCATACGTTGTCTGTGTATAATAGGACATATTATAGCTTCTCTACATTATAGATATAGAAATTGATATTTCAGAGAGAGAGAGAGAGAGAGAGAGAGAGAGGGAGGGAGGGAGGGAGAGAGAGGAACTATATTTGCGAACATTTCTTGGGAGATTTTTCACGATTTACGCATTTAACGTAGAACAAGAGTTACAATTTGTTTAGCATAAATTATACACATAGTGCATACAAATGTAATTTAAATGAATATTTTTATTACTTTCTCTCTCTCTCTCTCTCTCTCGCTCTTGGTATCTTACAAAAGAACATATTGGCCATGTACATGAATAGTAAGGATTTGTAAACAAGGTTTTATTTAGTATATTTTGGACATATGAAGTAAGGGAGAATAATTTCTTAAAAGTTTTGGGCATTACTCGAGGCAAGTTATAATCTTCTTCTAATTAACGTTTTAAGGTGTAAAGAAGGAAACAAAAGACTTCGTTAAGACGTTAAGATGACATGTACAACCTATGTACTGCATATTGTAAGGAACAAATGTATTTCCTGAAATTGTTTTGCTATAAGCAAACATACAAACTCTGTAGAATTGCTAGGGACTTTACGGCATTGAGGCAGCTGTCACAAGATTCAAAAGCAATTGATCATTTATTATTATTCCTCTGTATTTTATGTTTATTATATTATTATTCTTATTACCATATATTATATATTATTACATTCTATATTATTGCATTATATTTTATTATATATTATTACTTTATATATTATTGATATCGTTTAATTATGATTAATCGATTAATAAATGTAATGAAATATGTAAGATCACAACAAATATGGATATTTCCAGATATGTACACTCACTATCACCTTAATGATCAATCTTTGGCGAGCCTGGAACGTGGAAATCACGTTCAATGCATGTGTGAGAAGCGCAGAAGATATTTTTTATCTCTTTCATCACGATGCTGAGTCGCGAGTATCATTCAATGTCTCGATACAACAGAAAGTTTGTAACATGACATTGAAATTTAGCACTTCCGATTTCATTCCGGTAAGAATGAAGTCCCAGAAGTGTTAGGACAGGAGTTCCGTAGATACACGAATTGATACTCGCGAGAGGCGGATAAAACGGATAAAACGGATAACGGATTTGCGGCGACGCGGTTAGAGTAAAAGTATCGTAATGGTAGAGTGTGACCTTTCCATGATCCTTAGTCCGAAGTTGGTTTATCGCGCCGCGTGTAACAAAACGTGATTTCCATTTCACGATAGAAAGCCACCGGCGATGGTGGGGGATAAAGCCCGGAGGAAAATGTGAATGTGTAATATCGTCGGAATCTTGAAAAACCCATCATCAGCATTACTCAGGTGAAAATAATACGGGGGTGGTGTATTGTAATTTTACGCGGGACAATATACGGCGATACTTGCCATGTTTGCACAGAACTAAATAATGGTTTCGCGCAGTATCGCCGAATCGTAACGTGAAAGCTCAAGTGATGAATTACAATCGGCAAGAAAGAGCTAGTGTCCATTTTGCGATCACAGAAACCTTCGTGCTCGCATAAACACCTCGTCTCGAAGCCTCTCAAAATTTCGTCCTGTGCATTCAACGTTTTACCTGTACTCCATGAATTAATTTCAGGATATTAATTAATTCACACGCGTGCTCTTTTACAAGCTGCAGAGACGACTTGTCCGATGCTGATCAGAGATTAATCTGGATGGAAAATACTACCGATCTCTAATCAGAGAGGCGAAATCCGACGGCTGAGCTTTCAATCGCTCGCGCGCGAACAAAGGATGATCGATGAACGCGTAATAGCAGCAAAGACGTACAGCCGTGACGTGAAAAGGAAGGCGGGTGTCCTAAATGCAACGGATTAATACCTTGACGAGCAGTCGGCACGCTGAATCTTGCTTGCGCGACGCGGCTGAGCAAATAAGCACGCTCGCCTCGAATGTCGTTACCGTAATTTCTAGCGCGATGCCAAGGACATGGAAATTATGCGAGACACAGTGGACTTTGCTTGCGGGAATAAAATTAAAAAGAAATGGAAAAGGCAAGAGAGAGAGAGAGAGAGAGAGAGAGAGAGAGAGAGAGAGAGAGAGAGAGAGAGAGAAAGAGAGGAGACTGGCGTTACTAAAGCGTTCGATTCAATGCGCGATTTCGTGCGATTAAAGACAATCCGGCGCTGCCTCTCGATCTCGATTAACAATATATTAACATCGCACGTCGAAGAATCGGAGTTAATGATAATCGAGAAGAAATTTCGTCTGGGCTAACGAAATTATTTGTCACTCGAGAGAGAGAAAGAGAGAGAGAGAGAGAGAGAGAGAGAGAGAGAGAGAGAGAGAGAGAAAGCCGAGAGCGGATCATCGCTTTATCGGGCGGTTCTCGTTATCTGGCTCTGCGGCGACGCATCGTAAGGTTAAAGAAATTGTCAATTGCGCATTGTTTATGCACGTATGCATTATTTACGCTACGTCGCGAAATCACAGCCGGAGATTTCCACCGGCCAAGGTTTTGGCCGGTGCACACGCCGCGCAGACAAGCAAGCAGGCAAGCAGGCAGGCGAGTGAGCAGGCAGTCATGGTCCCCCGTTATGTATTGTGAAAGGTAGACTGCAGCTTTATTAGTAATGCGCTACCTAACCGGATGGTTACACAACACAATTACTAATCTCCCTATATGTAAAATTATTGTTTACACGCGGGGCCGTCAAAATGTTTTCGTCAGACTCAAGCGGGGATTTTTGTCTGGGATAAACAAAAACGAGTACAGTTGAAAAACTGACGACCAAACGACAAATAACGAGTTTTACGACGATTAATGTATTCATTAGCGAACCTTTATTTATACCCGCTTGCGTGTTGTTTGTTAAAATGCTGTAGCGCCAGTACTCGAATGTTTATGTCTTATTTCTCTCTTAAAATGCTGACATGTTCTTCAAAATTTCTCGCGACTCTCCAAACAATGATAACGCAAGCATGTAGAAGCGAGTTGGTGCGACAGAGAGGAAGAGAGAGAAGGAAGAAATTACGTTCTTCGCGGCTGCTCCTCCGGTTATACACGCGGTGAAATCTTTTTACGAAATTCCGGAGCTCGCGCGGTTCGATCGATATTGCGAGATCGCATTAGAAATTTGGTTCTCCGGAGATCGTAAAAACGGCTTCCGGGTTTCGCTACCGAAATTCACCGGCGGCTGATCGGCAGGTGAGAACGCGAGAAACACAGATTTCTATTATATTATACACTAGACCGATAACTGGTCTCTTTAACATGTCTAAGGCCGGTGTTCATAATCGGACTTTATATTTAAGACCGTTTTAATTTTATCTTCAGATGCTGTACAAATCATTCCATTGGTTATGGGGTATGTGTGAAAGTGAACTTAAGACGGTCTTAATTATAAGACCTGACTATGAATACTCGCCTAAAAGTATGTATTAAAATTTCGCGCGTGCGCATTGTAAGGTCCCGAAAAGAATGTAACTGCATCGTACAGGCATTTTTACTCAAGAAAATGTTAATACTTATCCAGTATTTAATATTTCCTCATGCAATGTCACGTTTAATGGCGCATTCAATGTTTACATAAATATTAAATAGTGGATGAGTATTAACATTTTCTGGAATAAAAATGCCTGTACGGTGCAGTTCTTTATTCCTTTCGGGACCTTGCGCATGTGCGCACGATTTTATGTTTTAGATCAGAGTCACTTTTATACATGAAAACTAATGGAAGTTCTCAGTCTAGCTTGTACAGGGTGAGGAAGAAGTACCGGGACAGCGAAATATCCCGAAAACAAAGCATTTAAAAAAAAAATGTTTTGGGACAAAAATTGTATGATTTCAAGGGGCACATAAAACAGCTGTATCATTTTGTTTACAAATGGCGTCACTTTCGAGATATTCACTGATCGTTACTTCTCTAATTGGAAACCCCAATTTTTTATTACACCGTCTTTTTCTATCAATTAATTTAAACAACTTTTTTCTGAAACATTTTTTTATTTGCCAAATTTTTCGAAATATTTAGAGAAAGCTTGATAAACTTTTCAATATTTAACTCACGATATCTCGTTAACCATTTGTCGGAAGAAAAAGTGGTACTAGACTTTTTTACTCTATTTGCTCTCAAGGATATATTGTTCCAATAGCGCCCTGACTTTTGTTAATTTGATAATTTTGAAATTTCCAAAAGCAAGTTAACAAAAAAATCAGGGTGCTATTCTAACAATATATCCTTGAGACTAAATAGAGCAAGAAAGTCTAGTACCACTTTTTCTCCCGACAAATAGTGAAATCATACAACTTTTGTCCGAGACATTTTTTTCTAAAACTCTTGGTTTTCGAGATATTTCGCTGTTCCGGTTACCTTTTCCTCACCCTGTATATAGAAGTCTGTGGCGAGGAGTCACTTATGACTTGTTCCACGCAAGCTTCTCTGCATAGCGTGATTACGACAATAAGGAGACTCGAAGAGCGTCGTTGCAAAGCCGAGCAAAGTTTGAGCAGCCAAAGCTGCGAATGTAGTTTATCGACGGTGAGTGTTGCGGCGCCGCTGGAAAAAGGAACAAATCTCTACGTTATTACGCGAGCACTCAGGATGCAAAACAATAAGTCGGCGGGATTAATACGCTGGTTACGTAAACCGTACCGGAAAGAAGATGAAGAAGAAGAAGAAGAAGAAGAAGAAAAAGAAGAGGAAGCCCGCGGATTTCTTTTTACTTCATATCCCAGCATCGCGCGGGCGAGCTGTACTTTCACTTTCGTAATTAACGTGGATGGCCGCAGCGCGCGGATGCTTGTTTATACGCGTGCCCACGACGAGAGTGCCGAATGTCCGACGAAGAGCGAAGGATGCGGAGGGAATCGCCAGGTAAAACGCGCGGATTTCCCCACACGCGTGCGCGCGGATTACACACGACTCGGCGTTCACAATCCGGCAGTTCTTCCTGCGCGTGCGTCGTCGTCACCGCCATTTTCACCAATGTCGCGATAATTGCGGCTGGCCCCGCAGGATACGTGCGCCCGGCGCGAGTTACGTTTCCATCAGGCGCAACTCCCGGTGACGGCGACCTCGGCCGCCTCCCCGCCGCCGCCCCCTGCGGCTTGGATAACATATAATAACGGCTATAATACAAGGCGGTGCATAGTCGATTTCACTTTTAGCCGGACTCACGCCAAGGAGCCGCTGGCTGCATCTCCTTCTCTCCGCTCCGCGCTCCCACTTTCCGCGAGGCGGCGCTTTGTCTTTCTCTCGATCGGGACGGCGCGCTTCGCCTCGTCCTCGTCCTCGCGCTCGCGATCGGCTCGAGTAGGTTTCCTCACCGGGGGCCTCGGCTGGAAGAATTCACATCGGCGATTCCGCCAGACGCGGGATCAACGCTGAAATCATAATCCCGCTCTGCAGGAAACTAGATTAAGGAACGGCTACGAACTACAGGGTGTCCGATAATTCACGCCCGCTGCTCGCGTCGTTATCTCTTCATGAAAGTTTGACACTTTTCTCTTGGCGAGAAAGTCGAGGGATCATTTTTCCGATGAGCTATTGAAGGAGCAGGGCTCTTCGGGAGCTGAATTTCCGGCGACCAAATCGACAACAAAAGCTGTGTTCAGAATAAAAAAACAAAAAAAGAAAAACAATGATTGCGCAATCGCGCGGTAAAAGTTACTTAGGATTTGCGTATGTTTCTTTCATCTACCAATAACACGCATCCTCCAAAAGTCGCTCGCAGCCAACCGTTGTGTGCGTTCCTTGATCCTTGCAATCAAAATTACTTTCTTCGATCAATCGCGAACGAGCTTTACTTCTCAACGGAATTTTCACCCGACGCTTAGCTTCAAAGGCGAATTACGCTGAAAATAGAAAAGCTGCCATGAAAATCAGGACCATTATCGATACCTCCGCCGAAAAATCGTGAAGAAAATTTTCACGACAAGCAACGCCGTGTAAATAACAGGCGCAAATTACCGAACATCCTGTACATCGCGTGTCTCTCCCAAGCGAGAGCACGATCGTTACTTTGTCTCCCCCCTCCGCTCTCCGTGAGATATCATTTTCGAAACTGGCAGTCCCAACGAAGAGTCCGTTCGTATTTTACACCCGTTGTAAAATATTCGGTACATATTGCTGCGCGCGGAATAACGTATCTGCGCGACGTATCGGCGCGAGTATCAAAGTTCACGTCAGGACACAAACTCGCGGCGCGGCGCGGCGCGGCGCGGCGATCAGCGAGAGAACGCGGGCGCGGAACAATTCGAGCACAACGTCGGGTTACACGTACGCGTATACATACCGCGGGCAACGTGCGATATAATAGGTTCACGAAGTTAAGACAGAAATTAGGAGCGAACCGTGTCCCCTTTCTCTTGCCAAGCCAAGCGTGATATAAAATACTTTCCCTCTCGCGCGCGCGCACGCGCGCACGCGCCCGAGACGGAATAGGAGCGGAGAGTCGAGCGTTCTCGCGTGAGAGAGGTGAGACGGACAAACGAACAGATGGAAGAAAAGCAAGAGAGACAGAGTGGGAGGGAGGGAGGGAGGGACAGAGAGAGAGAGAGAGAGAGAGAGGAGAAGGACGAAGAACATAGATATGCGGAGCTGCGCGTTCGCGAGAACGGAAAACCGGAAAACGATCGTAGCTAAAAGCCTGCGCCGTTTCCTCACCACTCCTTCGCGCTTTTTTCCCTCCTTCTTCTGTCCGTTGTCTTTCTCCCTCTTCCTGCAGCCCGATACTCAACACCCTCGTCATTGTGTGTGCTCGACCTGCATGTAGAGCGGCGAGATATTTTCATCCGTGTGGAGACGTGGGTCTACATCCGCTTTGTTAATCGATGGCTAAAAATCGAATCCATAATTACTAATTAAATCCTAAATTAATCATTTTAATGCACTGAGAAGTGATGTTTTCTCTTTAATCTTCCAGACACTTCGATCCGGATTTTAAATGTGTTTCAAGTATTTTAAATATTTAAACATAAATACAAACATAAATAAACATAAAAAAAATTATAATAAATAGAATAATATTATATAATATTATAATATTATATACGTAATAATAATATAATTAAATATATATATATATATAAATTAAATAATAATCATATAAATAATAATATAATTAAACATATATATAAATATATGAAACATACAATAAATTAATATGTAAATTAATATGTACACAAATCTATACACGTATGTATTTATTTATATTTTGAGAAAGAAAAAAAATATGTATGTATGTGTCGTGTGTACTTCTTTCTCTTTACTTTCAAAGAGAAATTTAACATTTCTCGAAACCTGCACCGGGCGTCAGTCCGGCTGCGAGACCATTTTGATTTCTCCGGGCATCTTGACAGAGTTAATCACGCGATGTGCGGATTTACTTCCGGCTGATAAGTTTGCGATTCCGGCGATCTCGCAATCACTTCCTCCCGTAGAACGAAGACGTTATCGTAATCGCATTCGCAATAGCGTGTCTGGAGGCCGGAATCGTCTATAAAGAGAAATTTCTTTCTGATCACACTGCAGACACATCGCACGTCACAAGAGACGGATCTCGAATAAAGCGCGCTCAAACTTTCCGCACGTGCGCAGAGCTCAGAGAGCGCTCGCGAGAGCGCTTTCCTAATAAAGCTCGTCGTCCGGCATTCGCGACACGAAACCGCGTTCGAAAGGAAATCTTTCGATTCGAGCCTATTAGCCGTTTACTCGTTACGCAACGTTGTAAGCAGCCATCCAAGCGTGGATGCAATTCGTGAATAAGTAACTCGTTCCGTGGAAAGCTACTGATAATTAAAGTTTCCGCGATGGTGATTCAATGTTTCACCTCTGACAATTACGCGATACTCATATTCCTCCGGTTTAGCGCGGCCCGCAACCCGACACCTTGCTGCGAGAGAGGTAACCGTGTTACTCCACTTCGCTCGAAAGTAAAAGGACGAATGTCCTATATACCTGTACGTGTAACATTTCCTCTCTTTCGCCGTCGAGCCGACGAATGACATTGATTTTTCTCGTTTCAAGGTGTGAGGTTACTCCGCCAAGCTGATGTGTTTTGACAGCGGCCATTCGCAATGCCCCAAACGACGCAAACTTCTAAAAGACGTCTGAAAGAAAGGAAAGAGACATCTTTAAGACATCTTTTTGAAATCTCGCGATGTCCAGAACGTATCGAAGGCGCAGACCTAACCAGAATATTAAATTGTATTTATAAAAAAGAAATATATATGTATAATAATAAATAATATATAGTAATAATATTAATAATATATAGTAATAATATATAGTAATAATATTAATAACAAAAATATATGTTCGATCATAATAATAATAAAATATGTATTCCTATTTTATTTTCTACCAACAAATTTTTTGTGATTCGTCAAACAACGACGTTCCACGACGAAAAAATTCACTTCAACGACCTGTTCGAAGAATCCGCCTTTAACGAGATAGAAGCGCTTCTCTTTCTCTCTCTCTCTCTCTCTCTCTCTCTCTCTCTCTCTCTCTCTCTCTCTTTCTCACTCTTTTTCTCTTTATTAAATTAGCTATCGCAAGGTTCGCTGGCATTTTGAAGCCTCCTGAAGAGAAACACCGCTCACTACGACAAGTACGACAACGACCCAATCAGCAGACAATATTTTCTTAATGTTCTTCAAATATTCATTTTACATTTTTTTTACATTTCTTTCATTCATTGTATGAAAAATATTTATTTAACGTTTATTTAACGTTTATATTATATTAATTTTTCATTTAAAATAATGATTAAGAAAAATATTTATTTAACGTTTATTTAATATTTATTTTACATTAATAATTCGTTCAAAATTATTTTTTTAATGTTTTGAAAATGCTATTTAAATGTTTTTTTTAATATTTTAAAAAACATTTTTTGGATATATTTTTTCTGATCGGGGAATCGAGACGCGACTTTGTGCCGAGTCTCGTCAGGCCAAGCAGGCGGGACAATCAGATTTACGACGACTCGCACCGCTGCAGTTGGTCTCATTTCTTCGGCAGGCAAAACGCCGAAACGACTCGAAAGAGCTCTCGGAGCTGTCGGAGACAACGGCATGGAAACACCGCGAGAGAACATGTCGAAGCCCTAGCCGCTCGCTCGGCTCCTCTCCCGGCGCGAGGACGCCTTCTCCTGCGCGTGCACAGCCGTGTTGCGATTCCGATCGCGCCGATCCGAGCCCGGCGAGCGGCGTCGAGAGTCCGCTCCGCGGTGGTCCCCACGGTGTGCCTCCCGGTCGGTCGTTCGTTCCCCACCTTCCAGCCACGAGAGAGACTCGCGCCACCGACGTCGACGGCCACCGTCGGCCGCAGTTACACCGTGTCCGTTCGCGCATTCGCGTTCAATTTGAATCCGCGCGGTGCGCGTGCCCGAGCCGACCCCCTAGCCACCCTAGCACGCACGCCAACATCCCCTCGCTAGGGATCTTCGAACGCACGCTTGTGCGCACGCGCGATCGAAAGTAGAGTGCTCGTTGCAGACGCGCGCGCGCGCGCTCGTTCGTGTCAGCGACGTGTCGGTTGGCTCCGGCTGGTTAATTCGTCCTTCAGCTGAGGGTGAGGGCCATGTCCATCGTCCGCGCGATCGCGGGATCGTCCTCGTCGGCTGCCGGAAGAGACGCGTGATTCGGCCCGAGTCGGTCGATCGATCGGTCGATCGATCGTCCGTTCGTTCGTTGATTCGTTTGTTCGGTCGTTCGTGGAACCGCGGCGCCACGATTGCGGTGAGTTCGACGTTGCATACAAACGCTGCGTTTACAGCCGGATGTTGTATCTCACAGATCGTCCTGAGTTCATCTTCAGCTGCTGCAAGGTTGATTGGCTGTGGGGAAGCTAAAGGTGATCTCAAGACGATTTTAAATACAAGATCGGATCGTGAATACCATTACGGCCATAAAGTCAAATTCTAGATTTTACATCGCCTGAAGTTTATCTTCGGACGCTTCGAAGCCAGTAAAACCTCAGACAGCACCGGACATCCAATGGATGTACGTTTCACGTCCAATTTATGTCCGTATGTCCGATTTACGTCCGTGGACATAAATTGGACGTAACAAGGATGTCCTTATTAGACATCGGACCTGTAGGACGTCCGATGTACGTCCATTGGACGTCCTATATCTAAAGTTGTGACAAACGTACGTCCTATGGATGTCTTTTGTAAAAAAAGTGGACATATAACGGACGTCCAATGGACATCCGTGTGCTGTCTGGAAACGATCCGTACAGCGTCAGAAGACGAACTTGAAACGATCGCAGATGTAAGATCCGACTGTGAATATCGCTCTTATGTTTACGAGTTTTAAGTTCATCTTCTGATACTGTACGAATCTTTTTATTAGCTAGCATAGTCTAAGGCCCATATTCTGAACTCTCTTTTATTACTAAAAGTGGCTCTAAAAGTGACTTACAACCAATCAGGAAGTTTATAAGCTACTTTTAACGATAAAAGAAAGTTCAGAATATGAGTCTAAGGATAAACTTAAGACGACCATAAGCATAAGATCCAATAAGTACCGTCCGTGGAGTCCCGTGAAATCATCCCTGTGTGTGTATGCGACGAGAGGTCCGCTAGCGCCACGTGTCTTTGCTTTTTCCTCTTTTTTTCTCTTTATTCTTTAGTCTCTAACCAAAAGAAGCATGTTATACGAGTACGTTTTTGTCCATGATAGAAGCTACATTCCGATATTCACTGCCAGTACTGCAAATATATATATAGTTTGTGTCACCTATACCTATAAATTTTCAGTGCTGGCAGTGAATATCGGAACACAGCCAGAGCCGCGCGATAAAATGAAAAAATGCGCAGCGTGTGGGCGACGGTTTACTTCGAAAGCGTCGATTAGGTCGATTCGATCGAAATACCACACCGGTTCGATATCCCCGACTAGAGAGCCCCGTTTTCTCCTCCACGATCTTCGCGAACGACACTTGCGTAGAGCTCGTGAGTAGAAGAGGACAATGGGAATAATGAAGGGGAGAATCTCTCTCTCTCTCTCTCTCTCTCTCTCTCTCTCTCTCTCTTTCTCTCATGAGGACACTTCCGTGTCTGTGTAACGATACATCGATATCGACGGAGAAAGTACTACAGCACTCGTCGCGCTTGCGCTCGCGCGCGTGCGCGAACGCGACAGCGGGAAGAGCCGACGGCGCGAAGCGCGGTCGCGCGCGCCTGCGCATCTCTTGTTCGATTTTCAGGCGTAAAAGGCGCGCGTGTTTTATTTTTGGCCGGTCGCCATTGCGCCGCGTCGCGTCGCTCCCCTGTTCCGTGTCATGTTGTTACGGCTTTGCGTAACTGGGAGGACAAGTTTTTTTTAAACGATCACTCTTTTTTTCCTCTCTTCACACTTCACACTTAATCGAGTTTTGTCGTCCATTCCTACGTCGCCCGACCGGCCGGCGGACGGACGCGAATAAAAAGCTCGACTTTTCCTCGACTCTTTGCATTCTCACGTCGATGTTCGACGTCGGTGCTCGACGACCGTGCTTGACACCTTTATCACCTTGTCGTCGTTACCGCCGCCGTATCCGTGAGCATCGACAGCCCATCTCGATGCTTTCGCTCTCCCTGTTGCTTCAGTTGCACTTGCATTCTCCTAGTTTGTAATTAGACCAGCGCGAAGAGAGGAGGCAAAGGGTCGGGGATCTCGCAAGACACGGAAGGGGCGGTAACGAGATATCGCGAGAGATCGTCGCGCGGGAGAGTCACGCCGGAGTCGGCAGCTGACAGTGTGTTGGTTGTGATCAGTGATCGTACGGAAATTCATGCATACGGCGGTACCGCGCGGAAGAACGCGAGAGAACGGCTGCCGGAAGTCGCACGCGCGGACAAGAGGCGCACGCCATCGATCTGTCGAGTCCGGGTCCACCATCGCATCACAGCCGCCGCTTCCCTTCGCCGTCGGCCGAGATCGCTGAGATCGGTGAGCGAATAAGTGTGCACCGTCTACGTACGTGCGTGGAGCGTCGCGCTCTCCGACAAGTCATTCGTCATCGTGACGATGCTGAGGAACTTGCCGGCTGCTGCGATGGAAACATGAAGACCGTGACAAATCGCGCATCCGATCGAGGAAGCTCCACTCCTATCGACCATAAATGACGTAAGTACCCTTGTATATTCCTCCATACTCGAACTCGCCGAAACTCGTCCAATGTAGGCCACGATCGATTGATCGAGGTTAGCTTTGCTTCTGCAAGCGATCCCTCGAAATCTACTCGGGATCGCGAGACTCGATCGGCTTCGATTCTCAGGTCGATTATATTCCGCGAACTTTTCGTGCGTTCGTTACTTATCGTTACATTTGACCTTGTCCGAATAATTAGTTTACACTTTCGACCCGTAAGAAAGGAAGCTGGTGTACAATTAGTGTTTGTGCTTATCTAGATAAAATTATGTGTGTGCACAAATGATCGTCCAGATAAAGTCTCGACACCGTCTTAAGCCCGTATCAGATTATGGATTGGGATTGAGATTGAATTGAAAGTTGACCAATTAGAAAAAAGAAAATAATCTCAAATATAGTAAACTTAGTCCTAATTGGTCAAATTTCAATCCAATCTCAATCCCAATTCATAATCTGATACGGGCTTTATCTTCGTCTGCATTATTCGACGGGCTTTGATCCTCGGATCGATCCACCTGCAAACATATTCTCTAACTTTTTATAAGGGCATCGTTATCGTTACATTTGACCTTATTCGAATTAGTTTGTACTTTCGACACGTAAGAAAGGAAGCAGATGTACAATTAGTGTTTGTTCTTATCTAGATAAAATTATCTGTGTGCACAAATGATCGTCCAGATAAAGTCTTGCCACCATCTTACCTTCGTCTGCATTATTCGACGGGCTTTGATCCTCGAATCGATCCACCTGCAAACATATTTACTGTAACTTTTTGTGAGGGCGTCGTTATCGTTACATTTAGCCCGTACTTTCAGAAGGTTAAAAGAGAAGCAGGTGTACAATTAGCGTTTGGTCTCATCTAGATAAAATTATGTGTGCACAGGTGATCATCTAGATAAAGTTTCGGCACCAACTTGTCTTCATCCGCATCGTAAATTGAGGAGAGTGTTATCTCAATAAAATTATCTAAGATGACACTCGCAGATAATTTAGTTTGTACTGTTGCAAATATGTAAGATATCGAAATATTCGTTCCTACGTCGTACGCGTTTGCGTTATGCTGTACTGCATGCATCCGGCGGCATTGAGGCTGAGATTGCGGTGAGATGCATCTATAATCAGGATAAAATGCTAGAGGAATTTTATGCTATTTTATCTTTATTTAAAAATCATCTAAGCGCGACATTGTATACAGTCGAGACTTAGCGGCGACAAGAGAGGAAAGGAGGATTAAGTGCGGCGAGAGAAGATAGACTAATCGTCGTTGCGCGGAATATATACATATATATTTTTTTTTTAACATTTTTTTTAACTATTGTCTTATCAATTTATAATGCAGATGAATATATATTTTTTTAACTATGATTATTACGATTAGTCAGATGTAGATATTTAGTAATATTTAAGATATTTATTGGCTTGGAAAGCATATGTCCTGTGACATATCCTTGTATCAAAAGATAATTAAATTTTTAGGTCTTGAGGCAATTTTCTTTTTAACTTTCGATGCAGAATATATGGAAGAAAAAATGCAACGTAACGATAACGACGCTATCGTCAAACATTACGGAATAGAGTGTCTCTTGAATCTTAAGAGGGGCATCATATGCCTCAAAAACCGTTTTCAAAGCTATTTTTACGAATTATTTTAACAGAAACGGTAGGATCAATGGATTTGAAATGTTCACAGTGTATTCATTAATGTTCAAAGTATAAAATAAATTTTATTGAATCACAAGAAACGATCCAATTTGTAATTATAGATAAAAATGTAGTCATTCGTTTGCGGGCTCTATGTTTGCTGTCGACATAATTCCAGGCCTCTCACTACTCTGAAGTCAAAAACCGAGAAAAATTTTTTTAAATATACGGTTGCCATTATAGTCCGTACTAAATTGGAAGCAGTGAAACCAAGTTTGGTAAAATAATGACTGTACAAGAAAGTGTCGAAAATGAAACGTTTTTCAACTTGTAATCATGTTTAAAAAGAAATGAATAAAATAAAATATAACTGTGTTCGAGGCGTTCGAGGTAGAAGCGAAAACTACATGTCTACTGTATACCGTGTAAAAATTTCAAGTTATTCGGTTCAATAGTTTCTGCCTAATCGTGTCGACAGTTTACGAAAATGGTGTTTCTAAATAAATGCGTTTAAAGTTTATGTGTACTTTCCATATAGATGGTAACAAATTTATTTCATACTTTTGATATTAATGAATACTCGTACACTATGTAAGTCCATTTCAAGTTCATTGATCCTACTGTTTCGATTAAAAGAATTCATAGAAATAGCCTTGAAAACGAGCTGCTCCGCATGTAATCCTCCCCCTTAACCCTTTCACATTAGTGGGAAGTATACTTCCCACCTTTCCTTGATTCAATTTTGCGTTGTAAATCACATAATTTTGAAGAACTAATCGGGGATTCGAGTTTTCCAGATAACTGAATAGTTGTTCAACATACTCCAATAGGTTTTTATATCCAATTATTCATTTGTGATTATTTATAACAAATCAAAGTTGAAAAAATGCTTTTTTTAGGGAAAAATCGATTCCTCGGAAAATATTGAATGTAGAGGTCTGAAATTTTCACCAAATATTTTTCTGATGTTATACAAAAACGTATATTTTTGTCAGTGTTTTTTTGCAGGTTAGATTTTTTTTATAAACAAATATTTTTACAAAAACGGCCGAAATTTTATTTTTTTGCACTTTTTAGGTCTATTTTCCTAGTTTTTTCATTCTGTATCTCCATCTTATCCATATTATCAATATTATTTTACTCAAAAAATTCGTAATCAACGATTCGAGATACCCATATATCATCAATAATAATCGGAATTTTTATCAATTTCGTACATTATTATGGTCGTCATATTGAATCCGCCATTTTGAATTTTGCAAATCTGACTTCAGATTCGTAATCAGCGACCCGAAAAACCCATACACCATCAATAATAATTGGAATTTTTATTAATTTTGTACATCATGATCGCCATATTGAGTCCGCCATTTTGAATTTTGCAAATTTGACTTTCGATTCGTAATCAGCGAAAATCAGCTAAAAAACGTAGGACTACCAAACATTTTAATAATTTTCTCAAGGGAAGTTAATTCAGCAGTGAAAGAGTTAAGAATTACGATTTCAGACAGTAACGGTAAACGCTTTCAGCCGGAAATTAAACTTCAAACAAAAGTCTGAAGGCTCGCTACATCTATTGTGGATCGAAATTAATGCCTCGCATGCGAACGTAAAATGGAATGCATAAGAATCGTGCCGCGAGAACAGGCATAAAATCAATCGAACGGATCGACCATCGATTCCGCCCGACTGGCCGTACTCGAGACTCGAATATTCCTGCTCGATGTTGTCTGATTTCACACGTGACTCGTATCGCGGGATTTTGTATCGCCGAATTCAAGTCCCGTCGAATTTTACACGCATGTGAATCGATAACGTTCTCAGTGCCACGTGTTGCGAAAGCGCCGATGAAGAATGCGGCCGAGAATGCGTCGTTCGCCACCTCTGCATATTTGGTCTCATATTTTCAGCACGATTCGGGAGGCGAGCGGTAAAATAGATCGTCTGAAGCGTGCTCAGCGACATTAACACGAAACGCGCAATTAATCGATAAATACGTGATTTCCCCGGCGATTTACACGCGGCACCATCCGTACGTGCTCGCGCAGCACGTGGCGGTCGCACGGCACGAAGCCGTTTACCAAACAATCGTGCGTTTCGAGCGATCCAGGTCTCCAAGACTTGGAGAAGAAGAGCACCTACCTGCCCGCCGCGCCGCCGCCGTCGTAGACTCGGCGCAGCACAGCAGCGTCGAAAGCGAGCTTGGAATCACTCTCGTTTCTTCTCACCAGATGTCGGCCGTCTTTGCGATCATTTTCCGCGGCTGAGAAATGGAGAACGGCGTCTCTCTCGTCATACGTTACTCCCGACGATCTCTCAGGAAAAAGTGAAATCCATTATCGTCACAGTAACTCGGCCAAGAGAGACGCGCGATCGCACTCCTCGCATATTTATAAAATAGAAAACGCGAGCATATCATATCAACGCGCCTGCAGCATAGATTTCAGATGGTTCTTCACCTGAGGAAAATCATCGCGACAATGAGCGAGCCAAACGCGTCTTGGTTGAGGGAAACAAAACTTCCTAAGTTCTTGGAATTCTCTTTCTTATAATTATAATATCTGTATGCTATTTTATAACGATACAATCGACGGGTGATACAATCGACCGTCGTCGAAAGCAGGCTCGTATATTCCCTCGCGCATAAGACACATTTAGAGTTATGAGAATACAGATGTTCGGACGTTTTTAATTTAAAAGTAAGTAAACGAGACACCGGATAAAGATAATAACCCGGTAGATAATAAAAAAAACACAGAAGGTCGATATTTATAAAGAAAGATAATTAAAAGGTTTAAAAGTAAGTAAACGAGGCACTGAATAAAGACGGTAGATAATAGAAAAGCGCAGAAAGTCGACACTTACAAAGAAAGACAATTATAAAAAAGATATGAACATTTTGATCCTTATAATCGACAGGATTCACAAATTTAGCCAATCAGCCGATGTCGAAATCGAGAAGAACGTGTGAAAGGAAGACTGTGAGACTGAAAGCGGAGAGTTCACTCGCTCGCTCGCGTATAAATCGCTACAGTTAACCTTTTGAAGCACAGCGGCACTCTGGAGTGCCACTTTTTTTGTTTCATTTTATTACGTTTTTCATAGATATAAAAACACTCGATTTTCTTGCTGTTTTTTGGGTTTTCATTCGAGTATTATATTATTAAGTATGTCGTAATGTGTAATTCTCATAAACTGCTAAAACTTTAAATGTAGAACCGCTCTCAGCCAAGCCTGGAGACAGCAAGGTCCAAATGATCTTCAAAATATTCGTTTTTAATAAAGTTGAATACGTTTTTACATGCAATTTGGATTCAAATTTTTGAAGATTCGTA